TCTTAGTTATAGTAGATCGACTAACGAAATATATATACTTTATTCCTATAACGGAAAAGGCTAGCGTAGAGCAACTCGGATACCTTATACTAGACAGACTAGTACGATACTACGGCATCCTAGAAGTGTTTATTATAGACAGAGACAAGCTATTTACTTCGAACTACTAGAAAACACTTATAGTAACAATCGGGATACGCTATAAGCTGTCTATAGCCTATTACCTATAGACAGACGGCTAGATAGAAAGAACGAACTAAACACTAGAACAATACCTTCGATACTATATAAATACTATATAATGTTAAATAGGATATATTACGTAGTTTGTAGCGGAAGTAAGGACTTAATAATCGAAGAAGAAGGACCCGTAATAGTATAGTGTATCTAAAGTAGAGTATAGAGTAAAGGATAGTAGAAGGTAAGAGAGAGAGAGAAGCCCGCTCTCCCCCTTCTAGCTAGCATTACTAAGCTTAGCGTGTCACGTGACCTGGTCACGTGACCACTCAGCTTACTACTAGGCCTACTCCTACTTTCCTCCTAAGCTACTATTTTATAATATATAAGATAATTAGGTAACACTCTTACTAATAGCGTAGCTTATACTAAACAACTATCGTTCCGAAACTACTAGATATATACTATTCTTTACTAACTTTAGGAAGAATCCGAAGACGTTTAGATTGTAATAAGACTAAATAAGACTATACCCTAATACGGAAAAGGCAATAATCGCTTTAGAAGACCTAAAACGGGTGTATAACTAGTTACAATCCGCAATCTAAGACACTTAGGACCGGATTTTAGGGCTATATAATAAGAAGAGAAAAATAGCGCCTTAGCTAAAGAAGGGGGATAAGGTCTACCTCCTTACTAAGAACTTAAGAAGTCGGAAACTAACGAAGAAACTAGATTATATTAAAGTCGGGCTATTTTTAGTTAAAGAAGCCTAAGGGCTAGTAAACTACCGACTTAAATTACCGGTAGATACGAAGATTTATCCCGTGTTCTATATCTCTCTTTTAGAACCAGCCGACGCCGAGACACCTTACTAGGAAACATTTTTATATATACTAGAAGAAGAAAACGAATTCGAAGTCGAAAGGATCCTAAGAAAGAAAGGTTAGCGATATCTTATTAAGTAGAAAGGATACGACGAATTAGAAAATACCTAGGAACCGGAGAATAACCTTACGAACTGTCGCTAGCTACTTTAGCGTTTCTACTAGAATTATAAGGTAGTCGCTAGAACTCCGAGTTAGGAACAAGGGACAAGTCGGCCTAGGAGGTAAGAGGTATCTAGAAAACGTCCTCTAACTCCGAAGGGTTTCTCTCGGGTTCTAGTAGGAAGTTAGAAGGCGCGTTAAGAGCCTTAGGACCCTCCGAAGGTAGCTTCTATAGCTTAGCGAACTCCTTAGAGATCGCCTTCTCTTCCCGCTTCTCCGCCGACCGAAGTTGTTTACGAAGACGATAGACACAAGCTATCGCCTCCGTTACCTTTTCCTTAGTATCGTCTAACTTACGCTTTAGTTAACGACGCTAGTTCCGAAGACGCTCCTACTCGGTCTAAGTTACTATAACGTCGCAATTCTTATAGCCCTTACGAATACACTCCGAATAGCACCTAAAACGAATATCTACTATATACCGAATCGAATTCTCCTTCGACGATCGTACTATACGGTAGGTAGAACATAGAGACAGTATTTCGCGACCGTTACTTTCGATTAAAGACGCTTGTCTTTTACGACGCTCCTTTCGAGTTAGCGGCTCTCTACTTATAGTAGGAAAGGGAGGAAAAGAAGACACCTACCGAAAGATTTAGCTCGGGACGCGCTAAAGATAAGAGGGGGAATAGTATTACGGATCGAAGTAGTAGCGAGGCTACTTCGAGAATTTCTAGCTAGTAAAATAGAAGAGAGACCCTACGCATATAGCGAGGCACGTTACGTGTTACGTGTTTAACTAACGGGAGGAGCCGGTAGTCGAACTCTACGAGGAGGACTACGTAACAAGTTCGACCGTTCGACTATAGCTCTAGTCGGATAGCTAGTTTCTAGCTAGTAGGTAGAACAAGTTAGTCGAACTAGAAGTCTATATAGGAACACTAAGAATGCCTCTAGCTTTTAATATATTTAACTTACTATAGTATCTTACTACTTAGAATACAATCCCTTAAGTTACTATATTACTCTATCGCTTTACTCTTCCTCTCCTAGACCTCTCTACTAACGAGCCTAATACCGATTAAGCCTTATATAAGTAATCCTTATATATTATAAGATTATTAAGTTATAGACTTAATAAGCTTCTACTCCTCTTTTAGCGTACGCTATTTGTTCTTTAACGACTCGGTAGTAATCGCTCGCTCGAACTTCCGCGACATAGCCTTAGCTATTACATTTAGGTCCTTTAGTCGATAACTATACGAGTCTGTTTATACCGATTTTAGCGCCTTTAACCGCTCTAAGAAGTCCTCGACTATTAACGGTATATACCTCGATAAAGGCGAATACCTCTCTATAAGTAGAGCGCTTAGATCTACCGGAGCCTACTTACCGCCGCCCTTCTTCTTCGCGCTACCGCCTTCCGTAGTAGCCTTCCTTTTTACTATATCGCTTATAGTAGTAGTAGTTAGAAAGAGCGAGTAGTAGTAGTTAGAAAGAGCGAGTAGTAGTAGTTAGAAAGAGCGAGTAGTAATATATACGAGACACGAGAAAACGCGAGAGAAAATAGGTAGTAGATAACGCGACGACGCGGTCTTAATTACTAAGGAACTATACTAAAATCGGACTATATAGTAAAGCTCTTAATATACCGGAGCGTTTAGCTTAGTTTCTAATAACCTAGGTTATTTAAGAGGGGTTATAACCTAATAACCTATAACCTATAACCTACGAAGTAAACGGGGCCTTACTACGCTCGACGTACTCTTACTTTTCCGGGAGTGTCGAGAATAAAGTCTGTACTATGCTCGAGTTCTACTATACTCCGTAGATTATTGTCCCTCTACCTACCGAGATAGTAGGCCAGCTTTTCGCGCTTGTAAAGTGCGGTAAAGAAGTTTCTATTCTGGATTCCAAAGATCTTGCACTAATGCAGGCTCAGCCACTGGCGGCCGCGGGAAGAGCCTCTTTGCCAATTAGCCTGTAGGAATTCGAGATGGGATCTGCTCAACCAGCACCACCATCCGCAACTCCCTGCAGCATCCTCGACCTGCCTCTCAAGTCTTTCTTCCGGACTGCTAGTCTCCGAAGTGCCGAGAATAAGCGTGCTAGGGCATCTAAATATTTTCCATTGTGCCGCGAGCCCCGCACGCGAACCTCACCGCCGCCTGCTGTAGCGTTCATAAATGTGCACTGATGAGCAAAGCACACACCGCTGTCCGCTGACATCAATGGCTGTATGCGAGCGATCTTGCTGACAGTGCGTCCATAGATAGCCTTATGCGCGCCCAATCCGAAACCATGCCCACTTGCCGAGCCCTCCAATTTGGATTCATGCCAGGAGGGCCGCTGCGGTGGTGTGCCCTCGCCTCCAGCGGACCTGCATTGCGAATATCAGATGCGCACCGTTGTGGCATCAGGATCATTAACATTTCGTGATTTCTCTCAGCTTGATCTTCGGGCCCATTCGGTGTTCTGACGAGATGTTTCCAGCGCTTCCAAGTTCGCGACAAGCAATGAGATCACCTTACCCATTTTTGCCGGCCGATGCCCTAAGGGCCCAAGTGGAGTTACTCACAGCTTCGCGCATATATGCGGCTCGGGAACCCGACGATGCTCGAGGAACACACATGTGAAGGCCATCGTGCCATGGGGGGAGACTGCCAATTCGGTTTAGCACCGTCAGGCACCTGCCTTATCAGATCATACAGCGTCTTGTCCCATTCGAAGGTTATTTCCTTGCTCCGAACGCCATTAGAACGGAGATGACGTCCAATCAGCTGGTGGAAACATCCTGGAATCGGCTAAAAGTGCGAGATCAAACAACCCTCAAATGCTTCTTCAACACGCTGTAGGACCCTTCGTCTGGAGCTCAACGAATCGGTGCTGGATCTCCCACGAAGTCGTACGGCCCGACGACATGCTACAGCGACTGAGCACAGCGGAAGGGAATTCCTCTTCCCCCGAAGACCGTCAAAACAGGGGATACGGCCAATCAAGTGGGCCAAGTACCCTGGATTGCTAAATCGGCTCCAGTGAATTACCTTTTAGACGCTGTATTGCTGCCAAACCCGCCGCTCTGTTCCCGCCGGCGGCAGTGTAGTGGAGTCTCCCCCGGAAATGCAAGTCCGTCATCCAATCCATACCGCTTGGCACCAATCTCGCCAGCACAGCCTCACGGGGATGAGCGAGAGGCAAGACGGTACCCATGCATACGGCGTACCACCTTCCACATGTGCCTATACTCTGAGCGGGCTCAACAATTGCTTCCATCATCAATACATTGTTCGCGTCTGTGGTATGGAGTGGATATCGTCTCCTGCAATACTACGTTGCAGCCGAAGGGTTAAGTGCGAGAGGCTGTGCCGTTGCAAGATCGACGAAGCTCTCGAGACTACAGTACCTACTGCCCTTGCAGCAGCAGGGCCAAAGGCACGTCAGAGGCAATTCGCTTAATCCTGCTGCAACACTATTCAGTTCCTGCATCAAGCAAAGGTTCACCGCTGAGTTTGCGTTGAACGATGGGCAAGGTCGAGAGGCTGCACTGCTTAGCAACCAAATATGCGTGATTCAGCCAGCGCGAAGCTCGAATGAGATCATCACCATCAGGATACTACTGTAGTGACCACTTCAGGAAAAAGGTCGGACGGTCTGCTCATGCGGCCTATGCATTAGTCTTTCCTGTAGTCTCGCGCGGGCAGAATCCTTGCGGAGAAATCAGGCCGGAGTAGCCGAGCTATCACGCCAAGAGATCTTGGACGACCTCGGGCGGCGAGTCGAAAGCATCGTCAAGTAATACCCGCTCACCATCCACATTGGAATTAAAGTGTGAAGATGGAGAAGAGCTGGCAATCGATCGCAGCTCGGAAGCAAGCAGAGAGAGCCTCTCGAATTCCGCTCGAATGGCGCGTGAAAGCCGCCGTTGCTGGCGACAACGAGGACATACTTGCTCTGCCGCGCAAGTGCGGTATTCTCACCGATCGGGAGCTGAGCATCACTGAGAGTTACGACGCTACTGATCTACGGGACGAGCTCGCCAAGGGCAGCCTGAAAGCTGAAGATGTTGCCAGGGCATTCGCGAAACGCGCAGCAGTCTGCCAACAGGCCGTCAACTGCTTAACCGAGATCCTCTTCGAGGATGCACTGGTGCGAGCGCGAGAGCTGGACGCACACTTTCAGAAGACGGGCAAGCCTATCGGACCGCTGCATGGGCTCCCGATCTCTCTGAAGGACACGTTCAAGATCAAGGGATACGATGCGTCCATTGGAATCGCAGACCTGTGCTTCCAGCCCGCGCACACCAACTCCGCCCTCGTGGATCTCCTGATCTCCCAGGGAGCGGTACTGTACTGCAAGACCAACGTCCCGCAGACGATGATGGCGCTTGACTCGCATAACAACGTCTTCGGCCGGACCATCAACCCCGGAAACACGAAACTCACGGCCGGTGGCAGCTCGGGAGGAGAGTGCGCTCTGATCGCGATGCGTGGTTCTATCCTGGGTATTGGCACCGACGTAGGGGGAAGTATCCGAGTTCCTGCAGCCTGTAACGGCCTCTATGGAGGTGAGTGGAATACTGTTTTTCCTGCTTCCGGGGGCCACAATGCAGCCGTCTTTGATCGAGAGGCGCGGATTCCGCCAGCTCGAGCACCAGTGACGGGGATTGAGAGGGAATTTGATTAGGCGAAGTCTAACAAGTATGCAGTCAAACCTTCTCATGGGCGCGTTCCGTTTGCTGGGCAAGAGGGCGGTGTGAAGGCAGGAAGCAGGTACGTACCCTATCGATATTCTAGCTCCATAGGCTTGGAGGAGCACAACATCTGCTTGGCTACCCCATCACATCAACGAGGAAAAGACCTTGCCGTGCTTGTCGCCTGCGAGAAAAGGCCGTTGGCCCCCCGAAGATTCCGAAAATAGCCCTCGTTGCGTTGCGTTGCATGATGAGCAGGTCCAAACCGCCCGAAGACAAAGCTTCGACGACTGACTGACAAACCCAACCGTCGAGCAGCAAGCTGGGTATCGAACCTACGGCAGGCCCGATAGCCACGTCCGCGCGCGACTGCGCACTGCTACTCCAAGTCATCAGCGACGGGGTGGCAGCAGAGCGCGCCTTTGACGATCCGGACGTGATCGGGCAGCGCTGGGCCCAGCAGCTCCCACTCCCCAATACGAGCTCAAAGCCACTCCGAGCCGGCATCATCCGCACCGACGGACATGTGCAGCCTCTACCGCCAATAATCCGACTGATGGACGATGTGGCACACACGCTGCGCAGCAGCAGCAGCAGCCGCCGTACCTCTGCCTCCACCATCCCCCCCGTCCAAGTCGTCGATGTCACGCCCCTCGCCTCCCCCATCCTCGCGCGCGCGCTCAAGGTCTTCAACGGCCTCACGACCCTCGACGGCGCCAACGACTGGTTCGACCTGCTCGACAAGACCCACGAACCGCTGAGTCCCTGGCTACAGGGCCGCCTGCGCCGCCGCGCCCCGAAACCCCTCGCCCAAGCCCGCGCGCTCCACGCCCAGCGCCTCGAGCTGCAATCCGCCTTTTTGCAAATCTGGAACGCCGAACACCTCGACGTCCTGCTCTTGCCCGTCGCCCCGCATCCCATCGCCCCCATCGACCGCTGGAATTCCGCCAACTACACCGCCGCGCTCAATTTGCTCGATCTCCCCGCGGGCGTCCTGCCCGTTCGCGCGTGCACGCGTCTCGACCTCCGCGACGAGCTTCTTCCACCCGACGACAGCAGTACGCCTCCTCTCAATGGATGGGACAAGATCAACCGCGAGCTATGGACGACCGTCGACCGCTCCGTCTACCTCGACAGTCCGCTCAGCGTGCAGGTGATCACGCCGCGCCTGACGGAGAGGAAACTCGTCGAAGCGATGGGAATTCTCGACGAAGCTTTGCGGCCTCTAAAAAAGAAAAAGAAGGAGGAGAACAATGACTCAACCGCTAGGACCCCAAAATTGTAGGCAGCACCTAGGTACCTCAGTGAGTGTGAGTCACGACGGGCATAAGAACCCGAAATGCAGATCGTATCGCAGCAAATGGAAAGAAAGGTCTAACACGTAGAAAATCTTTTCTTTTTTTTTTCTTCTCTTTTTCTGAGACGTAGTGAGTGCGTAGTGCGTAGTAGGTAGGACATTCGATTCGATTCGGTTCGGTTCGGTGATGTGAGGTGGAAATTTAAATTGTGTAATATTGATCTTGAGAGAGAGAGGAAAAAAAAAAAAAACGAACGTGAGATCACAAATCTCCCATCCATAGTTCCTTCCGCGCACATCGTCGTCAGTACGGTCGTCGTCTCATACGTAAATCTATCCATCTATCTATCTATCTATCTTGCAGTCGTGAGTCGTGAGTCGTGAAGAGAAGAGACAGGACACGAAAGTAGAAGTAGAAGAAGAAGAAGAAGAAGAAGAAGAAGAAGAAGAAGAAGAAGAAGAAGAAGAAGAAGAAGAAGAAGAAGAAGAAGAAGAAGAAGAAGAAGAAGAAGAAGAAAGATATTCGCTGCAAAAAGAGTCTCGACCACCGTGGTGGAAATTGATCATGGAGGAAGAAGGAAGGAGCATATATGTGAGAAGAAAAAATTATTTTTCCAAACCTCCAGTCAGACATTGACACGGTCGTCATACTGGTCATACAACAACAAACATTGTAGATTCTAATGAAATGCAATAATCCCAATGGGCGGCAAGCAACTACCTACCTACCTCGCTGGGCAGGGCAAGAGACTTTTTGCTCGTAAAAGGGTCACTTTTCACGCTTAAGTTGTTCATCTACAATAGAAGAGACAATCATCTTTAAAAAAAAAAATACCAAAGCCACACCCATGACATGACATGTCAGACAGCCAGCGGCCAAAGATGAATTACTACTTTTTTTGTTGGCTGTCGCCATTGATGACCTGCGCCTCGAGGTTGGCCACGATCTGGCTACCTGCATCGGGCGCGTGGCTCGCCGGCGCACCGTTCAGCTTCTGCCCCTCGTGCGACAGGTCTGAAGGAGGAGGAGGAGCATCCGATCCGACGTCCAGGTTCTGGGTATTCCGTCGACTGGCTCGGAGCGGGACGGGTGTCGAGGGTCTCGAGGACAAGAACTGCGCCACCAAAAATCATGATTAGTCCAACTCTATCCGCCTCCAAGACGATGCACAATGGACGTTCGGTTGCCGTGCGTGCGCGGATGGGGGATGCTGCTGATGCATCGATGGACAACGGACGAGTGGAGGGAACAACGCGGATGAGAGACTTACCGATGAAGCGGCACTCAGCAGAGCGAAGAGAGATGATTGCACCACGTCTTCGTGGATGCCCACACCCCAGACCTTCTGATGTGAGCCCGCGGCGGTGCACTCGATGTACGTGGCAGCCTGGGTATCGCGGCCTTTGCCGACCTGTCGCTCAATGGCATGCTCCTTGTAGTCCGCAATATCAAGGTCAATGCCCAGGTTCTTCAACGCATTCGCGAGAGCTGACAGAGCTCCGTTGCCAACGCCTTCAATGGGGTGTTCGTGGCCGTCTATTTCGACGACACCCTTGAACTTCCGTCGCAGATTCTTGTTGGAGGCCGTCTTACCCTTTTCGGGGGGCGCGGGCGACGCCGACCGGTCGGTCGTGATGTCGTAGTCGACCAGGACGAAGCGTGGGTTCTTTTGCAAGTGGTAAGCATCCACGAAAAGATCCCGGATTTCATGCGCAAGCATCTCGCGGCCGAGCATGTCGGTCTCCCGCTGCACAATGTTGGAGAAGGCCACCTGCAGGCCCCGCGGCAGATCGAGCTCCAGCGTCCGTTTGATGATCCAGGCAACACCGCCCTTCCCAGACTGGCTGTTGACGCGGATAACCGCTTCGTAGGTTCTTCCGATATCCTGCGGGTCCAGGGGCAGATAGGGCATGGTCCAGGGATCCTCTGGTCCAGCACGAGCGGCATCTCTTGCGGTAAATCCCTTCTTGATTGCATCTTGATGAGAGCCGGAGAATGCACATGTGACCAGGGAACCTCCATATGGCGCACGCGGGTGGACGGGAATCTTGTTGCTCTTCTCGACAATGTCAATGATGCTGTTGATGTCGGAGAAGTCGATGCCTGGATGAATGCCTTGTGTGTACAAGTTGAGTCCGAGAGTGACCAGGTCGACATTGCCCGTCCTCTCACCGTTCCCGAACAGAGTGCCCTCGACACGGTCCGCACCAGCCATCTGCGCCAATTCGGCCGCGGCGACCGCGCATCCTCTGTCGTTGTGAGGGTGCAGAGAAACGGAGATCTTCTCGCGCTCCGTAATGTTCCGGCAGAAGAATTCAATCTGATCTGCGTACACGTTCGGCGTCGCCATCTCCACCGTGGCCGGCAAGTTGAAGATGATCGGGTTCGACTCGCTCGGCTCCCACGCAGCCTTGACAGCCTCACAGATCTCGACCACAAAGTCTGGATCCGAGTCGGAGAAGGTCTCTGGCGAGAACTCGTATGCCCACTCTTCGACGCCCGAACTCGGGTCGTCCTTGGTGATCGACCGCGCATACCTGGTGCACTCCACCGCGAGATCTTTGCACTCCTGGTTGTTCATGCCAAAGACAATCTGCTGGAAACAGGGGCTCGTGGCCAAGTAGAGGTGCAGGATCGCCTTCTTCGCGCCCTTCAGACTGTCCACCGTCCTCCGAATCAGCTCTTTCCTGCACGGCGACAAGACCTGCAGCCAGACGTCGTCCGGCACCACGCCGGGCGTTGTCACCAATCGCCTCGTGAAGTCCCAGTCCGTGTTTCCCGACGACGGGAATGCGATCTCAATCTCCTTGTAGCCCAACTTCACCAGCATCTGGAAATATCTCCATTTCTGCTCGCCGTCCATGGGGTCCACGAGGGATTGGTTGCCGTCGCGCAGGTCGGTAGCCAGCCATCGCGGCACCTTGTCGAGGCTCTTCGACGGCCATTGTCGGTCGGGGATGTTCAATGGCGTGAACTTGCGGTATTTCTTGGAGGGATCTTTGAGCCTGCTCACAGAAAGCTGTCTGAGCGAAGTCGGCGTCACTCCAATGCTTGGGGGAACCTACATGACCATTTTGAGTGTGGGGTTTCGGCTGGGAGCCGCAAGAAGGGACGAAGTTGTCGCGCACAAGTAGAGACCGTGATGGTCAAGTGTGGAGAGGTATTTATGATCACACGCGTAAGAAGTAGTCGTCAGAGGGATTGTCTGTTGGAGCAAAGAGCGTGAGTCAATAATGTGAAAAATGACATCGACCTGTGGTGATCCTGGAAACTTCTGAGGCACGCGGATGCAATCTGGAGGCGGGGCAGGAAAGGTCCGGCGATTTCGCGCGCCCGCTACTGCTGCCGGTCATCAATCCATTCACTCCCATTCGACTACTAGCCTGCCACGCATGTGATCTCACACAGCCGTCATGTCCAATGTTCCTGAGAGGGGAGTGTCAAACGACGCCCTACTGTGCCTACGCCCTACGAAATAGACAATACTGCAAATGCTAATGCCGATGCTAACCGACCGTGCATTGGTCCATCTCCACAAATCTGTATCACATGTAACGCACACCTTACCGCTGAAGATCTCGCGGAAGAAGAGAACATCAGAGCTTCGAATCCTGCTTCAACCTCACCACGCCCTGTAACATCAATTAGCACCGGCACAACCTAACAGCATGCCCCAGGCGGAAGGGCAAACTCACCTCCTGCGTACAACTCGCAATCAACTTGCCCTCCTTGGAGAAGATCCTCTGCGTCACATACCCTCTCCCATCGCCCGCCCAGGGAGTCTCGCACTCGGTGCACATCCACTCGTCCGCCCGGAAATCCTTGGTATGGAAATAGATGGAATGATCCAAGCTGACCATCATTCCAATCTCCGGCCGCCTCTCTTTCAGCCCAATCACTTCACCGTCTTTGATCTCCAGCGTCTTGAGCTGGTTGATGATGTCGTCGTCCATCCCTTCCACCCGCTTCAACGTCTCGAGGTCCATGTTCTTCAACCGCTCGAAGACATCCCGCGTGATCTGTTGTCTCGCGTCGGCGTTTTCTTTCCCGCGTGGCCCGACCTGCGAGTAGCGCCAGAGTTTATGGGAGCGTGCTACGGTTCCGATGAAGTAGGAATCGGACATGTATGCCAGAGCGGAGAGATGGGCTTGGTGGCCGCCTTCCGCGCTGATCTTGCCGCGTGCCTTGATCCATTGGCGTGTTCGTTTCTCGTGCGGATGGGGGGAGTCGTTATTCGCGATGTCGACGCGCTGCGTGACGAAGGGGGAATTGGCGCCCGCCAGGACATCGACGGGCTCGTCGTCGACCGGAGGACGGATATCGGGTTTCACGGCTTGGTGTTCGACTAGCTGTTTGCCCCCGGAGCCCTCGCGCATAAAGGACAGGGTAGTGGTGAAGATGGGCTGGCCTCGCTGCCGGGCCTGGACGGTGCGTGTTGCGAAGGAGCGGCCTTCTCGGACGTGTTCGACATGGTATATGACAGGGATCTCACTGTTGCCGTTCAGGACGAAGTAGCAGTGCATGCTATGGACCACAAAGTTCTCGGGCACAGTCTTTTGCGCTGCTGCCAGGCATTGTGCTATCACCGCGCCGCCGTAAATCCCTCTTGCTCCGGGGGGATGCCATAGCGGTCGCGTGTTCGTGAAGAGATTGGGGTCGATGTCGTTGAGTGATGTTAGCTCGAGAACATCTTGCATAGGAGCTCTGTCATTTGAAGGAGGCGGTGGCTTGATCAGCGTCGCATAGGAGCGCGAAGTCATATTGGCGGAAGATGGTGGTCTACCAAGAGTGCTAAGAGATGTGACCTGAGTGTGCAAGGAAAGAGCATGGGTTCAAGAACAGGGTTTATCCTCATTCCAGAATGTGTGCTGCTATCTGATGACTACGGCCCTTTTCCGTGTTCGACACCCTGCTTGCCTAGGCTGCGCTGGCTAATCGCGAAGCTCACGCCTGCCGAGGTCCGCGATATCCCCGAGGCTTCGGCTCATAAGCGAGTCAACTTCACTTCTCACTTCTCAAGGACCGGCGGGAACAACGCTGTGCGCATCATGTGTCATATCCATGGATAAGTGCTCGAGACTCTCCAATGTCCCTGCCTCGCTATCGTCGGCACCTGCTCAGGAGTTACGAGACCCTGGACAACCACCATAATCTGGGATGCTGGGATTCTTTCACATGTGAAAGCCCCTAGCATCGGACGTCGGGACGACGTCCGACTCTGATCCGAGAACGAGAATCAATCCTAGTCTTCACAGTCAGTCCCTTGAATCGCTTCTTTTGGAAGCAGTCATCCCGTCCCAAGTCCCTGCCAATTGTGCGCGGCATTGCGCTTAGCAGCCAACCTGACCGCCTTGACGATACGCTCATGGCTCTTGACTTCGTCTTCCAGCTGCTCTTTGTAGTCTTCCAGGTGATCCTTCTCGGAATGCAGAATTTCAAGTCCTCGCTCGCGCCGCTTGGTCCTCTGGTCTCGGTAGTCGATCTCCGGCTCATATTCTTTCATCTGTACCTCCAGAGTCCTCTTCGATTCCTCAGTTTCAGCATTTACGCTGCCCAATTTCCGCTTTAGACCCCCGTCTCCTTCAGCAGCTTCTTCATCCCCCTTCGTCGCTTCCTTCGCCCTCTTCAGCTCAGCTCTGACTTCTTGCAGCTGTGTATGCTGCTGCTGTGTTGGCCGTGTCAATCTCCGAATTTCGGCCTTTGCAGAAAGAGCTAGCCCGAGCGCTCCCTTGAACCGTTTCGACCAATCATTGATTCGCCTTCTTCTTCTTCTCCTTGTCGAGTTCCTTTTGAAGACGTTCCAAGTACTGACTCTGCTTGACCATCTTTTCCTGACATGCGCCCGCTTGCTCATGACTTCCCTTGCCACTATTCTTGTCGAAGCGCCTCACCATTTCCGCAATTTCGTCGCCGTAGCGAACTAACCGGCTGGCCTTTTTAAAATCATCTCGAAGGACTCCCAACTCCATCTGCACCCATTGATTCTCTTGATGCACCTTCTCTTTGGAATACAGTAATTCCTTGTATCAATTGTCATCCTCTTCGCACGAACGATGTAGTTGTATCAAACCGTATTCGACTGAAGGCTGTTCGTCCACCAACTGAGTGTTTTGGCGTAAGAGACCAGCGCGCTCCTTGGTTTGTTTGACAGGCTCGCTTTCCTTGGTCTGCATTGCCTCGTTTCTCTGCTGGACGATCCAAGTGGCAGATTGAAGCTTTCTTCAAACTCGAGGGGGCCCTCTCTCCAATCCACTGACGTGATCGTTGAGTCCTGCAAGACACTGCTGGGCTGTCATAGCCGGTGGGCGAGACGTTTACGAGGTGGAGGAACGATTCTGAAGACTACTCTGCTGCGGCAGAGCCCGAAGACGTGGAGTCGGGAGTCCCTTCCGATTCTGTCGCAGGTGACCCAGCTGTGGCCATGATTTGTTCTGTTGAGTTGGGAACATCGGCGCTGACTGTTGGCTGGATGCGTAGTCTCTTGTCGGTCCAGAGACTCTGTGGTCTAACCAGGCCATATTGCTGGTGAAAGAGAGAATGCGTATTGTTGGTCCGACGAAATGTCGTAGAGGTTGAGGGACAATCACCCAAGTCTTGACAGATTGTGTGTCGGATGCATGTGAGAATGCCCAATTTGCCGTCAAAATCGGGTGTACGTCGTCTTTGGCTGAAAATGTGCCGATTCGTTGGCGTCCACGCAGTGATTGCACGAACAGTAAGACACAGGCTGGTCACTATTGTCAGCTCATCAGAGTTCGATTCCATCCTCCACTACTGCTGCGTGCTGCACAGTTGGCTCCGAAATTGGACACTTGACATGATGCTGGCGGCAACAACATCTTGGGCGAGGTTGAGCATCTGCGGGCTGCCACATTGCCCGTGGACGAAAGTCTTGCTCAATTTTCGACGGAGTCAACGTGTCCTGCGAGTATCGACCCTGATGATGGCATCCAGATCGTGTCTAGACATGTCTGAGGATGCAAGAATGCGCCTTGGAGTGAGTTGGAGACATGAATTCGCGTGCTCACATGACACAGTACATGCTTTCTGGAAAAAAGGATTCCTCGCTTCCCTGCCGCCGAGGGCAGGCGATGGAGACAAGCTGACCTTCCCTTCAAGGGCAAGTATGGAGGTGGCCAGGTAGATCTGCCCGCGGGGAAGGGTGTCGATGCTCGCGTGACACACATTCCGATATTAGCATCTGACGATGGCATTGACGACATGGCTACAGTAGCATCTCGAGACACGAGATTGTACCGCGCAACCGCCTTCAGGGTCGATTGGAACGCGATTATTGTCCCGAGTGGTTGGCAAAGTGGAGATAGTGTCGTCCGGAGGAGTGAGAGATGGCCATGCCGGCATTCTTCCATCACAGGCAACAGCAAAGTATAGCTGTCATGAAGGAAGTATTCGACCGGATCTCGAAACTAGTCATGTGCTCTAGACTCCGATGGGTATAGCTTGTGTGCAAAAAGGCCCGTTGAAGGATGGTGTTGGACCAAGCATTGAAGCAAGCATCCGGGATCGACGACGGGCTCGCTACGGTGGTGGGGGTGGGGGGGGGGCAGGCGTGGCAGGCAGGGAGTCGCGTGCCGCGTCACCTCGAGCACGGGACATGTCGCTGTGGTATGCAGCGTGGATGCGGCGTGGATGCGGCGCGTATGCGGAAGGGGGAGTAGTGATGAAGAAGTGGATGATGACCGATGACTGTGGATGGTGAAATGGAAATGGTGAAGAAGATGCAGACGATTAGGCTCATCAGGGCCGCGCCGGGAAGGGGTGGCTATCTCCGCACAGCCGAACTGTCGGAGGTGGTGAGGGTGATGGGCCAATGGGGGTCGAGTGCGCGCGCATGCCATGCGACGGAAAGAGGCCGAGTCGTGTTGGAGTCTGGACTATCACTGCATTGTGCATCACCTCAGCGCAGCCGCACGCCGCACGTTGTCGTCGAGAGCCTTCCATTCTGGCGCGACGGCACAGCCCACCGCCTACCGCCCACCGCCCACCGCTCACAGGCTGGGGCTGCTCTGATCTACTACGCGAGCGCGTACCCATCTTCCTCCCCCACGGCACACCACACCACACCACGGCACACCACAGCACAGCACGCAACACGAGCACACGACCTCTCTCTTCCTCTCTCTTCCTCTCTCTACCATCTCTACCATCTCTTCTCCCTCGTCTGGTCTGGTCTGCCTCGTTCGTACCTCCCCTCAACTCCGAACAACCACCATCTGCCAAGCATCTTCTGCCATGGCCATGGCCCCGGCTGGCGGAACGAAAGCCGCCTACGCCCTCGAGTCGAGAGCCACCTCACTTTCGGAAAGCTCGACCCTCGCCGCCCACTCCCCCCATGGCTCCTTCGACGACGATGAGGAACTGCACAACCTCCTCTCCCGACGCTCCACCAGGCGCGGCTTCCTGCATCGTTTGCTCGGAGCCCTGGGCATGTCCGGTCTGCGGAGGCGCGACCATCACTTCTCCCCGCCCGCACATGACTTGCCCGAGGGTCTGCTGAGGAAACACCGAGGGCGATCAAGACCTTCGCCCCCGAGAGAGGTGAGGAAGTGTCGAAGGTCGTATGCTGCCGGCTGCATTAAGCGCTCACTTCTTGCTTCACCACTCGTGATCTTGATGGCCTTGTAAGTGCCACGCTACCCTCGGCGCGCATCAGGCCAAACACTAACGAATCGCCAGCGGCGTCTTGCATATTACAGAGGTATTAATAGGAAGAGCACGCCTGTTCTGGGACTCTGAAGCATTAGAAACCGATTTCCTCCCCAATTGGGGCAAGAAGGGTCAACCCGGTGAGGGGCTCGTCGAATATCCCACCGACGCCACACGAGATGTCATTCCCATCCCATGCCACTCCCACAACGATTACTGGCGGAGAGTGCCGCTCTTCGATGCCATACACTGGGGGTGCACGGGAGTCGAAGCAGACGTCTGGCTGTTTGACCAAGAACTCTACGTCGGTCACAACACCGCAGCACTCACCAAAAACCGCACCTTCCAACATCTCTACGTGAACCCGCTCGTCGATTTGCTCGACAAGATGAACCCTGACACCGAATTCGGCAAGACGACAGGCCACGGAGTGTTTGATGAAGATCCAGAACGCAGCCTGGTCCTCCTGGTGGACTTCAAGACCGGTGGACACGACACCTTCCCCTTTCTTTACAAGCAACTCTCCGCTCTGCGCGAGAAAGACTACCTGACCTACTGGGACGGCAAGGAACTGCACAGCCGTGCCGTGACGGTCGTCGGCACCGGCAACACCCCCTTCGACATGATCGTCCAAAACACCACCCGCCGCGACATCTTCTTCGACGCACCCCTCGACCGTTTCTACGAACCCCTCCCTCCTCCTTCTCCTCACCAACAACGTTCAGAACCCTCCGATTCCACCACCACCACCACCATCACCACAAAATACCAAAGCTCCCCCCAGGGCTCCGTAGGAACCCCCAACACCACCCCCGACGACTTCTCCCCCGCGAATTCCTACTACGCCAGCGTCTCCTTCACCCACGCCGTCGGCTTCGTCTGGCGTGGCCACCTCTCCCCCCGCCAGATGGAAATCATCCGGGGCCAGATCCGCGGCGCCAAGAAACGCGGCCTGAAAGTCCGATACTGGGATACCCCCGTCTGGCCCATCAACAAGCGCAACCATATCTGGCATGTGCTGATGCGGGAGGGAGCGGACATGCTGAATGTGGATGATCTGAAGGGCGCTGCGGTGGAGAGTTGGAGGGCGAGGATGCATGATTTCTGGCGATGATGAGAACAACGGCTTTTTTTTTCGGAGGTGAATGGAATGGAATGGAGAAGGCATGGGAGGAGGGTGCACATACGGCGTGACGATGACGAAGAGTATGGAAGGAAGGAAGGAAAGAAGGAAAGAGGCGACTTGAAAGACGAATGAACTAGGCTGGCTGGCTGGCTGGCTTGCATCGGCAGTCTCTTAAGAGGCCATGTTTCTCCCCCATCCATGCATGCATGATACCCATTCTTGCGTTTTGAGGAAAAACCCCCCATATTTTGGAAAAATGAGAGAGAGAGAACCAAAAAAAAAACCAGGCAGCCGAGATCAATTCCGAGCTGCAAGTCTGTAGAGGGCAAAAGATGATACATACATGAAGAATTTATTGACGAAAGAAGAAGGAAAAAAACTAGATTTGCTCTGCTCTGAAATGGAAAGAAAAAAAAAAAAAAAGACATTGCAGAAGGGTATCGTCGTCCAGTACCCACAGGGTTTAAAAAATAATAATGGGGGAGAAAGAAGCCCAGCGCCGCCCATTTCCCATGATGCCCGTAGAAGAAATCATCCATGTCTCGCGCCGCTCTTTCAATCAATCAATCAATCAATCAATCAATCAATCAATCAATCAATCAATCAATCAATCCCCCATGACGCTCTCCGCCGCCTCCTGTTCGGAAGGCGCACCATTCGCCGCCATGGCTTCATCCTCCTCGTCCTCATCAGATGCTCGCCCTTCCCCGGCTTCCAACAACTCCCGCTGTCGCCGAGCTTCTTCTTCTTCTTCTTCCTCCTCTTCTGCATCTTCAATCTCATCTTCGTGGTCGCTGTCCGCGACAATCGCATTAGACTTGGCCGAAGCCTTGGTGGTGGTGGTCGTCGTCTTCTTCGCAGCGGGAGGAGCAGTCGTGGCTTTCGGCGGCTTGGCCTTGCCCTTGCCCTTGACCTGCTTCTTCTGCTGCTGCTGTGCATCCAGATAATTCAGGACCTCCTTGAAATTGTGGCCCAGCTTACTCTTGTTGCGCTCGAGCCTCTTGCGATGGGAACGGTCGTCGAAGACGCCCGATGCCATGGCGTAGACAATCTTGGCCGTCAGCTGGCAGAGTCGCTCTTCGGCCAGGACAGGCTTCATGGCCTTGGCATTGCGCTGTTGCTGCGTGGCTTGAGTCGGTGGCTGTGTCTCGTCGTCGGATCCATCGTCTGACAGGGGATCATCATCGATGGGGTCGGCATCCACATCCTCTTCCACTGCGTCCTCGGAAACAGCCTCCTCCAGTCTCTTGCCCGTGAGCTTGGCAAATTCCCTCTCCACCGCAGCGAACACTTTCATGACCGACTTCTGGCGGTCCTCGTCGAAATCCATGATGAGCACGGTGTAGCTGTCGCTGAGCCCAGGCCGTCCCTTCACGGTGCGCAATACTGCCGACGAAGTATAGAGATCGAGGAGACAGCCGCTGACAGAACTACAGATCGGCTCACTTGCACGTCTAGAGTCAAGTGCCTTCTCCAAGTTCTCGGCATAGGCATCGCGACGTTCCGCAAGAGCCTCCAGCATCTCATCGCCGAGTTCGGAGCTGGCGCCAGTCTTGATCGCGGTCATTATTGAGAGCAGTTTCCATCGGAAGTAGAAGAGAGCTGCTTCAGCAGCGCGGGCGGCGACCAGATCCTCCAATTGCGCCTCCTCGGGGTCGGGTGACGGTCCACTGGAATGAGTAGCACGTTGCACGAGGTCGATGATGAAGTCAATCGCGCCGTTATATTCCTTCCCGGTGGGATCATCTTTAGCAGCGACATTGGTATCCTCGAGTGGTGCGATGCAGTTGGAAACCTGAGCGAGACGGCAAATGCGTAGAAGATTGTTGCTCAGAGCTGTCAGTTCTTGCTGCTGCGCAGCTCCACGGACTGTCACGGTCTTGACGTTGAGCAATTCGGCCAGGTTTCCCACCACGTCTTCCCACAGAGTCGTAATCTTGTCTGTGGCTGTGTCATCCAGCTCTCCGTACGACTGAGCGTGCAGGATAGCTGCAGTGGCCGGAGCGAGCACCTCGTCAGTCCCATGCGACATGAATTGCTTGCGGAGATCCTCCAAGAGCGAAGCACTTGCTGCGGATTCATAGCGTAGGCCCTGGAGCGCTGGAAGGGCGAGGACGCCTTCCAATCGCAACACAGCCCCAGCAGTACGCGACTCATCGCCAAACTTCCTCAACAGCTTGGGAATGATTTCCGTCAAGTTTCGGACAGCTTCTTCTTGCTCTTCCTGCAGCTCTTCCTTCTGCTTTTTGGTGAGCTTGGATTTCGTGCCGGTAATCTTCTCTGCCAAGGCGCCCAGTGAGCGCTTAACGCATGCATTCAAGACCTCCAAAAGTGTGATCTCCTCATCCGGTTCCAGAGTGCTTTGCGCCTTAAGCTGGGAGAGAGAATCGTCGCCGGCCCCGTTCGCGCGAGCCCCCGAATGGTCAAACAGCAGATGCCCTGCCAACGCCTCCCAATCGTGGAGATCGTCAATCTTGTCGTAGAGCACATCTACGGCAAGCGTGAATCGCGAGTCGACTCCTGCAGCATGGAGTACGAGGCTTCCGTCGTTTTTACTGCGCTCGACATGGCTTGGCAGAGTGTCGTCCTGGTCATAAGCTTGCAGCGATTCGGCGAGTGACTTGAAGCGGAGCCATTCAACTCTCGGTGCTTCGAAATTGCCTTCCCCGGGGTCAGGGATGGCTTCTTCGAGAGACTCGAATCCGCCAAGTTCGTCGACCCTTGCATTGTAAAGATCGTTCACGTTGGCGGAGAAGAAGCCGGCAACGGCCACGCGGACCTTATTGTCCTCGTGGAAGACTAGGCGTCCAATGGCGTCGATGTCATCGGGCTCAAGCAGGTCGTTCGCGCGAAGTACATCGAGCAGCTCGAGGCCGGCCACACGGACACCAGTGTCGGCATCAGACGTGCCAATCTCCACCATCCGTGAGCGAAAGCGTTCGGTAAATGTTCTCAAGCCTCCAATCTTGTCGCTATCATCGTATAGCCGACGTAGCTGCTTGACATCTTCCAGTCGGACTGCTGCATTTTCGTCGCTCAGTTGCCACCCAAGGTATCGAAGGTGATGGCCGTCAAAGAACTCGTCAGGCAGAGACAGTATCCAATCTCCGAGCGCTTCTACGCAGTCGCGGCGTATGAGAGGATCAACATCGCGATACCGGTGAATGAAGACAGTCTCGAACCAGTCCTTGATGTATCCTCGTACTCTCTCCAACTGATGACTGGCCTCTTTGGCTTTCTGTTCAATTTGCTTCACACGCTCCTTGTTTGGCTTCGGTCTCTTGCTCTCAGCATCGGCATGTCGTTGGTTGTCCGCTGATTTGGTCGCAAGCTCGCTAGCGATCTCACAAAGCGCTGTGTTGATACTCAGCGAGCAGACTGTCGCCGTGTGTCGAAACGGGCGATCCGTAGCAGAGGCCATAACCGGCAGCCAAATTTGCATATTCTCCATAAGCTCAGGTTCGCTAAGCAAACCTTTAGCCGCCATTGACTTGATGAGCACTTGCATGAAAGTCGAGATGGTGGCTTTGAACGCGGCACCCGCGTTTTTGCCCTTCGCGATCAGCGGATAGTCCGTTGGCTGGGTGGCCTTGTGTTCCTCCTGGAGATCTGATAGCCGCGGCGTAGCGTTGTCTGGGTCCTCAATGTCATCCTCTGTAACCTTGCCATCACAGCCAGCTGCCTTCAACATGAAGTTGATGATATCAGCCAAGGCACGAGACTCATGCGCTTCGAATGCTTGCAGCCACTGGTCCACGACTTCCTCGAAAGCCTTGCCATGCGCGAAGAGCTCGGCGTAGAGGCCGCCAGCCGCTTCAGCGTCTGCAGTGTTCACAGCCATTGCCTTCTTTGGAGCGCGTTTCTTGGCGGGTGCCCTTTTGCCTGCTCCTTTGGTCACTGGACGGATCGGGAGAGTGACTCCATTAACCTTTGGTTTCTTCTGAGCCGGCTTCTTAGGTGCGCTGCTTTTGGGCTTGCGCGCTCGCTTCTGCGCACGGATTTCCTCTTCTGCAGGCGCGTTATCTTCTGGATCTTCCTCCTCCTCAGACTCCTCCTCATCATCCATATCAACATCTTCGTTGGCGTCTGCTGGCTCATCATCGCCGCGCTTTCGTTTGCTATTGCTGGAGAATGGGCTCGACGTGTAATGCTGGGGCTGCTTTCGCACGCGTGACGACGCGCGTTTCGAAGCCGCGGGCGCGTCTGTCGCCGTATTACTTGAAGTTGCCATGCTTCTGCTGTTTGTTCGATTGGAGAAACGCGTGTTCCCAAACTAAAACGATGTCGCGTTGGGTCTGGCGGCGACAGGGTATTACGTTCCGACGTGTGGTGCAAGATCAGCTCATCTTTCCCCTCGTGAAAGTCGACGTTGTGCGCGCGAATGATGCGCCGGACGGTGGTTGCAGTCGTCGTGTTGCTTGGAAATGCTAGAATTGAAAGTGAATGTCGCCCGAGACAGACGTGGACCCCTCCTTCATCAAATGGAGGGCGCGTCGCGGCCCGGCATAACATCGGCAACTGCAGACTCTAAAGTGACACCTTCGACTCCATTTCGCGTTCGTGTCATCAATGACATCTCCAAGATCCGATTGCATCTAATTTATCGTTCCGCCCCTACATTGCCTTTGGAATGGTCAATTTTCGGGGGATGACTGACGTACTTCAGCCGGTGGAACCTACGAGCATGACAGTATAGAGCAGTTTGTTGTATAAGCTGAACGGATATCGATGAACCTCTGTCCTGCTGATGTCCCCCTCAGAAGCACTATTTTGGCTGGCTCAAAGATCAATTTGAACACTGCGCTGGCCGTTGCCCTGTCCGGCACGTACACTCGGGGCCTGCTCTTGTACGTGAGCCATATCCTTGACGTGATCTTGCCTGCTCTTTGATTGCCCTGGCCTGGACAGTACCGTCTCACTGAGCTCTCCCCTTCCTCGAGAGACCCGCCGACCCTTCGGGTGGTTTCTTGACTCTTCAACCTGGCAGAAGCGGAATCTGGACAATCCATGGAACTTGGTGAGGATGCTCCTCAGTCCCTTCTATCGCGGCATTCACGAACAGTGTCTGTTTGCCGGGTTCTGGAGTCTCTTCAATCTTGCAGCAACCCTCGCGTTCCAATTTTGCTGCTTTCTTAGTTTTCTCTTCCACAACATCCGCCGAATCATATTTCTTCGCATGCACACCAGCCAGCGTCTCAACGACAACGGACCGATCGTTGTCGATGGCAGTGAAATGCGACACAGGCTCGTGGAGCTCGCTCTTCCAGGTGATCATCTTCGCGCCCCACTGTGCGTGCATATGACCAAAGCAATGCATCTTTGGTCGGGCTCGAGCGACGGCAGTAAATAAATTTGGGCATCCGTATCGCTTTTTGGAATCGGCGTAGTCGAAGATGCCTCGAGGCGGGCCGTGTGTGATTGCGATGTCGACATCTTGGCCAATGCGATAGTCGTGTCCGTCTTCGGGAGGATACTGGAAGCCCCACTCACTTAGGGAAGGCGTGAAGGGACTTGCATAGACGGTTAGAACGGCCTTGTTCTTGAGCTTGAAATGGTGAGTACCTTCTTCCAGAAAGACGATACCTGCTGCCTTGGCGTCATCTGATCCAAACAGCTGTCTTGCTTCGCCAAAACCGCCGTAGGATTTCCTGACAACTTCCTCGTCAACTGGAGATGGAATATCGGCCAATTTTTTCTTGAACGTGGGGACGTCCATGGTCCAGTCATGGTTGCCTGCGATGACCAGCTTCAAGGGTGCTTTGATGCTCTTAAGTAGCTGGATTGATGATCGAAATTCGTCGATCTTTGATTCTTCGGTGAGGTCTCCGCAGTGTATAGCGACATCAACTTCTAGATGTTGATAGTCAAGCTCATCCCCGTGTGTGTCTGAGATGACAATGCACTGGGTAGGTATGTGGGATGCCATAGTCGCTTTAAATTTTGGAGATGGGTGACGGAAAAGTTTTACAGGTCTGGGTCAAGTTTCAAGATGATTACTATCATACGCTCGGAATGAAACCATGATTAGATTTATAGAGATGGATTTATGAATGAGATGGTGAGGACCAGGATTGAGTTTGCTTAGACTAACCTGGGAGGTAACGTAGTAAAGTTACTAACTCCCTACAGCACCTCGTCGTGTTGGAGAGTCGTGCCCATCCCGAGTATCTTAGCAACAACAGAGATCCCAGTCAGCTAAACAGTATCAAAAGGAGCGATAGCTACCTACTTTTAAAAACAACCAGCCTAGCTTTACGGGATGATCCGTGCGCTGCGGGCTCGCCCGAGGTAACGGAGCTAGTTCGGCTTAGTCCCATTGCGCGGATGCTCCAACAGACTTGCGAAATCCTCAACTCCTATTACAACCGCAACGACCTAACGACTTCCCGTACTTTGCTCGCTTTGCGCGGGCTTCTTTTTAATCAAACATGCAACTTGGATAATGGTTGCTGCTCTGAGAATGTCTAATCCCTTTACAAATGCGCCTTCTTCCGCTGGCCGTGGAACCATACATCTGGCTCTCTTGCCGCCTCATACACCACGACTTCGAACTGTGAATTATCAATATCCACTGAAACTGGTCTCCCCGGCGCCGGTCAGAACTGATAGTGAGCTGGCGCATCTCATTCATACAGTCTACCTTTTAACATACGGAGGTGGCTTGGTGGCTGGCGATACCATCGACTTGCATGTCACGCTTGAAAAGTCCACGCGACTTATATTGCTCACTCAAGGCAGCACAAAGCTATTCAAATCGCCTGGACGGGACGTAATCAGCACGCAATCTATGAACGTCGCTGTCGAGCCAGAATCAGCGCTTTGCTACCTGCCAGACCCGGTCCAGCCATTCGAGAGAAGCAATTTTGAGCAATGCCAGATGTACAACATCAATCTCCCAGCGTCTTCCGATCTAAGGACTGGTAATTTATGTGTACTTGACTGGGTCTCTAATGGGCGTCCTGCGAACGGCGAGAATTGGTCCTTCTACCACTACGGCAGTCGCAACGAGGTCTATCTTCGTCAGATTGACGGGAAACGGAAGTTGCTTCTTCGAGACAATCTGCTGCTCGATGACCAGATCATAAGCGGCGGCATCGCTCGAAGAATGGATGGCATGGCCGTGTACGGCACACTGATCCTTTACGGCCCTCTCTTCCACAATCTTGGTCAGTTCTTCATGAGCGAGTTCAAATCTACTCCTCGCATAGGCGGTAGAAAGTGGGACAGCGGCAGTGAGAGTTGTGATGAAGAAGAAGTCGACCCAAGAGCTCACCGCAGAGCAGAAAGACACCGCATTGAGGCTGCTGACGGTCTGCTTTGGTCGGCGGCTTCAGTACGCGGATGCATTGTCGTCAAGTTCGGAGCGCCTGTCCTTGAAGCTGGCAGACGATGGCTCTGGACTATGCTTGCTGAGGAGGGCTCTGTAGTCACTCAGTTCGGCGAGAGAGCGTTGCTGTGCTTGCGATAGGTTTCTCACCGCGAGACGCGTGGCAGATGAGTGATTCGCGAACACAAAGCTCAAGTCTCTATTAGATTGCCGGGTACTTGTCCACGAGTGAGCATGTCGGCATTCTGCATTGTCCATATGTGGCACCTCACTGCTAGCGCGTGCAGATCACTGCAAAGCTTACACCCCGCCACGGCACAACACTCAACGAACATCAAGACCTTTCATAAAGATATTGACTACTGCAGTGGACATGATACTGTAGCAACACCGACATGATAGAAACTCTGACATCGAAAGAACTTTTTCCAAATGGAGAGGCGGTGATGGACGAAGCAAAGGTGGTGACCAAAAAGGAAGCACAGTTGAAACGGGACAAATATGGGCTTCCATTAGAACCACAGCCCAGCGACCACAAAGACGACCCTCTGAACTGGCAATGGCTCTGGAAGGTCTACATCGCGCTCCTCGTCTCCGGTATAGCCTTCACAGCACAAGCAGGAGCTGCGCTCATCAACCCGGCCTTCGTCACCATGTCAAGGGAGCTGGACATCACGGTCGAGCAAGCCTCTTATTGCACAACCGTCTTCATCTTATTCAGCGGGGTTCTATCAATGTTCATAGTGCCCTTTGCCAATGTCTATGGCCGACGCATCTGCTATGTGATATTCACTCTTGTCGGCGTTGCGGGAGCATTCACGTCGGCCGGAGCCCCATCATATGGCGGCATCATTGCTGGTCGGGTATTGAACGGTGTTGGAGGCAGTGTACCGCTCGGTCTTGGAGCTGCGTCTATTTGCGACCTGTTTACACAAGGTAAACGAGGTCTTTACATGGGCATATATGTCCTGAGTGTCAACAATGGACCTCATATTGCACCCATTGCTGGTGGATATATTGCCGAACGCCTGGGATGGAGATGGTGCTTCTGGGTACCTGGAATCGTACAATCTGCTCTTTGGGTGATCTTGTCGTTCACTCTACCCGAGACTCTCTTCTCCAGACCAAACGCCAACCAAATCGAACATCGGTCTTACATTCAAAAGCTGCTATTCCATGGCAAAGTCCTCGATCGCAAAGTGAGACCTCGCGATTTTGTGGGTTCACTGCGTATGGCTCGCTATCTGGCTGTTCTTTTCCCGGCGCTCTGGTTCATGACCGCGAGCACATATGGCAGCGCGATATTTGCAGTGACGGGTGCTCGCCAAGCAACGCAAATCTACCACTTTGATGTTGATCAGATAGGTCTATACCTCGGTGTTCCTCTTACCATTGGATTCTCCCTCGGTGAGGCGTCAGCTGGCTGGGTCAGCGACCGCATCGTGACTCTCGATGCGAAGCGCAATCAGAGAGAACGAAAACCAGAGGCTCGACTTTATCTGCTACCGGCCTGTACATTACTGGGTATCGGAACCGCTTTGTATGGATATTGCATTCAAAAACGGGAACACTGGATTTTCCCTTCGGTGTGCATGGTGAGTGTCTCCATTGCCTTCCCGGGCAAGCATGACCGTCCGTACTATCCTGCGTCCGTGCTAACACAATCAACAGGCAGTCAGCGGCTTTGGAACGCAAGTCGGAACGACGATGGTCTACACATACGCGACGGATTCGTATAAGCCTCAGAGCGGCGAAATCGGCGCTGTCATGAATCTTTTCAAAGCCAGTGAGATATCCCGTAAGCCTACGGGGGCTTTTCACGTGCTGACACACCTGCACCAGTCTTTACGTTCAACATTGGATTCTATGCCCTCCCGTTCGGAGAGAGTGTCGGCTTCGATGCCTCGTTCTCGATACTGGCTGCGGTAAATCTCGCACTCCTGCTACCTTTCGTGTTCCTCATCTGGAAAGGCGAGGAAGTCCGAAGATGGCAGGGCAAGCCAACAGATCATGCTGATCTTTGAGCGGTTGAGAATTGTCCTTTCCAACCTCAACTTTGGGTGGAATCCGTCATCTGCATGCGCTGAACAGCTCTTTGAGCGGGGTATGGCGGGACGATCGGGAACCTTGGCATTGATTTATTGCGCTCTTTATTGCACAACCTCAGCGACGCAAGCCATCGACATCACGAAACAACACACCGCAATCATGGCCACCGCACTCTCGTCCGACGACCCTGTACTGAAGCAGGTCTTCCGCGATTTCGTCTCTGGATGCCACATCCTCCATCATCATCGGTAGGTCGACTTCCAACAGCAACATGATCTTGAGAAACTGATCTAGTCCTAGTGTCCTCGATGCTTACGGCCATCTTTCCGTGCGACACCCTCACAACCCCGAACGCTTCTTCATGTCCCGCTACATCGCACCCGCCACCATCTCCTCCGAAAGGGACCTGGTAGAATACTACGTCGACAACGCGGAACCCATCGATCCCAACTCCGCCAAGGGCTACTCCGAACGCCACATCCACAGCGAAATTCTCAAACGTTACGCTTCCGTCAACGCGGTCATCCATTCGCATTCCGACGCCGTGGTGCCCTATACCATCTCTGGTGTCCCCATGCGAGCGTGCTACCACATGGCTGGCTTCCTGGGGAATGAGGTTCCGGTGTGGGATATCGGGGAGTGTTGGACGGAAGGGGATCGGAAGGACATGTTGGTTAGTAATGCTTATCTTGGGTCGAGACTGGCGGCGTCTTTTGGGAAGCAGGCAGGAGGTGCCGGGGTAGGCATTCCTGAGCATGCGGCGGTTTTGATGCGAGGGCATGGGTTTACGGTTCAGGGGGAGAGTATTATGGATGTGGTGCTGAGGGCTGTGGTGAGTCTTTCTTTTGTTCTTTTTCATCTCTCGTTTGATCTTGATATCAAAGGTAGTGTGCTGACGTTTTCTCTGATATAGTATACACAGCAGAACGCCTCTATACAGACCACGGCATTGTTGACGAGAGCAGCGCACATGAACGCTCAAAACTCTGGCACGGGCGACCTTCATTTCCTCAGTCCGGAGGAATCTCAAGGAGCAACACAAATGACCCGCTGGTCCGCAGGACGACCATGGAGACTGTGGCTGCGAGAAGTCGAAGCTCAGGATTTATACGTCAACACCGCGTGAGGACGAACAGAGCGAAGCGATGCGAAGCGAAGGGAAGACACTGTCCTCCTTTTGAACATCAACCATACTGTACAAAAAACCCAACCCCATACAAAAGCCTCCATCTCCCCTGTCGAAGTCTATCCCCAATAATCTCAAGCCACCACACTCAGACTATACTTGTTCGTGGTGAAGGCCGCCTCACTCCCCGTGAAAGCTTCCGTCCCCGCCCCGGCACTCACGAGATACTGCGCCTTCTCAAACCCTTGATCCGAAATGAGATAGGTGAAGAATTGCAGCACATCGCCGCTGAAATTCGTCACGTGGCTCCCGTCTGCCGGGACGAAGGAGAAGACCGTCTGTGCGCCGTTGGAGCCCTTGTAGAGATTCCAGCTCGTGCCGCAGAGGGTTGTCGTGGCGATGGAGGTGGCGTTGCCGTCGGAGCCCTTTTTTTTGGGTCAGGTCATGTCAGTGAGGTTGAAAGGGGGAGGAGGGGGCGGGGGGATGGGTGAGGGAGAGGATGACTTACGTATTTTGCGGAAATGGGGCCCGCGCCGCCCAGGGCTGCGAGCCAGACCATGATTTCGTATTCCTCGGAGCCGCCGGATGTGGAAGAGGTGAACATGTCTATGAGCCATCATCAACAGCCTTTCTCTTTTTTCTCTCTGTCCAAGTTTCTTTGGCTGCGGAAAAAACACAATTTGGGATTTTTTTGGATTGATTTGGGAATTCGATTCGGAACATACCATACGCCACATCGGCCACGAGATCCGTACCGTTATAACTCCAATCCCACTCCGATTTCATGGATTTGACCGAAGAGAGCTGTGGCGAGGAAGAAGTCAAAGAAGTGAGCACGGCGTTGGCGTAGGATTTCACGTCGTTGGCACCGCCGGTCCAGGACCACCTAGAAGGGCACCAGAGTTTTAGAATCAAGGGAGCGATGAACCATAGATCATGGTATTGGGAACTCACGTGGTGCTCCAGGCGAGCACGTCGCTGCTCAAGCTTGTGACGCTGAAGCACTGGCTTCCGGAATTGGCATTGCTCTGGCCCCACAGGTTGTTGTAGACGGTGTAGACGCCGGTCGGGACGCTTCCGTATTGTTCGCAGTTGCTGCTGCTGCTGTACTGTTCCTGGGTCGAAGTCGACATCGGAGCGGCGGCAGCGAGGCTGGCGAGCGCTGCTGCGGCTGTGATGGATGCGGTCCAGCGCTTCATCTTGGCTGTCTGTGTGCTTTGGATTTCTGTTGGATTGGCGAGGACTGAAAAGCCTTGTGCTTTGTTTTCGAGGCTGTGGAATGAATGGAGTTGTCAAGTTTGGCCAAGATCCAGCTTGGGAAAAGAAAGAGAGCGAAAGTCAAGAATCAAAACACGAGGAGAGGGAGGGGAAAGGCGTCAGGAAAAGTTGGCGAAGCGTATCTGACGATTATATGGCAACGTTCTTATACCCGCGTCCTACACCATACTCTGCATTGCGCACCGGACAAGTCCTGTCTTTCCTCAACGTTGGCTCATCGCGCGTATGGGATAAAAGGGATTCGTCCGTGGCGGCCAGGTTCCAGGGAGCGTTTTTAATGTACATGATGCTCACGCCAAGGTGACAACCAGAGGAGCTTAACATCGATGAAACGTGGATCACAAGGATGTTTGTTACAACAACCACAGCAACCATTGCGGCTGCGGCCTGCTCGTGCGACAAGGATGATGATTCCATGGACCAATCAACGGAGGGTCCTACTGCACTGCCGGCTTCACTTCGCTTTTGATTATTTATCCGCTAACACAGCCAAGGGAAGCAATTTCTCCGAATGCTTCACATCTTAAGTAATACCCAGCTGAGGCACATGTGACCCTCCCAATGATGGACCATCGAGCTGAGGGCACCAAGCCGTCCCAGCCTCCGAGTCAAAAGTACTAGCCGTAGGGAGCTCTATATCCTTTTGTCTACCTATACCACTCGCTCGGCGGATCCTGGAGATGTCGCGCTTTGCTGTACGTGAAGGGCACATTGCGCGAGAGAGAGCGGGATGTGATTTGAATCGAAAGTCCCAGACACTCGCATAGACCACCATTCTGTGGGCAGGCGGAGAAAAATCCATGGAAGTGCCAATGATAGCTCCTGTATGGGAGCATGTCGTACCAGTTATGGAAATCGTCGATAGGCAGTAGTATGTGGTGTAGTAGTGCCCCTCCGATGATGAGAACAGCTCCAAGAACAGGCATAGGCATGTAGGTGACGATTAGATAGCTTCCAGTACGCCGGATGGTAGGTATCTAGTTGCCCCAGACTTTCAACTTTCTTGCCTAAGAAATGAAATCTTATTGCTAGATAACTCGGGCCGGAGCACTCGTGGCTTAGGATTCTACAGTAAACGCCGCCGCAGAGGGCTACTCTCTGTTTCAAGAGGAAATATCAATCGCCTCTCCGGAGATCTTCCACGCAGCGAGGTAGCCGGCGTGGATTAGATCGCTTACCGAGTCTGACTTGGGAGATAGTAATTGCTAATATTAGGCCCTAGTACGAGTCATTATGAGACTTTGTCTTGGGAAATTCTGAACGTCTCTACTATTAAGAGGAAGTATAATAAGTCCCCTCCTCGCCCTTTTAGGTCTTCGGACGAAGACAACTAACTAATCATAGCAATTATGCAGATCTCTATCCTACCTATTCTTACTACTCTCGCCTCTGCAGCGGCAGCACTCCAATCCGTTCAGGGCCATCAATGCCTCTCAACCGATCTTGCAGCTTGTCAAAAAGCAGGCTCTTGGGGTTGCACGATGAACGCCCTCGTACCTGCAATCAAAGGCCCGAACTGCGTTAAGCAGACGAAGGCTTGCGACAAGGCCTGCCTTGGTGGCTACGCTTACCAGAAGGATAAGTAAGTACTTGGTATAAATTAGTTCAAACTAGATATTAACAGTCTTGTTTGTAGAAGCACCGACAAGATTTGCATTTGCATGAATCGCGAAGATGCTGCCCAGCCTATTGATTTCGACTGAGTGGACGTTTGACCAATGAGAGGATATTGTTAGGGGAGATGCGGTAGAGAAGGATCAGGAGGATCAGGAGAATTAGGAGGGATAGATGTAGAGATATACGAAGCCAGCGAAAGCGGCGGTGGTGTGGCCAGAGGGGAAGGATTCGAGAGAATCGTCGATCTCTTTCTCGTCGCCGGTGCAGATCTTTCGATCGTACATGAGATTGTTAAAGCCATGGCCAAGCTGAGCTCCAAAAGGTACTGCAGGTTTGCGTACGGCGAGGAAATGAGGTCTGAGCCCACCGATGAGCCATTTCAGGAAGACCTGGAAGACCGCAGCTATGATCAAGCTGTACAGCAATCCAATGATGGCGTTGTTCGCATCCGAGAATGAGCGGACACGGATCTGCATGAACAGAATGATGGCGATAGGTACCAGGGCGGCCAACAGTGCAGCGAGTCATATTGGGACAATCTCTTTGCGCAACGGATATGCGAACTCGGGATAGACAAGGTCGCCGTCGGGATAGTAGATGGGGAATGATCTGGAAGGTGCGGGAGGGGCTTCATAGATATCAAGGCCAACGGCGCCCATCGCAATCATGGTGAGGATATCGAACAATGTCGCCTTGAGCCATTGTCCAAATGTTGGTCGCCTGTTCAGCATGTTATTGTCGTAGGATCTGCGCGTACCAGCTGTCGTTGCAGGACGATTCTTTTCACCTTTCTGGGCCGCCGAAGTCGCAGTGTTGGCATTTGCCGACTTCACGCGATGCTTGAAGAGAGCCATGGTTCTGGATCAAGCTTGTTATTGGTAAGATGGTCGGGGAGCGATATGTTACTGGGTTTTGGCCGCTGTCGGTCTGATTCGTAATGACATGTGCGGAACGAGCGACAATGGACTTGTGAAGGGTAAGCGAGGTGGCAGCAGCCTCCTCCCACTTCCATCTTCACCTTCGTTGCATCTTCGTTCAATCTTGCTTGGAGGAGGCGAAAACGTGGCAGAGCAAACACGGCGGTTACCCGACAAACTGGCGTGGAACCAACGCGACGACATTGTGGAGAGAGGGCGTCGTACATCTCTCCTCTCCGTACGACGTGTGACAATTGAGCAGCCTAATTGCCATCGGTGAGGTCCATGTCTGATTGTGGGACAAGGAGAGAATAAAGATGGAAGATGATTCTCACCGCCAAGCCGCTAGGATCAAGTGCAGGAGTTTCCAAATACCTGGATGTATCGCTGCACGCGCTCCACCTCATCGCCTATCGGCAGCTGTGAAGAAGGAAATCATCATCCTTCGAAGGATTTCACCATCTTTGCGGAATTCATCATCCTACAAAGCTCACGGCATTGTCGAGACCCAAAATAGATTGTCCCGCGCCGGGTGCGGTGCCAAGTTCCTGCGGCTGGCTGCATGGCATGGCATGGCACAGTGTCATTGCTCAGCCGCATCAACCGTTGGCTCTGGGCGAGCATCTTCTCCGCGCCACCTCTGTTCTCCCAGAGGACGCCCCTGTGATGGGAATGCGCTTGCAGCAAGCAGCCATGCGGCGTGAAAAGCCGGACGCGATGAGCTGTGTCTTGCTTCGTCGTCTCAGCAGCTCACCGGTTGAAGACCAAACCCACGTTGAATGATGGGCATGAGCAGCATCACGGTGGCACGGCACGGCTGTGTGTAGACGGGAGGCTGAGGCTGAGGCCGAAGGATCCAAGACGCGCGCGCTAAAACCCGTCGTAGGAGAAAAAGGAGAATACGGGCCAATAGGTCTAATAACGACGAAGTCTAATCACGAGAGGCACAGGCGACTTTCACCGGCGGAACATATTATATATGCTACACTCTCGCACCCGTGCCATCCCCCACACTGACAGGGCACCTCCGCAAAACACCAACATGAAGGCATACACTGCCATCTTCCTCGCCGCGAGCGCATCGCTTCTCAACGCTCAAGATTTAGGGGACCAGACCGCTCAGTACATCCAGCAAGTCTGCCTTCCGAACAACGCGACCGGCTACCCCGATCTCAACGCTCCTTGCAATGCCATCCAAGCCATCTTCGCCGAGTGCACCTTCGGTCCATCCTCCCTGGCCGATTTCCTATCCGAAGAAGCGTCCGCCAACTCCGGCAACTCCGACGGTAGCGACGACTACGCCGGCGACGTCGATGACGGCAAATATCCCATGCAGAGCAACGCGACCCAACGCACCTGCATCTGCGAATCCCAGTGGTTTGCACTCACCAATGCCTGTTTAGCCTGTTATCAAAAGCACGGCCTCCCCGCCGAGGACGACTTGAGCCCGAAACAAGTGAGCTCCATCTCATCTGCCTATTGCGCTGCCTCCGCAACGCCCACGCTAGGCTTTGCCTATTTCATCTATCAATACGCTCCCGGCGTGACGGGCACCTCTCTCCCAGCCTCTTCCACCGCAACGCCGTCCTCCTTCAGCGATCCACTCGGCAACAGGACCGAAGTCAGCCTCTACTACACGCCCTCCGTCACGGGCAGCGCCGCCTGGGCTATTGCCGAAGCGACAGGCACGTCTTCTGGTCTGGCCACCTTCACCACCACCCGAACTTCGAATGGCCAGATCGTCGCTACGGCTACGAATGGCGGAGGCTCCAACGGCGCCGCAACTGGTGCTGCCTCCTCAACCACTCGCAATGCGAACAGCACCACCACCACCGCTCCCAACTCAGCACACACGCACGGCGCCGCAGTTGTTGCAGGACTGATCGGAGTTGCGGGTCTGCTTGCCATGCTGTAGACCCGAACCGACTGTTCGGGTGCGATCATGTTTGATACGAATGAACGGAAGCAAGCGAGGCTTCTCGATCTGTGTTATTAATAAACGGCTTCTCGCTTTTATGACTTAGCGCTAGACAGACAGCCAGATTCACATGAAGTCTATTGCAACTGGTCTGCTGTTCTTTCTTCTTCGAGGTCTCGAAGGTTTCTTGTCCTACATTCTTCATATCTGACCAAGTTGGAACGAACCACCCCCAGTCTTTTGCTGCTATCAAATACAGTTTCTTGTCTAATGAGGGTATTCTCCTGATCAATGGAACCCTGGCAGATATCACAATCATTCTCCAGGTCGGTTCGTCCTGGACCACTCTCCTCAGGGAATTGAAACAGACCCCAAACCATTCATCCAAGGATGGATAGGAAGGGTTGAGTGGTTTTGTGAGTTGGGATAGTAAGATCACGGCGGTGGTGGCTTTGTTGGGTTGAGTGTTCGTGAAGGGGAAAATGGAGAATGAGGTTTTTTTGGAGAGTTTAGGAGGGTGCTGGAGAGGGAGTATGGGAGGGTGTTTGGGATGGAGCTGGAAGGGGAGGATGTGAAGATGTGTCTTCCTGGTGTCGCGGCTTGATTATACAACTTGTAGTGCAAATCCTGGGGGCCGTTGGCAGTTCTGAGGTTGTGTTGCCAAGTTATGGCCCTATACGTCTTCTTTCAATTGGCCAAGTCCTTTCCGATTTTACATCCTCTCTCCATCTTTTGCCTCACAGCGGCTCAATCGATGCGTCCATTCATACCAAGTATCCCAGAAATGGTCGTACTCCTGTTGATCCCAAACAAGGAGCAGCCATGACAATCTTCAAGTCAATCTTCTCATGATGCATGAATACGCTATGACGCCTCCCCTGTCGTTCTAGTCCCAAAACTCGCTATAGCGCCTCGCTTAAACGCAATGTCGTTCACATCAAATTCATCAAGGGTTCTTGGAGCCGATTCTCTAAGCGGCGTCCGGATCTGGCAGCCACAGCATGAGCTCCTTGTCAGCCGTGGCCAACAGATTGTGACGCGGATTGTACGCAACAGCCTTGACGGGCTTCTGGCTCGATAGGTCTGTCATCGGCTCCAGAAGCTCGCCAGGCCCGGAAGCCTCACAGTCCCAGACCAATACGCCATTCTGCGAGCCGTTTCCCCCGACCACGTACCTGCCATCGGGAGAGAAGCAGGCAGAGGTCTGCACAAAGGACGGAGTATTGTTCTCTGTCTGCTGTATGCTGAAGATGTCATGTCCCGGTGCAACATGCCCAGTATCTCTTCCGCTTGAACGGTGGAGATACTTCTGCAGGTCACCTGAGAAAGCGTCCAGCAGGTAGTGGCCTGGACCAGTGGTGGAGACCAGCAAGAACTTTCCGTTATTGCTGAACTCCACACCTGTCCAGTCCTGGCCAGGTCTCTGCCCGTACGGCGCGAACTTCTTCTCTGTTTCTAACAGGTCGAAGGTCGCAAAGGGGGGCTTGTCGAAGTTGCGGAGGTCATACAGCATGACAGTCTGCGCGGGCGGACTGGCAATGGCGATGACACTCGCGCTAGGATCATACGCAGTGAGCCATGGTGCCTCAAAGTTCAGCTGCCCCTGCGCATTGGGCGAGCGACAGTCCCACAGCTTGACAGTGTTGTCCAAGCTCGCGCTCATGAACTGGTCACTGCTCGGGTTCAGTGTGAGGTTCGTCACGCGAGCAGTGTGGCCCTTGAAGTAGCGTATGAAGCTATTGTCATGCATCGACAGATATCGGATGCCATCATCAACCTTTGTGGAGGCATAGATGATGGAAGTGCTGTGATGCGTGAAGCGAGCAAGAGCGCAGCCATATTTGTGTGATTTCAACTCTTTCGCGTGACCACCAGCCCTCGTATTGAAGAGCTGGATGGTGTCATCGGTGCGGGCGAGTAGCAGAAATTCGCCTGGATCGTCGAAGTCGAGGGAGGTATAGCTGCTCGGGTGCGGCGCCTTGAAGAGTCGCGTGGGCCGGAAGGTGGAGACACAGTCCTGCACCTTGACAGTGTCAGGCGGTGCCTGTTGCGTGACCATTGTGTTGATCTGCGTGGTCGCGTCAGTCGAGCTAAAGTTGCGGATGTAGGTGCAGGCGCTGGTGGCTGTTCGGATATTGGCATTGGATGTGTTTGTAGCTTTGTCTTGAACGCAGACACGCCATGTGAAGACGGAGGAACCAAGAAAGATCCCTGTAAAGTTTATTTTAGCGGCTGCAGGGACCATGCGGGATCTGGAAGCACCCACACACCTGCAGCCGACAGCTGCAGCGAGATCGGTGACGGTAAGCTTAGTCAATCTCCAACTTTAATTCGAATGCAAAGAAGTCCGTCTGATGCTCACTGCTCACCTACCTCCAACATGAAACTCTTCTATATCTCGCATTACTAACAGTCAGCTTCCGGTGGTTTAGCTTGTCTGCTTGGGAGCTATATCTCGATCGTTCCACCGGGCTACGTGCCCACAGAGCCGCCAGCACTGGACCGGTATCCTATTCTCCGGGAAAGATAGCTTGGACATACACCAGAGCCAGAGAAGAGACCTAGTCGCCAACTGATAAGGATGTCGACAACGATTGGATCCTTCATTGCTGGAGGCATAGCAGCTTGCGGCGCTGTGACGGTCACTCACTCTTTCGAGACGGTCAAGATTCGATTACAACTACAGGGAGAGCTGCAAGCAAGTAAAGATGCGCCGCGGTTATACAAGGGAGTACTTCATGGCGTGAGGGTCATTTACACGAATGAGGGACTACGAGGCCTGTTACGAGGACTTGGATGCGCTGTGAGTTGGATCGTATGGAAGAGCTGTTCGAGGAATCATATCTGACGGCATGCTGCCAGTACGTGTACCAAATGACCCTCAATGGCTGCCGCCTCGGCTTCTACGACCCCATCCGAACGAGCCTCAATTCCCTCGTCCTCACGCATTCTCCCCTGAACTTTCGAGACCCGAAGGTGAAGCAGTACCAGAGCTTTCCGGTGAACATCGTGTCTGGCGCGTCCTCTGGCATCCTAGGTGCTTTCTTAGGATCGCCATTCTTCCTCATCAAGACCAGATTGCAATCCTACTCTCCATTTCTACCTGTCGGAACACAACACAAATACCGCAACGCGGTGGATGGTCTCGGACAAGTCTACAAAGCAGAAGGCATACGAGGGCTCTGGCGGGGCGTCGGTCCCGCAATGGTGCGGACAGGCTTTGGCTCTTCGGTCCAACTGCCAACATACTTCTTCGCGAAACGCTTACTGCAGCGAAATTTCGATATCAAAGATGGCGCGCCACTACATTTGATGTCTTCCACCGCATCTGGATTTGTCGTGTGCGTGGTCATGCATCCTCCGGATACGGTTATGAGTCGCATGTACAACCAAACGGGCAATCTGTACAAAAGTGCTTTTGATTGTCTATACCGGACAGTCAAGACTGAAGGTATCCTGGCTGTGTACAAGGGATTCTTCGCGCATCTGGCTCGGATTTTACCGCATACCATCCTAACTCTCAGCTTGGCAGAGCAGACCAACCGGCTCATGCGGAAATTTGAAGATCGAATATTACCAAAGGAAGTCAAGGAGAAGTTGTGAGCACTTGGTGTGGCTGACTGTTGGAAAGAGGCTGGACTTGGTCTGAAGTCGATTGTATATATACCCTACCTTTGATTGTGGATATTTACAAGGCCAAAATGCAAGAGGAGCTGACACGCTCGCGCAACACTTTATTAACAATCTGCAGGCTCAGAGACTACCATACTGCTCTTTACAACGCAATCCGCAAAGACTCGAAATCGACATGTAGTGTCGCGAGAGCAAAGCTAGAAAGCGCAAGGGGAATCCTTCGGCTCTTTCCTTTACGTGCCAAGGCTTCAATTCGCACGTGAGGCAGGAACAAATAATGAGTACATGTACTTTCCACTTTACACAGGCAACTTTTGCATCATCGAGCTGGACTTCACCTTCACAGTCGCTTCCAGCGATCGCAGCAACAAATACATCTCAAGTACTGCTACGCCGTACTTGGTCCGACCCGACTCGGTGCTGGTGTGATCCTTGCTGGAATACTCGAGAAGCATTGAATCGATGTAGGATCCGAGTCTCGACAAAACTCCACCGCCCTCCACCCCTCTACTGTTCAGCTCTGCGTTCGATTCTCTCTGTCATTCGTACGATCACCTAGCAATTAGATAAAATGTCCCCCATCTCCTCTAACCTCCCAAAACGAAGCATGAACCCCAACCAACCCCCGAATCGTAATACACACCCATCCTCACTCTCGCTCTTTCCACCCAAAAGTCAGCATCATAGTAGCCTGTTAAAACAACCAAGGCTCCTTTCCCCCCGGTTCCCTTGAAAAAAAAGCCATAACGATCCCTTCCCCCTTTCCCTCCTCACCCCATTCCGAGCCTCCAGATGCTCAATCCCTAACGTCCACATCAGCTACTCCCTTGCCAGTCTCGAAGCCATATCTCGACATATACATCCCTCTGGAGCGGTTCGCCATCGATGTCGATTCTTGCCGCCACGCAATCGGAGCAAAGATAGCATATATATACCTTTGCCAATCACGGCTATTGGAAGATTGAAACATAGCTTTAGTGAGAAATTGAATTTGATGTAAGATTTCGGAGAGAACGGTGGGGTTTGTAGACACGGAGCAGTTTTGCTGTAGATTGAGGTTGTAAAGGTGGATTGTCGGTTTGTGTAGTTTTGGGGATCGCTTATAGGGTGGAATGTTTGCACGTGGCTGTACGACGGGCTTGGTGATGGATGCTGTGTGTTTCCCCGTCGTTTGTTGTGATATGATCACTGTGACAGTCTGTTGAAGGTTGGAGAGACTCCATATCAAAGCCGATGCTCGTACCTACCATGACTCTGTCAGGTTGCACTACTATCAGTATGTGTGCACGCCACTCCGATGGTGTGGCGTACATGGGATCCTTGAGCCATGGGAAGTCAGAGCGACGAATACCGCAGCATGAAGACTGAATGCATACTTTTTCTCCGTCGCCTCTCGTCTCATCCAACTGGCCTGGTGGGTATCTCAAGAATCGCTCAAAGAACGACCGTAATCTAATCAATCAACAATGTACGACTTGACAGCGCCTTGTCTCGCTAGCGGTTCTCAGCTCTCGTTTTCACCAACAAACTTCAACTCCGCGACGTAGCTACCACCGAAAGCAACCGCCTCGTCGCTTCGGAGAGCAATGTTGGTGCCAATGTCTGCGACGCTGATACTATCCCATCGCTCTCCGCTCTCCATGGCCTTCAGTAGGCCTTGCATTGGCGCACCGAGGGCAATGACGTGGTCTGGCCTTACTGCAAGTGGTTCTCCGTCCACGATGGTAGAGAGACCATCGATGCCCGAAATTCCAGAGGGACATCCGACCGAGAGAACAGGTGCCCTGCTACGGTTGGCCCACTCAATCATCTCTCGGGTCTCTGATTGGGCATCGATGCTGTGCGCTACATTTGGACTCAGAAGAGAGTCATAGGTCGAGCCACAAAGAAGTGCATCGATGATCACCGCCGGAGGACCAGAAAGATTCTTGATATGCTGGAACGCCTTCTTCCACAGACCGCGCTTCGCATTCGCACCTCCTCTAGCCATGCGCCTGATTATGCCCGTCTGCGCCTTCATATGGGGATCTTGAGTGTCTGCGCTCTCGAAAAGGCTCTCTGCCAGAATGACTCTATAATTGCGACCAAGCAAGTGCCGGCCAGCAGCAAGGGCACGCGCACCCAGAGAATGGTTGCCAGCCAGCACGACAGCGACAGGAGTATCGTTCAGAGTGGACGAACCGCCAGCGCTGACACTGCCACGGAACGTCGTGGTCCGTGAGGGTCTTCTGGGGCTTGCATTCGATAGCTGCAGAGCTGCCTCGACTATGGACCTAGCGGACATTTCGATAATGGCATCGTAGGTCAGACCAAAAGAGGATACGGCTGCCAATTCGAGGCTATCCAGAGCGCGCGGCAGCAATGTCGGACAGGTGGTCATTTGTGGCAGGAGAGCGAAATGAGACGCATGATCTGCCACACGCGTGGAAACTGCGGAGTGCGGCGAATTGGCTCTGTCCGGTCGCGGCGATGAAGCCGCAAGAGAGCCAGTTTTTCCTCTCAGCGACGTCGTTGAGCGGTTCAAATTCCTGTCGGACGACACCGAAGCCGACAGTGGATGAGGCTTGATATCGACATGGGCACTGTTTTGTCTGCTTGGCTTGGACTTCGGTAGGCGCGAGGTCGAGTGCTTCGACGACGAACGTCCATTGGCGAGATTGAGCTCTGTATCTGCTTCGCTTGCACTTGAAACTTCCTTGCTATCGTTTACGGGCTGGACCTTGGGCGATAGCACAGGCTCGCTCGGGTGGAGGTTCTTGCCGCCGTAAGTGCCTGGTCGAGCTACTCGATTGTGACTAACCAATCGATCTTCATCGGCGGTCGTGTCGCCTTGGCGAATCTCATCGAAGACTTTCTTCTTATCGAACTGGGGTGGAATCAGATGAATGCCTAACCCATCTCTGGTTGAGAGACCTACCTTGCTGAGCTCGCCCACGAAGTCAAATTCACCCATGTCTTCAATTCCAGTGGTATCGCCAAGCGCCTCGTTGGCGGCCATTTCCTCCCGCTGTTTCCGTCTGCTCTTCTTGGTATTGGCCTGGTCGAGATTTGGCTGCGGTGAAGGTTGTAAGAAAGGGCCGCTACGCCAGCCCTTGCCTCTCTTCACGCTACCATTCATATTGTTTCCGTTCCTTGAAACTTCAGAGTTCATGACGGGCGGCGGATCTGCAACATCCTGTGACTGCTTCTTGGGCTTGGGCCCTCTCCTGGCTTTCTTCTTCGACCCTGGTTCAGCTGGACCAGCGTTGTGCAAATTGTTCTCAGTCGATACCGGGTCATTGTGTAGCACAGGGCTCTTGCTTGGATTTTGCCTGTTGGCCGCTTCTTTAAGCTTCTGTGTGATGTTGGCGTTCGCCTTGCCTGCATCCGCAATGAACGGCGAGCTAGGGCTGGGCAGATTGGCCGCAGCCTTTGCCAGAAGTGACTTGATCGGCGTTTCAAGCTCCGGTGCGTTGGATGCTGATGCAGCGCGAGTAGGGGATGCATTGCCGTAGCGTAGAATGGCGGGATCCACGAAGGTGGCTCGTTGCGGTGTCGGCGCGTTGGCAGGAAGCTCAGTTGGAGTGGAAACATGCCGTTGTTGGTCCATGGCGCGGTGAGGAATTGGCTGGGGCATTGGTTGATGCGGATGCTGAGGCATCTGCTGTGGTGGATATTGCTGCTGCTGCTGCTGCTGCTGCTGCTGCTGCTGCTGATGATGATGATGATGATGCTGGACATGCTGTGGTGTCGCGTGCCGATGTTGGGCTGAGGTATTGGGAGGAATACTCGGAGGAGCAGGCACGCTACTGGGGTCGACGACTTCCAGATTCTCAATCGCGGTTGCTTGGACTGACCAGTTCTCCCATCTTGCACCTGATCCAGGAATGAAGACATTCTGGAGCGTCAGATGCGAGTTGGCCACGAGATCTTTCACCACTCCGTATACGGTGTCGTTGGGCGGCGGTTGCCTCAATTTGACCCATACAGTCAGACCGACAGCGCCCTCCATGTCGGTGCTATACAATCCGAGTCCAGTATGCAATTCTCAAGGAGACGATGCAAGTATGAAAAGAAAAGTGAAGAAGCCGTGCCGACTCCAGTCGCGTGCTGCAGCTGCATGGGATATTTTGAGATGGTCCGGCGAATAAGGTTCTGACTAAACATTACTTGCTTAATGGAGCTGTGCCTTGAATATTTGATGAGCTGCATGGAAGTCATTGAAATGGGGTTTCGTCTTGTCCATGCTCACGCAACAATGCGTAGCGTGCCAAATCCTGTTTTTCGAGCCTCTTTTAGCTCTCCCAAAGGTCTCGCCGTCTCTCCATCCACTGAACTCATGGCTATCATCCGTCCAAACTCCAACCTTTTCATGTGTTGCCTTTGCCTCGATGGTTTGTGATATGTGCTCTCTGGGTGGTCCTGGATCTCGTTCCTCATTGAATACAAATTCCCTGCCATCTCATCCTCCTACAGCTCATTTAGACTGCACCAAAAAGCATGCCTATCAGGATGCTCTTCACATCCTCCACACGTTCCAGGCTGCTCATCCCAGAGTGGAAAATCTGCGAATACATCTTCTGGGAAAGGCAGATTGGCTTTTCTTCTCTTCGCTGGTGGTGGTGGTACGAAGGTTGCCAAATGAGGAAGTGAGCAAACATTGCTTTCTTGTCGTCGTTTTCGTGGGCGAACAATTCGCTCCTCGAACAGCCGTAGCCTTTCTGGTGCGATCCGTAAGGTGACGACTTTCCTCTCCGCCGCATGATCCCGCGACATGCTGCTGGATGCCTCTCGGGATGCCTCGTAGGTCGTTGTTTGTTGGGGACGTTTTGGCTTGTTTGGGAATTTCACCCATTCGACGCAGTTTTCTGGCGGCATGCCATCGGCAATGCATCTGGCGCAAGGAGAGCCGTATTCACACGAGCGTTTTTTGTCATGGCAGTGCTGACATGGTCTCGACAAGGTGCGTTTTGGTGTAGACGATGGACCGGCCATCGTTGGCGTGGATTCTTGTGAGATGCTCGGGATGGACTGGCGGAGTGTGAGGTTGTTGTTGAGTTGGAGAAAGGAAGAAGAGGCCACCTTCTTGTAGATATTTCTGGTCTATTGTAGCCATTTACAATAGGCACTATGGTTGCTTTCGTGAGACGATATTACCTATTGTTCCTATTGTTGCGCACGGAGCTCATATTCAGGAGAATAGGTGAATAGCGCGTTGAACATGTGAACAATAGCACAGATGGAACAGCATTGTAAGAAGCAATTGTGCCCCACAAGAATGAGCGGTTCCGCGCCATTGTATTCCCTATTGACCTTTTGTCAGCGGCTTTCAAGTTCGAGATCGTTCTGGCTTTCGACCTACTTCCCATTGGCGCTTGGCGAGACAAAATCTTGAGATCGAGCAAGACGAATCAACATGTGAACATCAACACGTGTAACACATCATCGTAAGGACCAATTCTTATCCGTGAGAATAGTCGTCTCCGAGCCATTGTGTTCCCTACGGTCTATTGTCAGCGTCTTTCAAAAACGAGGTGATCATGGCTTTCGACCTACTGGCTATCGGCGATTAAAGACACTTTGCTGAGATCCGACGAGACGCATTGACATTCGAGCAGCAGTACGGGTGCCACAGTATTGTAACGAGCGATTGTTCTCCGTAGAAATCTGTATTTCCTGGCCATTGTGCTCCTTTTCGGCCTGTTGTCAGCGTTTTCTAGGTTTGGCATGGTGCTGTCCGTCGAAGTACTGGCCATGGGCGCTCAGAAAGGACATGCCCGAGATAGAAACGAAACTCAATGCTACGTGTCTCAGAAGTATGCCATGTTTACGCCTGCTTCCATCCCATTGTGCCAGGCTCACAGGGCGGAGACGATCATGGCATATGAAGCCGTCGTTCCGCAGATTTGTGCATGCAGGTTTTGTCACATAACGCTGGATCGATATGTCACCGCTTGAGTGCATGCTTTTCGTTCTCCGTCTTCCAAGTTGTGCCTCTTGCAAACATGATCATATTTTCACCTTGTGTCAACTAGAACAGAATTACTGTCTCCCATGTCCAGGCCGGAGACTTCATTCGGCTCTTGATGGTACCAGCGTTCCAATCGATTCGTGGTAGTGTTCGTGTTGAAGAGTTCGAGTTTCACATGCTTCGGGAGGTGAAGTCGGCCCTCGGCAAGAAGCACGGGCCCAAGCGCGTCATTATCACCGCCCGAACATCTAGGAACGAAGCTGAAGCTGGACAACGACCCAGCAACAGCAGAACCAGGAAAGCGATTGACCAAGTCACATGAGGGAATCGATTGGCGTCCCAAGTGCGACGTCTGAATCCCCAGCAGATCGGAAGCGCAAGCGATCCAGTCGCCCAGGAGTCGCAGAAGAGGCGCACTCCCAGCAAACAATCCAGACCTTGTTCAACGGCCAGCAGAAACCGCATCAGAAGACCGATATCCCGCCAACTCCATCGAGCAAACGTCATAAGCCCGAGGCCATATACTCTGCAGCCACGCCAACCAAGTCGCTGCCCGCCAAAGACATGTATTCCTTCGCCTCGCGCTCGCCGGTACAGAACGGCAATGGCGTTATCGACCTAACAAACGGCAGCTCGTCATCGCCGCGGCGGATAAATGGCACACAATCCGGCATCAATCCTCAGACAGGAGCCAGGAAGCTGGTCGTCAAGAACCTCAAGACTAATACCAGCTGGGACAGCAAGGCATATCTGGAGAAGATCTGGGGACAACTAGATAAGGCTCTGGCCTCCATATTCAAGGACAGACACGAAGGCTTCAGCAAAGAAGATCTGTACCGAGGCGTGGAGAATGTATGCAGACAGGGCGGCGCTTCCACCTTATTCTCCCGCCTCGAGAACAAATGTCGAACGCACGTCGAGCGAGACATGCTCGCACCTTTGCTGGCGAAGGCCGGATCGGACAATATCGTTGTTCTCAAAGCAGTGTTGGCCGAGTGGTCTCGGTGGTCGACGCAGATGATAAGCATCCGTGCCATATTCTTCTTCATGGACCGCTCGTACCTCCTATCTTCTAGCAAGCCAACCCTCGAGCAGCTCACACCTCAACTGTTCCGAGAGGTTGTATCCAGTCATGAGACGCTCAAGCCAAAGATTGTCGACGGCGCATGTGATCTGGTCTCCGTCGATCGAACGCATCCCCAATCTATTGACCAAAACCTGTTCAGACAAGCGGTCGATATGTTCCACGCGCTCGGTACCTACACTTCGTCTTTTGAATCCCGTTTTTTGGGTGTCACCCAACGGTACGTGGATGACTGGTCCAACGAAATGATTGCGGAGAAGAGTGTACCAGAATATGTAGCTCTCGCGGATCAGCTCATTGCGAAGGAAACTGCGCGGTGTGACGAGTTCAACCTGGATGGCAGCACGAGGCGCGAACTCCTCGTGTTGTTGGACGATCATCTTGTTGAGCGGAAGGAGGCCGACCTCACAGATTATCCGCCCGTGGCATCGATGCTTGAAGAACATGCCGTCTCGGATCTGACAGCTCTATACGCACTCTTGAAGCGGCGGCGACTTGGTAACAAGTTGCGACCACCCTTTGAGAAATGGGTGGATGCAACAGGCACACGCATTGTATTTGCCGAGGAGTCCCACGATATGATCATTCATTTGCTTTCACTGAAGCGACGACTGGATTACATCTGGAAAGAAGCATTCCAACGAGATGAAAGCATTGGCCATGCTCTACGAGAGAGCTTTGAGACCTTCATGAATAAGACCAAGAAGGGCGACGCTACATGGGGCACAGACAACACGAAAGTGGGTGAGATGATCGCCAAGTATGTCGATCAACTACTCCGTGGTGGAGCTAAAGCCATTCCGGACGTCCTAACCGCGAGAGGATCGTCAAGCATAACGGCAGCTCCAGGCGAGGCAATGGAGGAGGAAAATGAGGATCGTGAGATGGACGAGGATGCTGAAGTCAACATACAGCTCGACCAAGTCTTGGATCTCTTCCGATTTGTACATGGCAAGGCTGTGTTTGAAGCTTTCTACAAGAAAGACTTGGCTAGGCGTTTATTAATGGGAAGAAGTGCCTCTGCTGACGCAGAACGAAGCATGCTTGCACGCCTGAAGACCGAATGCGGTAGCGGCTTCACTCAAAACTTGGAGCAGATGTTTAAGGATGTCGAGCTCGCGAGAGAAGAGATGCAGTCCTACAGACAGAGATTGGAGGACCGCTTGGGCTATGAGAAGGGTAAGAACATCGATCTCAGCGTCAACATACTGTCTGCGGCGGCCTGGCCCACGTATCCGGATATTCCAGTCATCATCCCGGCCAATGTCAAGAAGGCGATCGACGATTTCGAGCTACATTACAAAAGCAAGCACACTGGTAGGAAGCTGGATTGGAAGCACGCTCTAGCGCACTGCCAAATGCGAGCGACTTTTAACAAAGGCAGCAAGGAGTTGGTGGTGTCCAGCTTCCAGGCTGTAGTGCTGTTGTTGTTCAACGGTCTCACTGAGAGTGATCACTTGACGTATTCGCATATCCTCTCAGAGACTGGCCTGCGTAAGTGCCGTAGCTATTTCTGCCCTAGAACAGTGAGATACTGACTTCGTACAGCCGAACCTGAAGTCAAGCGCACCCTTCAATCGCTCGCTTGCGCCAAGCTCCGTCCGCTCAGCAAGCACCCGAAAGGCAAGGAGATCAACGACACAGACACTTTCACGATCAATGGAAACTTTGAGCATCCGAAATACCGTGTCAAGGTCAATCAAGTGCAACTGAAAGAGACCAAAGAAGAAAACAAGGAAACGCACATGCGTGTTGCCGAAGACCGCAACTTTGAATGTCAAGCTGCCGTCGTGCGGATTATGAAGAGCAGGAAGACAATCTCACACCAAGAGCTGGTGTCTGAGGTTATCAAGGCGACCATGAGCCGTGGTGTGCTCGCTGTGGCAGACATCAAGAAGAATATTGATCGGTTGATCGAGAAAGATTACATGGAAAGAGAAGAGGGCAATATGTATTCGTATCTTGCATAGAGACTGCGATTGTCGTCGAATGCACGCAATGGATACACGGTGATGGTAAGATGACCATCATGACAGCACCAGGTTAGAACAGATGTCAGCATGATGACAGATGAATACAGTCGTTTGCGCAGTGCAGAAAGAGGTTCGTATCTGTTCGGCAAGGAGAAGACGCCACGGTCGACTTCACTACGTCGCCGTTGAAGTCATCAGTACCTCTTCCCGTCTGCGGACCCTGCACTTTTGTTTCATCGCTGACGTCGACTCCAGTACTTCTCTCAATCGAGCAAGATGCAGCATATCCGGAATAGAATTTGCCCCGCCAGAAGCGTGCCCTGATGAGGTGGGAAGTGGAAGGGTGTCACGGTGTTGTAAACATTGTGCTTCTACCTATACACCAGCATCGCTTGCACCCCAGCTCAGAGCGTTGCTTTGGTCCACTCCATCACCCCAGCCTTTTCCATATGAAAAGACAACATCATCTCCGGATACGAAGACGGATCTCTCCCGGCCACGCGTGATCCGAGATGTCCCCAATTCCCAAATCAGACCCGACGCAGTTTGTGGTTCCAGTGGTAGTCGCAGGCACGAATCCGCAAGATTGGTGGTCAGTCTTCTCTTCTTTTCTCTCCCATGCTGGGCGGCGCCGACCAGAGCAAATGATTTCTTTTTCCTTTTCCTTTTCCTTTTTCGAGAGATGCAGGAAAGGACCCCTTCGATTACTCCGCTCAGAACCAACCGCACGAATACCGGGCACGATCTGGCTGGGATTGTGCATGCCTGCGGTATGTTAGGAACTTGTGTCTCTGAGTTTCGGATTGGTGATCGAGTGGCGGCTTTGTTCGCATCCCCTGAAGACGGGCCCGCCCATGGGGCTTTCTTTTGCGGAGTATGAGGTGCCATTGCGGAAGAACATGGGACTCTTTGCCTAGGAAGCCATCTCAACATTGTCGCGGGCATGGAATTGGATGATCATCTCACTACTGTCACACCAGGTAAGTCACCACCCTACTGAGAAAAAAAAAAAGAGAGGATGATGGACGTTGGTCACTTACACAGTCTTTCAGGTCAGGTCACGAAAACGACGCTCTCCCGGGAGGGAGATGCATCACACTCTGACTTTTGACTTTTCGTGCCCACCTCACGGCTTTTTGAGGCGAACGGAGACTTCGTCGCGGCGTTGGTTCAGATGATTCTACCGTGGCTTGCGAGAGACGGTGGGTTTCCCGGGCACCCTCTCACATGAAGTTCATACCAGGCGGGGGCTCGAAGGTGTTCAAGAAGCTCTAGAACGTACACGAGAAGGCAAAGCGTTGGGCCGTGAAGGACGTATACAATACAGAATTGAGAAGCGAGAAGCACTAAAAGTTCCAGGACAAAATCGACAGAACTGCAACCGGCTGGCTACTTATATCCCCTCATCTCTCTCTACCCTACCCATTACTACAACTACAACTTCGGCGCCGCCCCCCTCCCCCTCCCCGCGACTCCCATCTGCCCCCTCGCCCTCTCCCTCAACTCCCGCCTCAGAAACTTCCCCACCGCATTCTTCGGAATCTCCTCGAGAAAAACCACCCCGCCGCGCAGCTGCTTATACGGCGCCGTGCGCGCGCGCACATACTCCCTTACGTCGGCTTCGGAAAGCCTCGCGCGATCGACGGGCACAACGTACGCGCGCGGCCAATCCGTGCCCGGGTCACCCGGGGCCGGGATGCCGACGACGGCGGCTTCGCGGATCTGCGGGTGCTCGAAGAGGAGGCCTTCGAGTTCTGCGGGGGCGATTTGGAGGCCTTTGTATTTGAGGAGTTCCTGTGGCGATGAAAGGAGGGTTAGTTGTTCAGTGCAGTGAGGAGGGTCTGTGTGGTGGGAGAAAAAGGGGGGGATGGGGGTTCTTCAGTTTACCTTTTTCCGATCGACGACGTAGAATTTCCCATTGCGGCAGATTCCCACGTCGCCGGTGCAGAACCAGCCTTCATGGAAAGAGGTCTGGGTGGCTTCGGGGTTGTTGTAGTAGCCATTCGTCACCAGGGGGCTGCGGACGAGGAGTTCGCCTTCTGTGCCCGGTTCGACGTCTCTGTAGTCGTCGTCGACCAGTCTCAGCTCTACGGCGGGGAGGATGTGGCCGATGGAGCCGGTATCATCCGGACTGTCTCGCACGGGGGCCGTGACGGCGCCGGTGGTCTCTGAGAGACCCCATGTCTGGCCGACGAAGAGCTTCTGTCCGCTTCCGAGCCGCTTGTTGGTGTTGCGCTGGAGGGTGGCATCCATCGGTGCTGCGCCGGTGGATGCCCCGTCGAGGTACTGGAAGTGGTCCGTGATGTCTGGACTCTTCGAGATGCGGAGCCAGATCGAGGGGACGGTGTAGAAGGCTGTGATTCGGTATCTCTTGAGGCCGGCGAGGAGGGCGTGCCATTCGTATTTGCGCAGCCAGTAGACCGTTCCGCCGCCGTAGAAGGCGGCGACCATGTAGCCGAAGAGGCCGGCGATATGGCTGATCGGGAGATGGGAGAGGGTGTTGTATTCGGAAGGTGGGTTGTACGTTCCCTTTTCCGTTTCCCGCGCCGCCCATTCCCGCCCGCTGAGGGACGTCAGGTATGTCTCGGCCACGAGGTTGGTGTGACTGAGCTGGACGCCCTTGGGCAGGCCGGTGGTGCCGGAACTCCAGAGGATGACGATCAGGCTGTCGCGGAGCTTTTGGGGATCGAAGATTCGCCTCCAGTTCAGTTTGGATTTCGACAGAGCATTGATGCTGCCATCCACGCTCTCCAGCTTCCAGTTGTGTTCTGTCGAGTCCAGCAGCAAGACGTTCTGAGGCGGGAGGCCGCATTCTCTGGCAGCTCTGCTGGCGACGTCGATGTGTTCTCTCCCGCAGATGATGACTTTGCTCTGGCCGATCTTGACTTGCCTTGCTAAGTCTGCGACTGTACTGCTCGGACTGGCAGCCGAGTATACTCCTCCAGCGGCGATGATGCCGTACAAGGCCGCTGGAACGAGGATATGTCCATGGGTAATGACGCAGATGGTGTCCTTGTCCGGGCCATTGGAGCCGATGCGAAATCTGTGCCGCAAGCCGTGAGCTATCTGCTGGAGCGTGGTACGAAGCTGTGCCTTTGTGATCCGGTTGGAGGGATTGAGAGCGTCTACATGCAGCACGGTTTCATCCGTTGCGACTGAATGGTCGGAGTCTGGCTCGCGATCAATAACGTGTGTCTTGTAGGAGAGCTAGATGTCAATATGTACCGAAGAGGAAGGTCAGTAAGTCGTATGGTGGAACTTGGGTGTGACGTTGAGTTGGATGGTGATATATGCGTCGTCCGTCCTCGACCGTGGAAGCCATATCTCCCGGTTGAACTATGTTCCGATAGTAAGTGCTAGGAGAAGGAGACTTGTTAGGGGAAAGATATATTTATCACATGCAATCACGGAGACGGATAGAGACGAACAATAATAGTAATGTTGAGTAGTCGGCGTCAAGCTCATGTTGTTGGTTGCGTCTCGTGGGATTGCTGATGAGATGCCGGCAGCCGTCATTTCACATCCTCGGTGAAGTCAAATGTCGGTTGCGATCCCCGCACACAGTTACAGCCTTATGAGGCACAGCGACAGCCTGATGAGGCACAGCTACAGCCTGATGAGGCAGCATTACGGCCTGAGGAGGCACAGATACGGCCTGATCCAGCATGTAGCGCGATACATCTAGATGGCCGTCGGACAAGCACGCACGGTTGAACCCGCGTACACAACTTCTGCCGACACTCATCTCGCGAGTCGCTTGTGGCATCAGCGATGTGACGGGAAGTGAAGGCGATCGTCACGCGTCTCCATGTCAAGCGTACTGATGATCAGATTGTACTGTCTGTGTACCTGCGTGCGACGACAATCATTCGGCGGAGAGATTGACGTGGAATAAATACCACTCATTGATCAGCTGCTGGAGATATTATTCAAAATTTGATTAGAGTCTTAGTCAAAAGCATTCACTGACCGGATACGCCGGGAATCCGCCGGGACTAAGGTAGGCCTGTCAGACCCGATCTCAATATTACATGCACACATGTAAAGACATGGATACAGCAAACTCTCCCATTTCCACCTCGACTTCATCTGTTGCCCTCCAAGACGAACCCTCCCACTGCATTATTGATTTCTTAGATGTTGGTGTCGGCGACATGGCCGCCCCATCGCCCGCCGTGATGCAATTGGTCGGCGCAGGCCTACGCAATCGTAAGTGCCGCTAGAGCGGCAAGTTCAGTGTTTCGTCCGTCTCGCCCACCTTTGGGGCCATCATGGCCGCCGACTACACTTCCTACTGCACTGCACCCTCGACACCCTCCATCACCGAAATGGTCCATCTGCAATTTCCTCTCATCATTCCATCTCCTTGACAGTCAATCGTTTGGTGGGCAAGACGTTCGCTTTCCGTGATTTGCGCCTCGGAGACGCTTGCGCGGAGGATTCGATGCTTGGCAGACTGGATTGATGACGATCAGGACATGAGCGATTGCCACTGGCTCCCGCTACTCGCACGGCGACAACAACATCCGACTCGACCTTTCCGCCACGCTTGGCAGATGGACCCAGCACGACCTCTTGACCTGTTGATATAACTCCAACCCTTGGACGACAACCCCCCTCGAATCTGCTTTCGCCACCTGTCCATCGCCAGACGTGGCAAGTCCGGCGACATGGCCTTCATCCGGCAGACATGGACGCTCTGCCAGAAGACTCTGACCATTGTCTTCATGCGCCACTGGCTGTCGACCCTCATCCAGGCCCTCTTGGCTCCGGTCATATTCATGTTCATCATCTCTTACGCCAAGAACTTCTTCATCCCGCCTAGTCAGTTTGGCATCGGCTCGCCCGCACCGATCCGATCTCTTAGCGACGCAGTGGCAGCTTCAGCGGGAGGCCGTGACACCATCGCCATCGTGGACAATGGCTTCAAGGGAGGAGACATTGCGAGGGTCGTCGATTCCATTTCCGCTCCCATCAGGGCGCAAGGCAAGACCGTGGCGGTGCTGGACGACAACACGGCTCTTTTGAGGACTTGTCCAAGCTCCATTCGCGGAGTCTCTCCATGCTTTGCGGCGGTCGTCTTCGAATCCTCCCCAACCGAAGGACCCCATGGGCTCTGGAACTACACCCTCCGCGCCGACGGCTCGTTCGGTGAGAAGATATACGTGAATCAGGGAGACAACGATGCTCAGATCTATGCACTGCCCTTACAGCGTGCAATCGACAGCGCCATTGCCTCACTCAATGGAACGACTCTTCCCGACGTCCAGGAATATCCATATACTTCCGAGACACCCGAACAACGCGACCGCCAGATAAACCGACTCTACATGGGCTCGCTCATCAACATCCTTGGAGTGGCCTACTTCGTGGGCATCGTGGGAATCTGTTACCAGCTCACTGGACACATGGCCCTCGAACGAGAGCTTGGTATGTCGCAGTTGATTGAAGCCATGATGCCCAATCGCAAACGATGGATACCACAAGCCGCTCGTCTGCTATCGATCCACATTTCATTCGACATTCTCTATTTGCCGAGTTGGATCATTATGGGCGCAATCGTAGCTCGGCTCAACTACACTCTTTCTGGCACGGGCGTGATGATCGGATACTTCATCATGTCCGGATTAGCCCTCTCCTCCTGGTCCTTGGGGTTTGCCGCGCTGTTCAAGAAGGCTCAGCTCAGTGGTATCACAGTCACAATCACGTCGATTGTTCTTGCCATCATCATTCAGGTCATACCCCCTCCATCCACGGGTGCTGCGATTGTCCTCAGTCTGCTTTTCCCGCCCATTAACTTTGTTCTATTCATCATCTACATGGCGTACTGGCAGCAAAGCAACCAGGCCGTGAACTTGAACATGCATGCTCCCACGGCGCCGTGGATGATGCCAGGATACGCATTCTTCATCTTCTGCGCCATCCAGATTGTGGTATATCCGATCATTGGTGCATTCTTTGAAAGGACGCTGTACGGAACGGCTTCAAAAGCCCGACGCCTACGGTATTCTGAGGAAGAAGCCCCAGAAGCCCTCCGGATCACTTCCCTGGCAAAGCACTACTACCCTGGCTGGTGGTCGAGGATGGTCGGATCGCGCTTTACGAAAACGCCGAAGCAAACAGTACGTGCCGTTGACAACTTCGACTTGTCGCTGCTCAGGGGACAAATTGGCGTTCTACTGGGTGCCAACGGTAGCGGAAAGAGCACAACACTCGATATGCTGGCAGGACTGCAGAAGCCGACTGCTGGGTTGATTGAGATGGATGCCACGGGAGGTATCGGTTTGTGTCCGCAGAAGAACGTCCTCTGGGACGAATTGACCGTCATCGAGCACGTCCGCATCTTCAACAAGCTCAAAGCCAACACAGTCGACTCGGAAGCGCAGTTGAAAGAGTTGGTCGCAGCGTGCGATCTGGACGAAAAGATCAATGCGCGCTCGGAAACACTTTCCGGAGGACAAAAGCGCAAATGCCAGCTGGCGATGATGCTGACAGGCGGTTCCAGTCTGTGTATGCTGGACGAGGTCAGTTCTGGCCTTGACCCTCTGAGTCGAAGAAAGATCTGGGATATCTTGCTCGCAGAGCGAGGCAAGCGCTCGATGCTTCTGACGACGCATTTCCTTGACGAGGCGGACCTTCTATCCGATGACATTGCGGTGCTTTCCAAGGGCAAGCTCGTAGCGCATGGCTCCGCGGTCGAATTAAAGCATCATCTGGGCGGTGGATACAGAGTCCGAATATACCACGAAGATGAAAGGGCGCTGCCGGAGAAGCTCGATGCGACTTCGAAGCAAGTTTTGCATGATCAGACCGTATACAACCTATCCGACTCGGCGTCCGCAGCACAGTTCATTGCTGAGCTCGAACGGAACGGTGTTCGGGACTACCAAGTAAACGGACCGTCAATCGAAGACGTCTTCTTGAAGCTCGCTGAAGAAGTGAAGGACGAGCTCGAGAAAGATGGCGCGCCGATCAATGCTGCGGGTGAAGCTGAGAAGCCCTTGTCACTTCTGCCGGGAAAGAATCTATCATTCTTTGGACAGACCTGGGTGTTGTTTCGAAAACGAATCACAATTCTGAGGCGCAACAAGTGGCCGTACCTCGCAGCATTGCTCATTCCCATCATTACCGCCGGATTGGTCACGCTCTTTTTGGTGGACTTTCCTGGTCTCAGTTGCTCACCGGCAGCTCAGGTCTCGCAGCAAGATGCTGTATCATTCAACAACTGGGTCGCGGCTTGGGCGAGAATGCCGTATGGTCCTCCATCACAAGTGCCTGTCCAAGAACTGCGAGGACTGTATACCAACCTCACGCAACGCTCATTGATCCCGGTCAACTCGTTCCAGGAATTCAATGATTACATCAGCACCAACTTCACTCGAGCTCGTCCCGGCGGTTTCTACATCGGCGACACACCAACTCTTGCATGGCGTGGCAATTACGACTTGTACTATCCAGTCACAGCGATGAACTTGCTGGACATCAGCTTGACAAGGATACCGATCGTGACATCTTATCAATCGTTTGATGCTGCATGGGCACCTCAAGCTGGTAAGACACTGCAATTTATCCTGTACTTCGGACTGGCCATGTCGATCTTCCCGTCCTTCTTTGCACTTTACACGAACATGGAACGAATTCGGAACGTACGAGCTCTACACTACAGCAACGGAATCAGAGCGGGACCCCTGTGGACCGCATACACAGGTTTCGACTTCCTGATTGTACTGCTGGTATCTATCATCACGATTGCGATCTTCGTCGGCGCATCGGGTTCCTTCTACGGCCCTGGGTACCTCTTCATCGTGTTCGCGCTCTACGGCCTTGCTGGGACACTGGCGTCGTACGTGGTGTCACTGTACACGACGAGTCAGCTGGCAACGTTTGCCTTCGCCGCGGGAGGGCAGTGCGGTTTCTTCTTACTGTACTTCATTGCCTACATGTGCATCATCACCTACTCGCCGGCCGCAAACGTTGACAGCTACGTCAATATTGCGAACTTCACAATCGCGCTCTTCTTCCCGTCGGGCAACTTACTGCGAGCATTGCTATTGACTTTCAATGAATTTTCGCTGCTTTGCCGTGGAGACCAGGTCGCTTCGTACCCCGGCGAGACCACAGTTTACGGCGGTCCTATCCTCTACCTCATCCTACAGTCACTGTTCTTGCTGCTGGTCCTTGTATGGGTTGACAGTGGATGGAAGCCCAAACTCTTTGCACGCGGCGGGCACCGCCCCACAGACGCCGAGGAAGAGGTAGAGGATGTGGATGGTGAAGTTTACCGTGAAGCTGCTCGAGTGGACACTTGCAAGGACGAGCTGAAAGTCAAGCACGTCTCCAAGGCCTTTGGAAGCAACGTCGCGGTCCAGAACGTGTCCTTTGGCGTACCTCACGGAGACACCTTTGCGCTGCTCGGACCGAATGGTGCTGGTAAGAGTACAACTATTGGTCTCATCAGAGGAGACGTGAGGCCGAGTGAGAAGGCTAGCGACATCTTGATTGAGGACGTGTCCATCATCGACCATCGGGCTGCCGCAAGAGCAAACCTGGGCGTTTGCCCTCAGTTCGACGCCATGGATCAGATGACCGCCATCGAGCACTTGCGATTCTATGCCAGGGCCCGGGGCGTCGCTGACGTGGAACATAACGTCGAGCAAGTCATCCACGCCGTCGGTCTGCAACCTTTCAAGGGCCGTATGGCTGCCAAGCTGTCTGGAGGCAACAAGCGGAAGCTCAGTCTGGGCATAGCATTGATGGGTAACCCATCTGTCCTACTACTCGACGAGCCCAGCAGCGGCATGGACGCAGCATCGAAGCGGGTGATGTGGAGAACCCTCAGCTCCGTCTCCGAGGGGCGATCGCTCGTCTTGACCACGCATTCGATGGAGGAAGCGGATGCCCTCGCGGATCGAGCGGGTATCATGGCGAAGCGCATGCTCGCCCTCGGCACCAGCGACGAGCTCCGCAAGCGCCACGGCGATGCCCACCACGTCCACCTCGTGCATCGCGACGCGCCCTACAGCAGCGACCAAGACATGAACGAGATCAAGGCGTTCATCCGCAACACCATCCCCGGCGCCACGACCGAAGAGCGCGTCTTCCACGGCCAGCTGCGCTTCACCGTCCCCAACGATCGCACCGCATGGCCCAGCGAAGAATCCTCCCTCCTGAACGACTCCGATCTCGACGACAAGAAAGCCGCCGCCTTCACCACCGTGACCTCCACTACCCCGGACAACGCAAACAACAGCATCAGCGCCCTCTTCGCCCAGCTCGAAGCCCACAAGGACAAACTCGGTTTCGGATATTACAGCATCTCCCAGGCGACTCTCGACCAGGTCTTCCTCCGCATCGTCACCAAACACAACGTCGTGGAGGAGAACTATGCCCGAGAACATCCCCGGAGCTTGAGTGTTTGGGGGAAGTTGAAGAGGACTTTGGCGACGGTTTATCATAATGCTTGAATGGGAAAACCCGGTTTTTGGGCTGGTGGCATGTCCTCATGGCTCTGGGGTAGGTATATAGAATGGTAGATAATGTACAGGGAGGGAAGTTATGTGCGAATCATCATCATCATCATCTTGCTTGAGAGACAAGAAATTCTGGGACCAATGATGGATGTTGTCGATAGATATCATAGATAGATACCCGGTGGGTTCTCTTTTCGATATGTGGATAAAGATTCGGTGTATCTATCTACAAGCTGAATGAATTGGATTCTTTCCCGAGATCATGAGGCTGGAACCTGTCGCGTCCACGAGGCCTGGCCGGCCGTTGTACCTGGACGTGGCTAGAACGACGGAGAAGGGGGACCTCAGAAAATACATACATCAAGGTGTCTCTGTCATTTCTCCAAGGACATGATATATGATATGCACTCTCGCGTTTTACCTGAGTCGTCTGCATATCAATACCTTGTTGGCAGAAACAGTTTTTGATCGATCTTGGGACTCAGTCTCGATGACAAGAGAGTACCGATTGGGTCAAGCCTTTCATACGCCGCCACAGACACAGACCGACAAAGAAAAAAAGCTCAGTTCTTTGTAAATTTCACAATCCCCTCTCGGTTTTCCCCCCAAAGATCGAATCTCCCCCTGTGCTATGATTTTCCTCCCAGTCCCATGGCAGCCAGAAGAACAGAATGGTGGGTATTCTATACTGTGAGAGCTGGTCCATGAACTACTGCGATGGGCCCGCGCCTCGAGCGGTGATCCTACACAGAGGAAGCAGCCGGAGTCTCAGACATCAAGATACCGGCATCGATGGTCTTTCATCCTTCAAACCTACGAGAGTCTAGCAACCAACATGGTTTTCGGTTTTCAGCGGAGAGTTCAAAGTAGAGAACAGCACGCGTCCTGATGGGGGAAGGAATGTTATGATATGATACTTCCAGAGGATTCATAGACAGTACAATGCCAAGACAAAGAGAATTATGTTGAGGGATGGACCTTACTGGAGCTTTTCGGGGGAACTCTCGACATGCATGCAAGCATGTTCGCTCATGGAGTTGGGGGGATTTTCAGTATGCTGGGGCAAAGTATGCACGGGTAGATTCAGGCCGCGACGTACTCCCATATCATGATCATGAGAAACGCCGCGGATGGAAGAACCCTACGACGGGTTGCTCTGGCCGGTCGTCTGCAGCGTGTCGCACCTCATGTGCCACCGCGGCGTTAGTCCAGGTTGTTCGGCGGAAGAAAGGCTTCCGCTGGAGGACCACCCAAATCCTTCGATAGATACGAATAAAAGCAGCGCGGTCGGTATTGAGGAAGAGCATCAAACGTCTCGTAAGATCTCGTCATCGTAGCCTTTGGCGCAACTGCTTACCGCTGGCTGAATACGTGCGTCGTACAGCAGCCTGCAGCCGTGGTTGAGACAATGAAACCGCGGCCTTGTTGAGCTCGATCATTCGATATGTCTGGTCCCTTGGGCAGCACAGCTAACGGGTGTCGACAACGTGCGCGGCATTGGCCGAAGGTCATTGCTCGTTCCGAAACATCGCATGCACAGCATGCTTCTGTCGCTAGGGCGCACAGTCAGCGAGTGAGGATCCGAAAAGCTCCGCGGGCGCTGTGTTTTGAACGATGGGCACAAGATCACAGTTAATGTTGCGCAGCTAGCGGAGGTCAAACGGCTGTTCGCATGAGGTGGTGTCGTGGCCAAGCCTGGGGTAGAAAGTGCCAACGAGTCTCCAGTCGTGAACTTTGGTATCGTGAGGCTTCGTGGAGTCGGATTGATGGATAAGTTGGCAGTCGCTTAGGGCTTTGCACGCCCTTTGCAGATGAACTTATTTGCGTTTTTGGTTTATTAGATTGGTTCGCCTCTGCTTTGCCATCTCCCACCTTACCCATCCAGCGTCCTCTAAAGTCTCATTGACCACCAGGTCCCGAAACCTCAGCCATTTCAACGGCGGCGTCTCCAGCAGCGTGTCCACCACTTCGTATCTCCTCGCGAAGCTCGTGACGATGAACCATCCAATTGCGCAGACTACGCCAGCCGTGACACCTATATAGACTTGTCGTGGCGTGTGATAATTCAAATAGATCCTACTCTGAGCGACTGCGGCCGCACAGGCTATCGACAGGAGGGCCAGGCCCAGACGCTGCCAGAGAGGCGTAGGCACGTGCGATTTGGAGGCGTTCGGGTGGTTGTGCGGGTCATGACGAAAGAGGAGGAAGAGGGTCAAGTAGACAGAGAAGAAGCCGACGTATTGAGCGTGTGAAGAGGGCATTCCGTAGCCTTTGCCAAGCATCTCTACGCGCTTTCATTAGCACCTCACGATGGCTTTCTCAGGCGAGTAATGGCCGGTCACCCACGCGTCGGTCTCTCCTCCTTGATATATCTCTTCAACAGCCAATTCAACGCCTCACAGCCCATCTGGCCGGCAAACATGAGCAATATTTCCACTTCTCTCGTCGCGTAGATGAGTGAGACGTAGGAAATGACCAGGGCCTGAGGTGCGAGGGCAAGGTGCGCCGAGATCCATGACAGCGGGTCTGCCGGGTTGTATCGTACGTGCGTGAGCGACAGTGAAGCGAGCGGTGGTGAGTCCATGGCTGGCGGTGACCGAATGCGGGAGGAGGTGTGTATAGTGAAGTGAGTGAGTGAAGGAGCCTTGCATGTGAACGAACAGACTCCCGCGGAGCTTGACGGAGATAAAGATGCGGGAGAGTGAGTCAGCATCCGTCCGTGTCTGTATTTAGCTTTAGCGTCACTGCATCCCGTCGCGTACTCGAGAAAGCCTTACAGTCGCCACAAAGAAGTGACTGTCTTCCCTTCCCTCATCATCATATTTGCTTGAGTAATACAACCAGCTAGAGACGGCTAGTGACGTCTCGTGCAAGCAGACCCAATGCTTCCCTTATAGCATTTGCTTCCCGGTCGAATGCGCTCGACGCTCGACAGTCTCACGTGCTCCACAGCAACACTACTAACACCATAGACCAAGATAAGATGGTCGAGGAAGATGAGCGAGAGGAGGAGTTGGGCGCCTTGACGGCCATCTACCCTGAGCTCATCATCGACCCTCAGGACGCGTACTCTGCGAACATTGATCTTGCCGTGGCACCCACAAAACCGCTTCTTACACGATTCGTGCCGTCGACGGATTCTGCGAATGGAGCAACCTATCGCGATGCTGCCACCAGCACTGCGCATATCGAGCACGATGTTCACCTGGCACATCTTCCGCCTCTCACTTTGCGTGTGACACTGCCGCAGGGATACCCTTCCGAAGCCCCGCCTAATGTACGGCTTTCGTCCAATCTCAACTGGCTGCCGAAAGACAGACTGGTAGAGTTGGAGGCGGATGCCGTGAATCTATGGGAAGAGTTTGGGCGATGTCAGATTCTGTTCTCGTACATCGACCATCTGCAACAAGCGGCCGAACGAGCTTTCGACCTCGAACAAAGCGCCGAGGGATGTCTAGTCCTGTCCGCTGCCCAAGAGTCGGATCTGTCGGCGTTTGATGAGAAGACGAGACAAGCGACCTTCGACGCGGGTACCTATGATTGCGGAGTGTGCTTGGAGCCCAAAAAGGGCGTTGCATGCTACCAAATGAGGCAGTGTGGCCATGTCTTCTGCCGGCAATGTCTGCAGGACTTCTACAACAACGCTATCAAGGAAGGAGATGTGGTGGGCGTGAAATGCTTGGACCCCAGCTGCGGCGAGGAGAAAGATGCCGACGGTCGGAAGAGGCGGAAAAGGGAACGCACACTACATCCTCGAGAGTTGCTAGCCATGGGCGTGGACGAGAGCATTGCGAGGCGATACGTCGAGATGAAGCGGAAAAAGAAGATTGAGGCGGACAAGAGCACCGTGTACTGTCCAAGGACATGGTGCCAGGGTCCAGCCAAGAGCGACAAGTATCCGCCTCTCCCAGCCGATCTGTCGGCTTACATCGATAACGAGATTTTCGACGATGACAAGGACGTTGGGGAGAAGTTGCCGCCAACTAATAAAGACAACAAGATTCCGCCAGATCCTTCCGATCGCCTGGTAGTCTGCGAGAAATGCACCTATGCGTTCTGCAAAGTTTGCTACATGGGCTGGCACGGGCCATTTGCTCGCTGCTTTCCTCGTGATCCTAACGAGCTCAGCGCCGAGGAGAAGGCAAGCTATGACTACATCCGTATGAACACTTCGCCATGCCCGTACTGCAACGCGCCAGTGCAGAAGACGATGGGCTGCAACCATATGAACTGCTTCCAGTGCAGGACGCACTTCTGCTATCTATGTGGATCCTGGCTAGATGCTCACAACCCGTATCAGCACTTCAATAAGCCTGGAACCCCATGCTATCAACGTCTCTGGGAGCTTGAAGAGGGAGATGAAGGTCAAGCTCCTGACGATGGCAGAGGGTTTGTTGGAGGTGCGCGTGGATGGGAACAAATGGCTCTTGATGCAGCACACGAGGCAGAAGCCGCCGAAATAGACGCGGCTGCAGCTGAGGCACAAGCGGTGGAGGATGAGCCCGCGGCTGAATTGCAGGCGCCCTGGAATGATGTCCCTCTTATCGTCGCCGTCGCGCAACTTGATTTCAACGATATCCCCGACGACGAGCGCGAGCCTCATCGAGCGGCAGTCCCTCGTCGAGGCGGGAGACGAGCTCGCAACCCATTGCCTCGCGCACCAGCCGCGGGCGCAGCGCAGGTCGTTCGAAATCATGAACGTGCGGGTGGTAGAGGTGGTTGGCGGCCGCCTCCAGCAGCTCGTGCGGGCGACGGCAGAGCAGATCTAGAAGATCGGGAACAAGCCGAGTTGCAGAGATTTCTCGAAATGGCACGACGTGACGAAGAGGACGACTGGGACTCGGACGAGCTTGGAGATGATGAGCCATTCATCATACCCGATCGATGATTCTGCGCTCGCCAGAAGCGGCTGTACCTTTGCATATACCAAAGTCTTCGACAAATGATACCCTGAATTGGAAAATGTCGTTTCTTGACAATGTCACTTCTTGACATGGCGCTAATGCTGGTTGGGAGAGAAAGAGGTGAGGTTGCATGTGATGGTTGACAGAGTTCGGCGCACGACGGGCCGTGCAGACGTCTCACAACAGCAGCAGACCGCCTCTTCCTGATCTGATCTCATCTCTTCCTACATCGCTTACACGCCAATTCATCTCTGGCTGTCAAGTGTCAAGCCGTACAAATAGTTTGCCGGCCCACGCGGAGATTTCCCCCCGTTTTCCACCTCACAGGCTCCACTTCAGCTTCCAACCGACCATGAAGCTGGTCTCGATAAGACTGCCTGAACTTCGGATGCTGTGTGGACCACTGTATCCGATGGCCTACTGCACCAAGACGATCGACAGGAATGGTATATCATGCATCGCAGCATGCATCGCATCATGCAGGAACCATCTCGCCATCCGCGCACCTCTTCGCGCCGAACTGGCCTGTCTAGCGAATATGGACCAGGGACTTACGTCGGCGAGAGTAGCTCAGCGCAAGCGGAAACAGTATGTGACGTTAGATAAAGGCCTTCTCACGTTGCGACTTCGGCTTTTGTCCTTCTTCCGCGCCTCACTCTCTTTGCTGCTCAAGACACCTCTTCCACGGAGGGCACCGGATCATCCAATCGGGACGCTCTGTTAGGATGCATATATTTGCAGGCCTTTTGGCCCTAACTTTAGTATCCGCCGCAGATATCGACACGGAGGGTCTCCCGGACACCGGCCTGAATACCTCAAGCTGGACCACTGGGACTGCGCCACCCATTGACGATCTTGTGGATTTGAACGATATGCAAATCGCTGCCAAGAACACTCTATCTGGTGCAAACTATGCGTATTACCGCACCGCGGCCTTGGACGAAATTACGTACACCAGGAATATGCTCGATTGGAATAAGATCCGCGTCAACGGCTTCTCGTTCGCCGACGTCTCCGATATCAATCTAAACACCACTATCCTTGGCTACAACTTCACTGCACCATTCTTCATCGCGCCCGCAGCGAAAGCCGGCAAGGCCAACGACGGCGCCGAGCAAAATTTCGTGAAAGCTGCCTCCACGGCCGGGATTGCCTATTGTCCTTCAATATCATCCACTCAAACTATCGAAGAGATCGCATCCGCTGCTTCAGAGGGCCAAGTCATGTTTCATCAGGAATACATCTGGTCGAACCAAACACGACTACAAGACGAACTGGATCGAATCAAGGCCGCCGGGTTCAAAGCCATCTTCCTGACCATCGACAACACCGGCATCGACGGCATCCGCGACCGTTCCTTGAGATTCACCTCGGAGAGCGACAGTACCACGCACAGCGCCACTTTCACCTACAAGGCTCTCGACAAGCTCCGCAACATGACCGACCTCCCCATCGTGCCAAAGGGAGTCAAGACCGCTCACGACGTCAAACTGGTCGCCGACCTCGGGTTTCCCGCAGTCTACATTTCCAACCACGGAGGTCGAGTTGTCGACCTGGCTCCGACTGCCGTCGAAGTCCTCCTCGACGTGCATCGCCAGTACCCGGAAGTCCTCGACCAGATTGAAATCTACGCCGACGGTGGTGTCCGTCGGGCGACGCACGTCATCACTCTGTTGGCTCTGGGCGTCCGTGCGGTGGGGTTGGGGCGATCGCCCATGTATGCGAATATCTACGGGGAGGAAGGCGTTACGAAGATGATTGAGATTTTGCGGCAAGAATTGGAGACCACCATGGCGTTGATGGGGCAGTCGAACGTGGACGATCTGAGGGGGAATACGAGCTTTGTGAGTTCTTAGTTCTTTTGGGTGCGTCGACTGAAGCATGAGCATGTTACTGATGATTGGTGTGCCAGATCAATACTCGCCAAATCGAGCTGGATTTCTTCGGTGCGCCGTTGGATGTTGACACGAGCAGCAGTCCGTTTGCGTACGCCTCGGCGATCGGCACGAGCAACAACAGCAGCAGCACTAGTAATGGCACTTCGTCTTTCCGATTCTGATCGCAGATAGGGGAGCAATCGTAATGTATCTTGTCTAAAGTATTCTCGAAATCTTGGAACTCATCTTATCAAGCTTCTCATTTCTCGTTACCAAAACTTTTAAGATGGGAGGAAGCCTTCTTGTTGCATACCCAGACGCCGGCTTGAGGTGTCCTGGCTTTCGATACTGTTTCAACGGATCCTGTCGATGTACTTTTACGGCTTCACAACAGCCACCTGACTCCTGACCGGCACATTGTCAGCCCTTCCTGGCTGCGGGAAGCCCTCGACCTTGACATGCTTCCTGAAGAGCAGGACATGGGAACTTCCGCCGAAGTGGAACATTCCCGTTTCTTGACCCTTCTTGATATGGTCCCCTTCCTTGACGGTAATCTCGCAAGTCGAGACTTCATCCATACCCACACCGATAAACGCCATCAGACCAATAGCGGGGTTATCGGCTTCGATGAACATGATGGCTCGGGTCGCAAGGGCAGTGAGATATCCTTGGCCGACGGAAATACCGCCCGCATCGATGTCCTGCACGCCGGGCTCGCCGAGTCCTTCGAAGAGAGGTTCGGAGAAGTAAGTTCCGTCTTGCACGAATGCCTTGATGACTTTGCCGCTGACTGGGGCATGCCATCGGTGGTAGGAGAGCGCAGAAAGGAAAGCTTGGTAGACTGTTCCACCCGCAAAGTTCTCCGCGAGCTCGTGGTGCGCGAGCATGTCCCTGATAGAGTATGGCTGTCCCTTGATCCAGAACTTGTCCCGCAGCTTGACGTTGTGCGCGACGTTGAAGACCTTACTCTCGCATGCGTTGGCAATGACGTTATCGTCGTCCGGAGAGGCCACAGGTCGCACCTCGTCCTTGAAATGACGCGTGAAGAAGTCGTCCCAGGATTTGTAGCCGTAGTGCTTCGCGGAAGGATCACAGTGGAAGAAATCCTCGAATTTGTAAGACGTCTTGTAAGGGGCGTTGGCGACGGTCATGATGTCCTTCTGGCCGACTTCGCCGAACCAGCCTTGCTTGTGCTCGTTCAGCACCTCAGCGCTCTTTGGTGACTGCAGGAACTTTCCCCATTCGTTGAGCACTTTCTTGAGCATACGGTTGACATCCGGGTCAAGAAAAGCAGCGTAACCGGATGGAGTTCCCATGGGGTAGTCCAGGATTGCACACATCGGGACTCCCACCATTCCAACATTGGCTGCCGCATCTGTCCATTGTGGAGCAGTTGTGAAGGTATGGTTGAGTATTTGCAGGAGATGGTGGTAGTCACGGACTTGCTTGCGGCCGGTTGGATCCTTGTTGTAAGGGTGTTTGACGGGGACTTCCTCAAACATTTGGACGAAGAGCATGTAGATTCTGGTGTTTCCTTCAATGAACTCTTTAAACTCCTTCAGGATGGGAAGGAGATCTTTGGGGTTCTTGTCGGCATGTTCGACCTGACGACCGAGCCATTCTCGATGGATACGGGAATCCGCGGGAAGCCTGTTCAAGTGTTAGAAGAAGTAGAAGAGTTGGAGCACGTTTGCCCAGGACATACCATGCGCCAGCTTTGACGATTTTGTGCTCGGCGGGGATGTCGTGGTGATCACCGTACTGATGGACACCCATGGTTGGTATAGTTTAGTGGTATCTGTTGGAGTGAAGTGAGTATGTGGAGAGAGAGAGAGGTCGCAATCCAATGCCAGGGTGGAGGATGGAGGTCTAGATCTCAGGTTATATCAATGGCTAAAGGCGATGATGTCACAAAGGGTAAAGCGGCTGGAACGTATGAGAACCTTAGGCATTAATGACGCGCCATGCGTCGCCGGAGCCGCAGCACAGCAGTGACACACTTGTTGCAGGCTCCCGAAACGTGCACTGACCCGGTTGCACATGCTGATCCAATTGGCCAAGCATTGCAGAAAAAGCTTGTCAAGGCTTGACACGAGTTAGCTTGGCGGAGGCATCCTTGTACCTTGTGCGTGGCCATCACATTCTGTGGAGAGCATTTGGAGCGCCGCGGACCAAACCCATTGTCCAATCCTGCCAACGAGGCTTCTCTCTCCAGTGCTGAGCTGAGCCAGGTCCCCCAAAGCCTCCGACGAGGCGAACGCAACGGGAAGATACCTCTGAACATGTTTTGGCTTCATAAAAAGACCTCACTGTTGCCCAAAAGATGCTTGCTACTGACGCAGTTGGAGACGCAGTCGGATGTGATCTTCATGTGAATGTCTGGTGTAGCGTGAGGCTTGAGCATCAGTTCGAGCCGCTGGGCCACGAGCCTTTCTTTTAATCCGCCAACATGCAACGAAAGATTACTTACGACTTCTGATACTCTGTGGCATTAGTTGATAGCTTACGTATCTTATTTCCTAGGTGGAGCATTTTGGAAGCTTTGCCTAGTAAGGCAACAGTCCGCGTTCTGTTCAATGGAGAGCATCCGATAGCCGCGGGAAAGCGAGTGACAAGCCGAGCAGCAAATTCCTCGTGGACCAGAGCCATGTTGTCCATCTCTAATAGCATGGAGATTCCTCATTTCGAATGGGCAGTGACAAACGATGCTGCCGTAGATGCTCAATGTCAGGCCAGATTTCATCGTGTTCTGTTATGTTACATATTGCACTGGTCGACTTTCGTATCTTGCATCTCGCTACCAAGACGCATTGCGAGACCAGCGTATCGGCTGCAACGTCTGCCTTCGTCATCGCAGAAGTGCCTCAAAGCAAAGTATGTCGTTTCCGGGGCCACATAATCCCTGATCACGATGGCTGTACAGTTTCCATTAACGCGGATTTTGCCCGGGTGTGGCACTTTTTGCTGAGAAGTGCTGGTCCCCTGTACTGGCTTCAATGCAAGCCTGAATGTTCTCCGCGCATCGGCTAACGGAGCCTTTGATCAGGGCCTTGAGCTTCACAAAACATGCAAGACCAATCCCACGGCTTCCTCGAAGTGTGCGCGTCCGGTCATGCTTCCTGCCGCATCCTCCAAGCCCAGTCCCACCACAAGCAGCCGCTCCTCATGTTGACGCTTCATCAGAATGGCACTGCCAATGGTCGTGGCCAGAGTCTGGCCAATGACTTCGTCGTCGCGCTTCGTGCCGCCGAGGACGGTTGTCGCGGTCAGATGGCTCATTGGCAGCAGGCTGTTTTCCGAAGCTCCGTTGGAGACATGCCCAGGATTCATGGGATCAGCCGAGATGGTTGCCAGCGGTACATGTACCCAGTGAGCCAATTTACCAGCCTGAGTGATGGTGATGACGATCTTGTCAGAGAAGGCCATGCTGGTGATGTTCGTAAGACGGCCGTTGACGAGTCCAGAGGTGGTTTTCGATGCAGCCGGATAAGGAGCCGGAAACACATTCGCTTGTGTCTGCGCTGGAGTTGGATGCTCCATGGTCTTGACCAAGTAGTGTCTCCGATTACAAGTCCGTCAAGCGCAGTATTGGCAAAGCAATCTAGTGTCGTGTTTTTGGCAGTCGGGGCTTCATGGTCAGTGCACAGGGCTGAGATAAGGTGCGGACCGCTTCCGCGTGCCGATCTCCCCAGATTCCATTTGGTCTTCAAAAAAGTCGAACTCTCACAGAGCCACCGACAGCGCAGTACGCGCATCATGCCAAAGTTTGTTCCTCGAGAAAGGAAGCACAAGAGGCTTGCCCGGAACAAGAGCAGCGATCCTCAAGCGGCCGCCGGGAGTGGAATTCACCAGGCCAACCAGGAGGAAATCGTGCCGCTGTCGAAGACCGAGAGGGAGGAGAGGAAACGGAAATTGAAAGAGGAGATTCATGGGCCTGAAAAAGTCTCCGGCAAGAAGAAAAAGCGGTTGGACAAGTATATTGAGACAAAGTTGAAAAAGGAAGAGAATCTTGAACTATTGAAGAAACTCGCTGCCCAAAAGGTCGACACCAGTCTACTGCAGAGCTCTAAAAAGCTGGGAAGAGTCTCGGAGAGCAAGAAGGAGAAATTGCAGCGAGCGTTGAGCGAGAGACAGGCAGGTTTGGACATTCAAGGCGACCAAGATGCGATTCTATTCGAGCAGCGTCCCCCGCATTCGCCGCACTCATCAAGCGACGTCCCGGATGCTGAGCACGAACTGTCCGATGGAAATGCTGCAGAGACGGTTCCTGCAGTAAAGCCCACAACGTCTTTCGGGAGCGGATTGAAGAGACCATTGGAAACAGACGCATCAGGACAGCCGCTCATAAAGAAGCGCAAACGACAAAAGAAGCCGAGCGCCATTCAGTTCTCGGCTCACCGCGTGCCCGAAGCACTTCCAAGTGAGCTGCAAGAAGAAGAGGTTGAATCGGGCGACGAGTGGAATGGCTTCGACTCCGATATTGGCAGGGAGCCAGAGCTTGATAGTGAAAATGAAGAGCTTGATTCAATGTCACAGGACTCGAAAGGCTCAGAGGATCTGGACGAGGACTGGGGTTCCGAATTAGAAGTAATGGATAACGAGAGCACAGAGGACGATGAGGAGTTAGGAGATAAACCGGAAAGGGTCTCTGCATTCAAAGCCTGGGCTGATACTCAACGAAATGAAGCGGTTGGCTTTACTCCTTCAGCTCTTCCCGCAGATGATAAGGCAGCCCGTGCCTCCTTCAAGCCTCGCGCACCTTCTCCGGACCCTTTGGCAACTGAGATTGCAAAGACGTCCAAAGGCGATTCTTATCGACCTGCGGCGGCAGTTACGATTCCACGATCGGATGAGGTCCAAGCAACCCGTCTAGAGCTTCCAGTGGTGCAAGACGAACAGAGAATAATGGAAGCTATCCACAATAATCCTGTCACTGTTGTTTGCGGTGCTACTGGATCCGGCAAAACTACTCAGCTACCACAAATGCTGCTCGAAAATGGCTACGCCTCAACTGGAATGATTGGAATCACCCAACCACGGCGGGTTGCGGCGACCTCAGTTGCAAGTCGGGTCGCGCATGAGCTCGGAAACGAATATGGAAAGAAAGTCGCTCATCAAGTGCGCTACGATACGAATGTTGGTCGAGATACCAAGATCAAATTCATGACGGATGGTATCCTGTTGCGAGAAATTAGTCAGGACTTTGCTCTCTCGAAATACAGCGCTGTTGTGATTGACGAGGCACACGAGCGTAGCGTCAACACTGATATACTCATTGGGATGCTTTCACGAATAGTTCCATTGCGGCAAGAGCTGAGTCTCGAGGATCCTAAAAAGCATCATCCTTTAAAGTTGATCATCATGAGCGCTACGTTGCGGGTAACGGACTTTATCATGAATCAGCGACTGTTCAAGTCCACAAAACCTCCCATAGTGCAAGCCGAAGGACGACAGTTTCCTGTGACCGAACATTTTGCTCGCCGGACTCAGAGAGACTACGTCGCCGAGACTGTGCACAAGGTAGCAAGAGGTCACGCCAAACTTCCTCCCGGTGGCATTCTTGTTTTCTTGACTGGTCAGGATGAGATTCAGACGGTCGAGAGCAGACTGAAAGAAGCATTCGCTGTCCAATCAACAGGGTTTCAGAACTCCAGGCACCTGGGCAAGACACCGCGGAATGACTATATCGAGGAAGAGGAGCCGGGCGATGACTCCGATTCAGAGGTGGAAATCACTGGTCTCGATGAAGACGATGCCGAAGATGCAGAATTCGAAGTGGAGGTAGACCCGTCATTACCACAGCGAAGCGGCGTGCTGAAGCCTCACATTCTCTCCTTGTATGCTGCACTGCCCACGAATCAGCAGATGAAAGTCTTTGAGCGGCCTCCAGAAGGCTCACGGCCAATCATCCTTGCCACCAATGTGGCGGAAACATCACTCACCATTCCCGGCATTCGATACGTTTTCGATTGCGGACGCAGCAAAGAGAAGCAGTATGATACCTCCACTGGTGTGCAAGAGTTCAGGATCGACTGGATATCCAAAGCAAGCGCCTCTCAGCGAGCCGGACGTGCCGGTCGAACGGGCCCGGGACACTGCTACCGTCTGTACAGCTCGGCCATTTACGAGCAATATTTCGAAGAGCACTCACTGCCGGAGATCCTAAGGACACCAATCGAAGGCACTGTTCTGCAGCTTAAAAGTATGGATGTTGACAATGTTGTGAACTTTCCCTTTCCAACGCCGCCCCAACGCGAGCAGCTCGCTCAGGCCGAACGCCTGCTGAAGAACCTCGGTGCCATCGATGCCAAACTTGGCAGGGTTACAGACATCGGCAAAGAGCTGATTCACTACCCGGTCAACCCAAGATTCGGAAAGATGCTTCTCTTGGGCGCCCGGAACAAAGTGATTGCGCACACAATCGCTCTTGTTGCTGGTCTAGCCGTCGGCGACCTATTCATCCCCGAAACGCAGTTTGCCCAAAGCATATCAGCTGGCGGAACAGAGGCTCAGCCATCAGAATTCAGCGATGAGAATAGCGCAAAAGCAAAGAACTCGGGTCTCTCTGAAGCTGCGTCGAAACAGAAGCAGGCCTACGGCCGCGCACAGGCCACACTGTCTGCTTGGGACGATAAGTCCGATGCGATAAAGCTACTAACGGCTGTCGCTGCTCACGCACAAGAGGCGAACGACAGCAAGTCTTTCTGCGCGAAGTATTTTGTGCGTCAGAAGGGCATGGACGAAGTTCAACAGCTTAGACGACAGCTCCACAGCATCGTACAGAATCACATCAAGCACGGTATAGATACCTCTTACAAGCTGGTGCTCTCACCGCCCTCGCGGGAGCAGATCAGCATCCTCAAGCAGATTGTGGCCGCAGGCTATATCGATCAGGTGGCTGTGCGCGCTGATCTCTTACCTTCGGCCGTCAGTACTGGCAGAAAGCCACGGCGAGCGATCGAGGTGCCTTATCGTACCCTCATGCCATCTATCACCGAAGCCGAAATCGATCGCACGGCGAGTCCTGAGGACCAGGCGCAACTGCGCAGCGCCTTCATTCACTCCGGCAGTGTGCTCTCGAAGCTCTCCGTCGCTGAAATGCCGCCTTATATCGTCTACGCGAATCTCAGCCGCGCCACGGCCAACGTGGAGGGCGAGAAGAAGCGGGTGCGACTCCATCCGCTCACCACCGTGGGTCCGAAGCAGTTGGGTGCCCTCGCAGATGGGACGCCGCTGCTGGAGGTGGGGAAGCCCATTGGCAAGATTGAAGAGAAGGATGGAGGCAAACGCAGAGAGTGCTGGGTGAGCATGGCTCTTCGCGATCCAAATGCTGTGGGTACGATCGGGTGGCCCTTGGGAGCATGGAAGGTCGTCCAGTCGCGGAAGGCCAAGGATTGGGCCATCGAGAAGGTGATTGATCGAGGGAGATAGATAGCCAAACCTCACGCGGTTGTGAATCTTCATGAGAGAGCATGGCGTGCCGTGCCAATGATTGAATGGCCTTCCGCTCCATCTTGTGCATCGATCTCGATATTGCTCATGAGTACGTTTCCACGCGGGGACGTCAGCCACGTATATATATATATCTGTATTGAGGGCGCGCACCTCTCCCATGCCATGTGGTGCCACGACAAAGGAAACTTTGACGGGCCGACAGCTTCCACGACCCAGCCCTGCGGTCGCCCGAGCCGTGCCTCATGGATTTTGAATCATTACAGCGACGATCATTGGTTATGGACTTCATCTCACTAGCGGACGTCCGCAGCAGCGCTTGACCGTCGAATTCAATGTCGTTTTGCTTGTTTCACGACGAGGGACTTCCTGGTCCGTTCGTGCAGGTTTGCCCGTCAGCTAACCATGGCCGCAGCACAAGGGAGGGAGGGCGGTGGAAGGGCGAGCCAACAGGGCCGACTTCTTCACCTCCCTGGCTGCTGTTGTGGCGGTTAAGAAAGAGTGGAGACGTCGTGAGGGGAGATGAATTGATGTTAATGATTTATCGATTTTGGTTGCGTGTGAACATGATCGGTGAGCGACTCTGCTTTCAGCAATAGGAGTCCTTCCCTCGCATCACCAAGGTGTTGTGGCAGCTCTAGCTGGCATTGGGTCAGATGTTCTCAGGGTGGCAAGCAGAAGAAGGGCTGTAGAGTGGACCAGTGTTGGCATCGTGGTTCTGGCTGCCGTAGCGGACAACGTTGCGATTGAGCCTGACCACCGCCCCTTGATGCTCGAGCCAGTCCAGATATCGACGTGCTACTGGCCGTTCTTCCAGTCTTGAATGCACTGGGCGTAGATATGCTCGAAGCGGAGGTACTTCTCGGTGTATGGGTCCCAGACGCTCTCGCACTTCTCGAACTCGCCAGGCGCAGTAGCCACGGTGCGCGGGTCACCGTAAGTGGCGGAACCACACTCAGTGTAACCACGACCACAATCGTAAGCGATCCCGGCGCTGGGTGGGTCGTTGTCTGGGTCCGTTGAACACTAAAATTAGCACTGTTGATGTTCCAGGAAATTCTTGTCTTCTTACAGCCGTAGAATGTGTATTGACATTTTGTACAGCGGTGCAACGCTTCTCGAGAGGCGACTCAAGGGCAGCACCCTGTGCTAGTCCGGCGAGGACGGCAATGGCAGCAGCTGCAACGGCGCTCTTTATGATGATAAGTTGGATGTAGTGATTCGTATTGGATCTGATGGTTTCCAGGTGCTTCGAATGCAAGATGGGCTTGATATGTCGAACAAGCCGGATAGCCGGCGCTGTCCATCCTCGTATATCCATTCCTTGAGACAATTTCTCCTCCAGCTATGTACCATACATCGCATCGAATGCCAAAGCCGTTACTCCAGTCGTCGTAATAGCACTTCCTCCACGTAACACGATTGATTGTTCGACGAAGCCCATTGTTCAAAGCGGTCTGGTGTTGCTGGACGTGCCGTTCAGCTGTGCGTGGAATTTGGCTCCAGATGCCGGAGGAACACGTTTGAGAGCTGAAAGTGCAGCACCGGCATTCAAAGGTCTTGTTCGCCTGCCAGACGGCACGGAAATCCACGTAGCTGAGCAGTCAGGGGAACAAGCCATTCGTCACTGGCCTTGCCAGATGCAGAAGCTTTGCAGCAGGACACGCTTAGCGTAGTACAAGCATCGTGATACAGCGGAGAGCGTTGTCGGAGGATTGGGGGATCAACAAGGTGCAGATGATCCTCTGGAATGCTCGTTTCGCCAGACACGTCTTGCCTTATGCCAATGTACGTTCGCAAACCGGGTCAACCAAGGAGGCCTCCACGTTCCCGCCAGATACAACACCGGTGTGGTGGTCATATCAATAAAATCAGTTTTTAGTGACAGCTCGTTCAGAGGCTTCGAGTGATAGAACCCCCTCTCTGTGACCGGACTTGCCGACGCCCAGCGTTAAGATCCTGTGATCGACCAGTGGACCTGCATCCATGCAATAGTTGCCCATGTGGTGTTGCATGCATGCCGTCTGTGCCCCGCGCTATCCGCTAATGAACCTTTGATGCAAGGGTTGGGAACGAAACCCGAGTCCAGTGCACGTGAGGTAGTTCATAAGGTTTTGGCGTTACTGAAACGGGATGGTCCAGAATATCGGAAGACTCTATTGGGCTAGTCTGGCTTGTATGGCTCCATGAGCGTACGGGAGTTCCCTCCACGACTTCGAACTGAGCATCTAGTAGATCAATGCATCTTCTCTGCTTGATCCGTGCGGATCGATCATTCGTCATCCCCTGTGAGCGGCAGATGAGAAGCCGGAATAATTCTCGCGGACAAATTAGGCTCCTCCAAGGCTCGATCAAAAGGCCACATGGGACGCCTTATGCGACAGTGTCCAAGCCGTTCCAAGTCCTGATCGACACCTCCAGGCGTGAGCGCCAGCATCCAGTCCGCAGCCATGTCGTAGAGCTCCGGCACCAAGTACCCAATCTTGACAATGACAATGTCAGCAGCGTTCCGAGGATCCAGATTTAGATGAAGAAAGTCTTGCTCTTCATGATATGGCTTCCTCAGCTTGGTCAAGATGACGAACATGCTGCCGACCTCTAGCACGACTTCGATCTCGGCGTGGACGTCACCCGTCCAGATCGAGTGGACGCGGCCTGTAAGCTTGACCGGTCCAGAGTGGATGCTGTCTACCTCTGCTCCAGCGGTAACTGTAACCAAAGCACCAACACCGGCATCAGTAGCGATTTGAACGGCTTCAGGACCGGGTATGCTGGCGTAAATGACTTTCGGACCCGAGGCATCGGCGATTTCCGGACGACCTAGTAGTCTCTGAAGAGTCCATGTTACGTCTCCAGATCCACCAGCAGTGGGATTATCGCCCGAATCCGAGATAAAGTAAGGTCTCGAATTCGATGCAAGAGCCGCATCGAAACACTCATCGAATGAGCCAGTCGGAGCGACGAACTTGAAGTCCTTATGTGCATCCCAGAAGAGACGAGCCAGCTTCTCTGCCGCTTTGCAAACAGCAGTCTCATCCCATCCGGTCACCATCACGACCGCACGACTGCGTTTCTCATCTCCCCAAGCATAGCCTACCCAGATTCCAGCATCGAGGACGCCGTCCATTGTCTCGACATGTGAGACTGCTGCATAGATGTGCTTCGCGGGTTCATCGCGTGTCGAAGTCTGCTCACCAGGCAGGAGGATTGGCAGAGGAATCCAAGCCTTGATCGGGAGCTCCGGTTTCGGGCCTTCCAAACTCCTAGTGAGGACTTTCACCAAGTTCGCACAGGCGCGCTCTTTCGATTCATATTCATCATCGTGAGGAGCCAGCCGGTAGCAAGTATTTAGGTCCAACTGGTGGGCAAGTTCCCGACTGACATTGCCGTGCAAGTCCATGCATGCTGAAATGACAACATCCGGGCCGGCAACGTCTCGTATGCGTCGCAGGAGCTCCACCTCGATGTCCTCAAATCCGTCCACATACATGGCACCATGGATATCATACCAAAGACCATCGAGCTTTATCGATTTAACAAGATCTCGGAGCCGCGATATCAGTTCGCCTGCAAGGTCCTCGAACGCATCCTTGGTTACTCTTCCACCGGGCAAGGAACGTCCTGTCAACACGCCATGCCACTCTGCGGAATCGCCGACTGGAGAGCCTGTTTTGAGGAAGTGGTAGCCATACTGGTCGAGAACTTCCTGTCCTCGTTTGGCATGGAAGGCTGCTGCTCTGGTTCTGGAAGGCGTGAACGTGGAGTTTTCGCAGCCGAGGCCTGCGATTGCAATCACTGGCTTTCGAGACATGACGCAAATTGAGGTTGTGTGACAGTGTGGGGGCAATGTTTCTGGAAGATATTTTCTTCTTATCTGGTTGTTGGCTCCGTTGGCCGAGTGGAGAGCTCCCGCCGCCGAAGCTCATGCACGACGTAACCTTGTCAGGATACCGATCTGCCAGTGACGCCCTGCCGTGAAGACTTGACGTGCCAAACGCCGGGTCGACATGCATTGGCATAGAGTCAGCATCGCGCCGAGAGGAAGATCGCGTGTATATGAGAAGCAAGACTCGATTACCTCTAACGCACTAGCTTAGTTGAATATTGAAACATTATGTCGCCAACTGATGAAGGCGCCGTGATCGCTCTGCAAGAAGCCCGCGAAGGACTTCCTGAAGGCGAAAATTCCAGTCGGCTCGGCGGTAAATGCTCCAGATGGCACTGTTCTGGGCTGACGCCGGAACATCAGGTAGCGAAGCAGCACTCCTCGGTAGCTGAGACGCTGACGGCAGCGCAGAGTGCAGAACGGGAGCCCAATCCCTCACGTATGCCCTCTAGAGCCAAAGCCAAGTATAGGCGCTGGCACGGATGCTATTCAGGGGCGAGATGGCTGCATTTATAGCAACCGCAAAGTTGACACCAAGGCTTTCCAGGGTGCAACTCTGTACACCATCCTGTTACCGTGTCCGATGTGCGCGGGGGTAATGATTTTTTTGAGGATCAAGAAGGTCGTCGTCGACGAGAAGGAACATATGACTGGTCGCGAGTAGCTCTCGCAAGGCCACGGCACGGAGATCGTTGTGTTGGATGACCCAGTCTGCAAAGACGTTCTCGCAGAGTTCATTCGCACACATCCTTGGCAAGTTCTGAGCGAAATGGCGGAAGCATGTGGGTATCCAGTTTCTTGGACCCAGCCTGGATGCCCGCGACAGTCGTGTCGAGGTTGAATAATTGTCTTATCCAGCGCCGGGTATATCGGACGGGTTTCTCGACGGCTGTTGCCAATGCTTTTGCGCTGTCCGACCTGCTGTGGCCCTGGATTTTGCCAGCATTGTCGGTAAGACAGTGACCTGCTGTTGTGCACAGACGCTGTATATGGCAAAGAAAGCGTTCACTACTCACTCCTTCGCCTTTCGTCCAGGTATACGCGCTAGGGCTGGCATCTTGACTTGCGTGCCCAGATTCTGCATTTGTGCAACAGCATCACCGAGAAGGACGCGGACTGCACCTTCGAGCCTGCGATCTTGCCTTCGACGCATGTACAGGATCACGATCCAGAGGATGACAGCATCTGCAACCACCAGCTGCACCGCCCACCAGCTCAGTCTGAGGATCCAGCCAAGCCAACTGTGTTTACGCTGGTAACTGAAATATCGCCTCGTCTCTAGCTGTTCTCGCAAAGCAGCCACTTCGGTGGTGAGTTTCATCAAGGACGACTCGATTCGCTTCCGCCAGCGGTTGTCTGCCGGGGAAGACTGACGTCTCTGCGGTGGTAAGAAGCGGCCCTCAGAAGCTCTATCGCCAGGCTCGGATGCGTCCTGGAGATCCGCCTCATCGATCTGGGACACGGGCGCGTCGACAAACTCCTCACGCTCTTCTTCCGCAGCTTCGTTCTCGTCCGCCTGAGAGACTGGAGACAGCACCCGTAACCCTTTGCCTCCATCCCGGCCACCGTTCTCCAGCGCTGCAGCCGACGAGCTGATGCCGCCGTTATTTCCCGAGCTGCCGGAGTGCATGTAGTCCCTGCGCTCGATGGTCTGTAGCGGCGAAGAATGTTCCGAGCTCGAGTGCTGGGAGTTGTTCTTGATCTGATCCCACACAAACTCCAATTCCTCTACCAGCTCGCGAGCCTCCGGAGTCGTCGATGCGTACTTGTGCATCGTCTCAATCAGCTTCTCGATGTATCTTCTCTTTGCTTCCGTCCGGCTCAAACCCTCGTTCGCCTTCCAAGCATCCCACTTCTCTTGCTCTTTCTTCACGCCTTCGGACGGGGTGCCGCTGGGCGAGGAGGGTCGGTCGGCTACCAGGGCAACATCGCCTTCCATGGACTGCTTATACAATCCATACAAGGCCAAGCGATCGATCGAAGGCGGCTTCTGCGATCCAGGCCGGATCTTGTTGACGGTATTCAGGGCATGCCCGAAGACACGGTCTACCAGACAGTAGTCTCATGTCAGATTGCGCATCTCGCATGCGAGCTCTCCTCACGTGTACATACCGACAGAGTCCGCCATGATTTCCCCTCTCTACAATCACACAGCCTCCGAAGCGGCGCGATGTGAATCCCGGCGTTTGAATTGTTGTAGTCCTTTAGCTCCGGCTTGTCAACGAGCGATCCAGCAGTATCGTACACATCATCCGCGGTGAAGATCGAGAGCTCGTGACGTTGGACAAGGAGATCATGTCGCGTGTGGTGCTATCATCTAATCATGCATGTGCAAGGTTCTCCGTTCAATTTGAGAACAGCCGCGGTACATGCGTGTGCATGTGATGTTGAGTACCTATCCGCTGCACCGATTGGGTTTAGACTGCGATGCTTACGTACTCGACCAGATTTATAGACCACAGACCTCTAATAATGTGTCGTGTGAGTTCTGCCATCAACGACGATGACCCGGGCCAATCAAGACGGAAACAACCTATGCAGAGCGTAACGGACGCGATGAGAGACTTTTCAGAATACCGTCTGCTGTCGTGTAAGGCGGCCATCTCGGCGGAAGTTCACAGATCAACTCGAAGTTCGTATGCTATCTTGCTGCTCTGGAACGAAGGGAGCAGACTCACCCACTCACTCTTGAATGATCCATGATATGTGGGAGTGATTCCGCAGTGGACCTTTCTGTATTCTCGGCTCTCGGCATCGACATTCCCACTAGGTACCTTACATATAAACCCACTATTTTACGATACCGACGGGAAAATACCTTATGCATATCCGCCCCACATCAGTCTTGCCTCCAGAAAGCGGCAAGAGCGGCCAACAAGAGATTTTCCTTCCTTTCTCTTTGCTGAGAGGCGACGGCGAAATCGGCCAAGCGCGCAGGATGCATTCTTCGCAACGCCACCACCACACTCACCCACCAGTGTGAGAGAGTACCCGCCCATTTCTGCCCACCCCGACGTCGGCCGGCCGGTGGGAGGTGCACTGCAGAGATAAGGTAGGCAGGCCGTTTGCTCTTTCCCTGGTTGACTGGCTGGCGAAAGTGACCTCGTTCGCCGAGAGTGCTGCTTCTGCTCCTTCTGATGCTGCATTCTCCACCGGCGAATGGGGGAAAGCAGTTGAGTCAGATTGATGCGGTCCTTCGTATTGGTTTATTTCTTTCCTCTTCTACGAGATCTTTGATTGCTTCAGAAAGAAAGACCAGAGAGCTTGCACTTGTCTGCTTCGTCGACGAGAGCTACAGACATCAAAGGAAATGGACGACGAAAAGAGACACCCTACCGAATCGGTAGAAGAGCCGGAACCGGAACTCAAGCCGGCCTCTATCAAATCTCATGAAGAAGACACTGAGTCCGAGCCTCAGGCACGCGAGAAAAGGGCTCCAGGACTTACCGAAATTGAACTGGAAAGCCAACGATCTGGCCTGCACCACGTGCGCTCTCATGTCTCGACACACGATGCCGCTATCATCACCACAGAGCCCGACCCGCACTATGAGACAGGCGACGAGATCTACGACCGCTTCACTTCACGCCACAAGATGCTCATCGTCGCCATCATGTCCTTCTGCTCGTTCCTGGCGCCCATCTCATCGACCAGTATCCTGGCTGCGAGTCCAGAAGTCGTCAAGACGTACAATACCACCGGAGCGATCTTCAACATCAGCAACGCGCTGTACATGTTGTTCATGGGATTGAGTCCGCTGTTCTGGGGGCCTCTCGGGCAGACCTACGGGAGGAAATGGCCTCTCTCCTGGGCCGCGGTGACTTTCACTTGCTTTTCCATCGGGTCGGCTCTGGCTCCGAACCTGGCTTCGTACTTCGTGTTCCGCATGTTGACTGCGTTCCAAGGCACGGCGTTCTTGATCGTTGGTGGGACGGTCATTGGTGACATCTACAAGCCGGTGGAGAGAGGCACGGCGTATGGATGGTTCATGAGCGGAACGCTTATCGGTCCTGCAATGGGTGAGTTAAAGCAATACGGCCAAGTAATCTGCTCTCACTGACATGTCCCTCATAGGTCCCTTCATCGGCGGCATCATCGTCACCTTCGTCTCCTGGCGCAACATCTTCTGGCTCCAAACCGCCCTCTCGGGCCTCGCCTCCCTCCTCGTAATCTTCCTCCTCCCAGAGACAATCCACCACCGCCGCAGCACCGAGCTGCAAAACCTCTCCCGCCCCCAACAAGCCGCGAAACTCTGGACCTGGATCAACCCAGCCCGCATCGTCATCCTCTTCCGTTATCCCAACCTCATCGTCATCGGGCTCGCCTCCTCCTCCCTCGTCTGGAACATGTACTCCCTCCTCACGCCGATCCGCTACGTCCTCAACCCTCGCTTCGGCCTCACCACCCCCCTCCAGTCCGGCCTCTTCTACATCGCCCCCGGCTGCGGCTACCTCTTCGGCACCTTCTTCGGCGGCCGCTGGGCCGACCGCACCGTCAAGACCTTCATCACCCGCCGCTCCGGCCAGCGCATCCCCGAAGACCGCCTCCGCTCCTGCCTCACGGCCATGGGCATCGTCATCCCCGCCTGCATGCTCATCTACGGCTGGTCGATCGAAAAGGCCGTCGGCGGCATCCCCTTACCCGTCATCGCCATGTTCGTGCAGGGCGTCGCCCAGCTCTTCTGCTTCCCCAGCCTCAACACGTACTGTCTCGACGTCATGCAGGCGCGCAGCTCCGAGGTCGTCGCGGGGAATTACTTCATGCGCTACCTCTTCGGCGCCGCCGGTTCCGCGGCCGTCTTGCCCATCGTCGAGGCTATTGGCGTGGGTTGGTTCAGTACCATTTCGGCTCTGTTCGTTGCGGCCGGCGCGGCCGGCACGTGGCTCGTCACGGTCTATGGAAGAAGTTGGAGAGAAGCGATCGATAAGGGGAAGAAGAGCAACGATGGAGACTGAGAGGGAGAATAATCCAGGTTTTGGGGGTTCAATGGATTTTTCGGCTCCCTCCCAGCAGCATAGCATCACTTTTTCATGGCGTTTTTGGCGTTCTGGCGTTTTCGGAGCGTGAGCTTCAATTTACAAGCTTCGCACGTGGGCCGAAGGATTGGTCTACGTAGAATGATACCCTCGAGCAACCTTCAATTTTCAAGAATGAGAAACGCTACAACAATAGACAGACGCTTGGATGACGACAGGATGGAGAAGAGAAAGTGGTATACAGACATCGCTTTCCATTCTTACAGCAAATCCTTTCCCGGTCAATTGTGTCCAGCTTATACATCTCGCATCGCATCGCATCGCATCGCATCAAGCATCAAGGATCCATTCCCCTCCCCACAATCCCAAAACGCCTTCGCTTTTCGCGTAAATAACCACAAACAAAAAAAAAAACCTCATGACTCATCCGATTCAATTCAATTTAATCAACCCAAAGGCAACATCAGCCGTCTCAGGTCCGCAAATCTCCAATCATCAATCACCGTCTCCCAATCATCCGCCAGAAGCCCATACGTCTCGTTGTCGTAATTCTCGGGCTTTCTCGGATTCAAAGCCCAATATCCATAGTCTGCGTCCGTCTCCTCGAGGATCTTCATCAGATTCTTCCAGTAGTGGTGGTCTTGATCGTTGCCGATATGCGGCGCACCGAATTCGCCGACCCACACGGGGGCGATGTTTTCGCGCAACAGATAGCCCCAGTTTCGCTCCATGTCCCGTGCGAATGAGGGGTATGGTCGTTTTCCGTAGGGGACCAGTGTAGACCAGCCCGACCACATGTATACGTGGCTGCTGTAGACTACACGGTCCGGGATCGAGAGTTTCACGGGCCTTGTGCGAGCTCCCGAGCAGTCGTTTGCTGAGGAGATGCCCTCGACAAACATGAGCCAGTTTGGCTGGAGTTTCAGCAAGGCTTCGCTGGCTTTCTCAGCTGCGGCGGCCCAAGAATTCCAGTGCATAGTCCCCCAAAGTCCGCGCGGCTCGTTGCGTAAGTCGGCACCAATCACGAGTGGGTTTTCAATAAAAGGCTCCATGATGGTTTTCCAGTGATCGATCCATGTCTGCGTGGTCTGCTTGATCTTGCAGATGGGTCCTAGGTGGTCATTTTTCCAGCTAGAGTCGCAGAGATTCTTGCCATCGCACCAGTGGGCGTTGGTGATGTGGTCGTTGATAATGACTGCGAGGCCCGCGTCGGTCATCGCTTTCACACAAGCGTTGAAGACATCTATCGCTCGTGGTCCTTGTAGCTCGTCGGAACGTCGTGGGTTGTCTCCATGACTGAGGTTGTAGCCGTCCAGGAGATCCAGATTTGCGGAAATGTCCTCGGGCGCGACAACGGGATTGTCAATGACCATCTGATCGGAGTACGGGAAGCGGACTGAGTTGAAGCCCATCCTCCGTATCGTCGCCGCGATCTCGTCTCGGTGGCGGTAGTCCAAGCCCCCGGGGACGAAGTAGATGTCGCTCGCTCCGTACCAATTGACGGACGCGAGCTTCACCCTCATGCCATTAGCATCCACGATATGCCTTCCGGCTGTGCGCAGAGGCGGCGTGAAGCCCATGATCGAGCCGCCTGTGCCATTCCACGCCGGGCCATGGTATTTCAGCGGCACCTGTTCCGCTCGACCTGAAGGCACTCCAAATGGTAAGCTATAGTACACCACAATGACCGCGAACAGCACTGTCAACAGCAGTGGCGTCCTGCGAAGCATTGTTGTCCCCGTCCTGCGGTGAGTAGGAAGCGAAATCATGTTGACAGCGAAGGAAGCGGAGAGAAGGGCAAGGGGAAAGAACAAGACAGAAAGATGCGACATGACGGGCGACTCGCGCTTCCGAGCGCCGGGCTCTTGACAGTGGCGGACGAGGAAGAAGAATGCAGTAGTATGGGAGACACAGTGATGTGCCTCGTCAGCTCCGCGCCGTCCGGGAAAAGGCAGCACATGAAGGACGCTGACTGGGGTGCCAAGAGCCCTAATCCTCACGGATCCGCGAGCGGACTGCAAGTGGCACGAGGGCACTTACTTTGTTCATCGCGGCCGGGGCGAGGCATGTCTGCCTTGTCGTCCATGGTATTGTTATGCTGGAATTGGGGCTCAGAGCGAGAGAATTGATGGTTGGTCGTGTGCTCATTAACTCCGAAGCTTCCGGACAGGCGCAGGACTCCACGTGTACCGCCAAGGCTACCAGCCCGATGAATTCCAGTGCGCGAGATCCGGTGCTGTCCTCGTCCCGGTGATGCGAAGCGATTCCGGCTGAATGTTTAACTTTTCCATGTCGCGTGCTGCTGCTGCTGTCGTCAGGCCCGAAGGAGGGTGAGCGGACGAAAGCGCGGCATCGGATAACATCGGATAACATCGGAGCCCCGGGTCCGTGCCATCCGGCCCTCCTCGCTGCTTACAATCACCGCGGACGTGGCCGCTTACCATGACGCGCCTCGGAGCGAGCTGGACGGAGATGAAGCAGAGAGGAGGAGGGTACAGCCGGAGGGGTGAAAAGTTGAAGTAGGAGCAAGAGCTTGGCAGAGCCAGTGGAGGTTTCATTATTAATAAGGTATTGGGTGGGCAACACCGACCAGGATCCTCCACCTCATCTCCATCCGCTCCTGCCGCATACGGAAAGGCAAGAACGCCCCGGCTATCTACGCCTTATCTTCTGCTTTGCGACCATTGCGGAAATGTACCGTATTCCTATACACCCAAAGTCATTTACTAGGTACCTTGCCCCTTCTCCTTGGCCTCCCGTAAAGGCTTCCAATAAACATCACTCTCCCTGACCACAACCTCATCCAATCCACCAACAGGCCCAATGATTTGCACATCCTTCTGACTCCCTTCCAACACCTTCCGACAAGGCATACTCATAGTCATATTCTCCTCGTTCCCAAGCCCGGTAATCTCACCCAACTGCGTCTCCGAAGCCGCATATACAATCCGTCCAATATTAGCCCAGTAGCAAGTACTAGTGCACATCGCGCAGGGCTCCCAGGTGGAATAGAGAGTGCATTGCCAGAGGTATGGCTGGGTGTAGTGGGAAGCTGCGAGGCGGGCGAGACTGGATTCTGCGTGGTTGACGTGGTCGATGGATTGGTGGGTGAGGAGGACGCTTTCGTTGTCTGGGCCTATGAGGGCTGCGGAGAAGGGCCTTTTGCCCATGGTCAGGGCTCGTCGTTGGACCACCAGACATGCTTCGATGCCGGATCGGATCTGTTCTGGGGTTGGCTGTGGTGGACGAGGTGGGAAGAGGGAATGTGGTGCCATGTTCTTGCTCGGACTGAAGTGCCAGACGGGTTGAAGTTTGGATGTTGCACCATCTCAGTGCCGGAGTGACGGACGAAAGACGTTAATGTCAGTACACCAAAGCTGCTCTTACGTATTCCGGGAAGCGCCGAACTCCGATGCTGTTGGCCGAGGGCTCGATGAGGTTCCTGGCCGTTCCTTACGACGACTCTGTCGCAACTTCTACTACAATCTTTCCCCGCGCTCGGTCTGTCTTGAGCCTCTCGAAGGCTCTGGGTGCATCCTCGAACTTGAATTTGGAGTCGATGATGGGCTTGACCTGCCCTGACTTCATCCAGGCTCCGATCTGCGCGAGATCTTCTGTCTTTTGATCTGTGGCGAAGAACTGAAACTTACGCTTGCCACCGCCCAAGAATCCAGGAAGGAGCATCATGGAGGTTATCTGCTTGAGTCCCGTCAAGGTAACCTTGGCTCCGACCTGCACCCAAACCGCTCCTGGCCGGGTGTATTCGTGCATTTTGAAGTAGAGCTCAGGCTGGCCGGAGACGTTGTCTACGACATGGTCGTATTTCCTGCCGCTGGCGATCAAAGCTTGAAGCACATTTGATTTCTTGTAGTCGATGACTTCGTCGGCACCAAGGCTCTTGCAGAGCTCCACATTCGGAGTTGAGCAGGTAGTCGTGACGTGGCAGCCCTTTGCCTTGGCAATCTGGATACCGAAGACCCCAGTGCCGCCGCTGCCACCGTTTAAGAAGACGCTATCTCCTTCTTTCACGCAAGGACTGATTGACTGGTACGCGGTCAAGCCTGCGACACAGACAGTGGCGCCCCAGACAGGATCCAGACCTTCGGGCAATGGAGCGACTGAGGTTTTCTTGGAGGTGGTGTACTCGGCAAGTGCGCCTCCCAACACGTGCACGCTGGCACCTCCGAATACAATCTGTCCGGGTTGCAGAGAAGAGCCGTCCGCAGGCTGGACTATCTTGCCCACGTAATCGATGACGGGCGTGTGAGGTTTAGATAGAAGATAGCGAGTGACCAAGGGAGCTTCCACTGGCTTGTAGTCAACTGGCAAGCAGGTTAGCAGGATGTCCCGGGAACCTTTGGGTTATTCGCTCTCCCACCAGGATTCAGAGCCGTAGCAATGACCTCCACAAGGTGTTGGTCTGGCTTCCGTTTTGGTATTGGCGCTGAAGCATTGATATGGAGATTCTTCTCAATGCCTCCAGCACTGGAGCTGATCTGCATGGCTCGCATGGTGGAAGGTGCTTGAGGAGAAGACATGGTGTTTTCTGTCTGAATTTGTTCTTCTTGGTATCAGCAGTGGCCGGGGATGTATTCAACTTGGCCACGATCGCTCCTTGCACTTATATTTGTATACAGAGCGTGACGGCGATTCGTATATGACGGAAGGATCAAACAAGTCGGCGGAATGGTTTTGCCGACAGAAGCGCGTGTTGTTGAATGCAGTCCGGACAAGAGCTCTGCCGAAATCCGGCCCGGGGCGATGGACTCATGACGTCTCGTGACGTGTAGTGACTGCTGCCGGGACTGACATTAGCTAGCGCCCATATCATTCCGACCAATGATAGCAGCACACATCTGCCGTCCTGTCCATACGAATTGCTACCAGCTGTCCACGCCATCGGGATGCAGCCTGGTACGATGCAGCCTGACACATTTGTCTTGGCCAGGCATTCGACGAAAATGGCGACGTTGCGACGATCCACAACGCCATTGAAGTTATCCAACGATGCTGCACGAGTTCTACGGCACATCACGCCGGGTAGTGGAGCCTCTCAGGACGAAGCCGATATGTTCGAAACGAATGCTGAAGCGTCGTTTTGGGGATCGGCGAATGACCACAGACTACTAGCTTTCAAGGAACAGATGGATCCGCATAACGTTCTTACCTGCTAGGGATGTACTGAATGGTATAGGAATGATTCCAGGTATGATTGCTGACCGGGCATTACTGCTGCTGGAGGACGGAGCAACTCGAGCTCAGTCTCGATTGATGCGCCTGTTTTCTGGATCTGTGGGATCATGAGCATGAGATAAAAGCGCTTTCAGGCTGACCTGCCATTTCGTGTGCAACTTCATCTCATTGTGTATCAAGACCTCGAAGCCCTTCTACCACCAAGTATCTCCGCCACGATGCCCCTACCTATTCGTCACATAACTCCACGTCTTCAACACCACAATCGGCGTCCCGAACAATATCCACGGCCATGATGACCCCATCTTACTGCCTACGACTGACTTGACTCCCGCCCAGTATGGACCACCATACTCAAGGAGCAGACATCCACACGCGACGGAAGTGAGAAGCACAGGCACGACGGCGGTCTGCAAAACGCCCTTGGCCAAGCGGAGTCTTGCGGCCATGGTCAAGCCCTCAGCGACACGATCGCCTTTATGCGAATGAGGAAATGGCTCCTCCGGGATCGGCTTCTCCAGAAATTTGCAAATCGGCTCCCATCCATCCTCCGGTGCCCATTCGAGGAGATTTTCTGGAGGCACGATATCTCTGATGAGCTCGTTGTGGGCGTGGTACCCTTCAATGAGCTTGTCGCGGTTGCGCCAGTCCCCACCAGTCCAATGGCAGAGGACGAGGCGGAGGACTTCTTCGAGCATGCTGAAGCCCTACATCACATCGTGAGAAAGTATGCTATGGATCTGTGGAGGAGGAGGGCAAGCTCACTGGATCCATCGCCGCCGCGACGCGGAAGACTTTCGATTCGATGACGGCATGATAGGACCGGAGGATCGAGGCGAGCCACTTATTGGGATCCCGCTTGGTCAGTATGACTTTTGCATCCGGGTATGCTGCGATGAGCTCTTCGGAAAAGTTCACGGCGGGGGCGTCTGTTACGGCCTATGTTCAACGTCAGCTGGCGGACAACATGCTCACACAAGGCCACTCACATCATAGTGTTGGAGCAGCTTGTCAAAGTCGGCTTTGCCGTATGGCTTGCCACTTCCGTACAGCTTCGCGATGAGCGCTTCCCTCCAGCAGAAAAGATGGCGATCTTGGATGTTCTTTTTAACTTCTTTGAAATGGTACGGAGTGTAGCCGAGTGTGTTCAGCGCCGTCCACATTGCTACTCACCATCAGACTGTGGCCTCTTATTTGAAAAAGGATATTCTGACGTTACGAACACATTGTTCCGGTGCGGGAAAGACCGAGGCAGAGGACTTGCATCTTTTTGGAGCCCTCTGGAGCCCTCTGGACGCGGTCGATCCATCGTGGTGGAATGGCGCTTGGATTCATCGAGCAGATGTGCGAAACGACGCTCAAGCAAGGTTGTCTGCGCAACGAGCATTGAAGTGCGCTGATGAGAATGTATTGCTCGACCCCGGACAGGGTTCTGGATCACTCGTGGCAATACTTCGTCCCGAGCAAAGTCGCCAAGAGCAATTCTACCGAAGTATTGAAGAACGTTGAACAAAACCAAGTTTCAAGCAAAGAGAAACGAAGCGGAAGCAGCACCGAAGGTCTCTATGGATTTCAATTTGATATACGAGGGGAAGCAAGTAGTACCCACCATCGGTCCAGATGGAACCCGCTCCTATTGAAGTTCTTCATCGCAGCGGCTGGACGCAGTGTTCGTCATGGCAATAATCGGCGGGAGAGCAAGACGATCATTGCAATGGGCCCAAAAGTGAGAGAGGAGACGCAGCCGACGACAGCCGCTTGTCAATGACAAGGCAATGATGCGACGCGCTGAAGCAAACGAAGCCGTAGCATGCTTGCACCGGAAGGTACAAGCCATGTACGACTCGCTGAAGCGAACGAAGCCGTAGCACTGCCTGCACCGGAAGGTACAAGCCATACACGACTCGCTGAACAGACGCACCCGTAGTCACTGCCATACTCGAAAGTACGACAATGATGCGAGACGCTGCTTGGGCCACCGCACAGATGAGATACATGGACTTGAAAATCCACTCAATCACTGGGATGCCGAAATGATCCGCACATGAACTACATGAGCGCAGCAGAGGTCATGCGATCGATGGCATGGCAGGAACGCGAGGGCTCACTGTAAAAAACAGAAGAAAAAAAAGCCCTGCTTCACTTACCAGACACCGCGACGGTTGGAGTTATAGCCGCCTCGAAAACCGTAAGGTCTATTGCGAGGGCCGCTTCGAAGATCATGAGGGTGGCCGCTGAGGCTCGCATTGGACCACGGCTGCTGCTGAGCGCGCTCGTCCTGAACTATGCGCAGATCGCACCCATGCGAGCCCAGAGACCGGTCCTGAACCCCATGTCCGGGGTTCAAATAGGTGCGGTGATCTAATGGACCTGGCTGAAAATTATGGGAGCCGTAGCTGTGCAGCGAACGCGGCGCAGGCGGTGCGGCGGGCGGATTGACGTAGGAGTCGCGGCCGAAGTAGTCGACATGTGACTGCTCCTGTCCCGACTGGCAATATCCTCGACCTATATTGTCCAGTCGTTCCTCCGGAGCATTGGACCTCTGAGGCTCCTGACGGACGTTTTCTTCGAGGACGGCAATTCTGTCCTGTAGCTCGCTGATTTCCTGCCGTCGCGCCTTGTCGGCATTTTGGAGCGTCACTACGGCTTTCCAAACACCTTTGATATATTGCCACACTTCAGCGAACAGCTTCCGAACAGATCGTGGCGGCTCTGTCTCGGGCGAATCAGCTCGTCGTGAATCGGGCAACTGAGGCGTGGAGCTCGTAGGAGACCAGCGAGGCGCATCTCGAAGGGCAACAGTCCGCACTGAGCCTAGTACGGGCGCTGCGGGCAGGAAAGGGAGAGGCTGTGCGGTGGGCTCGGAGCTCGCGGGGTGGCGGTCATCGGCTGCCTGTGGAGACAAGCCAGTCTCGCGACATTCAGGAGCCGCTTGCTGGTTCTGCTGCCATTGCAGCTCCGCAAGGCTGGCCTTTTGCAATTGCCGGTGCTCCGCCATTTACCGCAGCGTGTGCTGCTCTTCCTGCTGCAGCTTTTGCTTCTCCCTCTGCTTCTGCTGCTTCTTAGTCACGCGGGCCGGTTGCAACCTCGAGTCGGCTTCAGACTCATCTTGCGTCTGCAGGTGCTATGGGCTGATTCTGCCACGCGGGAGTGGCACGGGCTGACGTGCACTGCTGGGCAAAGTGCTGGGCGTATCTCGACCTGCTTGGTTACTCATGTTTGCAATCCTCTAGAATCCTCGACAAACGGATAGCAAGAGGTCGACGAAGCTGCGTGCAATTAGTATGACGGACCCAAATGAGGGAGATCAACTTATACAAAGTTTGTCGTGTTGTAGACAGGAGAGAAACCAGCGGAGCTCGGAAGTGTGCAATTTCTGTACGTGTGCTTTCGGCAAGTACCCGCCGTGCCGCTCCTGCCGTAATCTTCTGCTCTCAGGCCGATATATTGTAATGCATCAATTCGGGTTCAAAGATTGATTAGAGTGTAGGCCCGGTGCCAGCTCCTCTAGCTGGCGATTCTGTACATCAGCACACGCATCTGCTTCCCCAAGAAAGTATATTGCCAGTGTGCTCAGATGTGTATACGCTCTCACATGTACTAGCCCATCCGTTCACTTTCCATGCATCTCTTGCGGTGCTCTTCAAGGCAACATTCCAACAGAGGACGGTAGACTTAACACGGAATATTGTGGTTCGCGCTTCACGTTCGGTTGCCTTCAGAATCGTATCTCGAAGCTCATCAGTCGCGAAGTCGCTATCTGCATTCTTGAGGCGGGTTTCGTGCCCGTAAACGTACGCCGATCCGAAGACATCTAGTCATGATCCAACGCCCATTGTCCATTGAACCACGCTGTTGCCCTGAATCGACCAGGTATGGCCACCAGGCTCGTGAATTGAATCTGCCAGGCATTTCTGCATCTCGGATGAGTCGTGGGATTTGACCTTATAGTAGATGGCAGTCAGGCAAGGTCAGGTGAAGTCAGCTCGCGGTGGTGCTCCACTGGTCTGCACGGGCCTCTCGTACGTAAAATACAGCCCCAAAGTGCTCGTGATAACGATATCGACCGTAAGCAAGTTCGATCGGAATCCATCGCATGCTAAGGTATATGCACTATCACTGCATTCTGTCGCAAACTAATCTCGATCATTCAAGACCACCAAGGAATTCCGCCTTACAATTTGCTAACCCTCAACATGTGTGTTCTCTTCTCACAAACTTCTTTCAGCGCCGCGAATTGTGTGCATCTTTCCGCGCAGCTGCATAGCGGGATAAATGACTTCCCTTGCGGACACTAGAGACACCGGGTCCACTGGCAGTGCTAGGAGCATTCTCAGTGCTACATCGTGTTAGTTACAATCAACGGGATGTCCACACGTCCACTTACAATGCTGCATAGTTCTGAGGGGTCTGTCGAGGCGCGGCACGTAGTTTGGTGATGCCGACGCTAACTCGCGACACCGCGTCCTCGTAGTCTTCTGTGCAGTGCTTGACGTGCTTGAGGATACAGTGGCTACAATCGCATGCCGTCAGAGTGCAGTCGCAATTGGCAGGAGCGTAGGCACTCATCTTTCCGTGGTGGCAATGGAAGTCCTCTTTTGGGACGTGGCACAGCGGTCGACCAGGTATGGTCTCGATCCTGCGGAGTTTGGTCAGTTGAGTGTTTGGCCTGGGGGGGGGGGGGGGGGGGGGGGGGGGGCGGGGGGGGGGGGGCGGCGGGGGGGGGGGGGGGGGCCGGGGGGGCGGGGCGGGGAATATGCAGTAACATACTTCTCTTCACCGAGCGTCAACTCATTCAGCAATCTCGAGCTGGCCTGCAAGACCTGCCGCGCGTCGTCGCACGGCACGCTCAAGTCCACGATCTTCGCGGCTTTCGTTTGCTCTCGCAAATTCTGCTCCACCTCATACGCCACCGTGAGCTTCTTATGGGTGTGTTCAATCTTTCTGATATAGCGAAGAATTTCGACGTGGAGCGGCTTCCGGGTCAGGCATTCGCAATCGCAAACACCTGGGTCTCTTGCTTTGCATGCGGCATGTCCATGTGGCAGCCGGGGCTTCGAGTCGCACATGATGTACTCGCACTCAGCCACGTTGTTCGTGCGCCGCAGATGCTCCAGATGATGGACGTACTTGACGGTGTCCGGATCGAATCGATGTTCTTTGATGTCTGCACGATCTCCAATCAGTCCTTGTTTGCCGTCCCAGCAGATTCTCCTGAGGATGGCGGTGGGAAGGAGCAGACGACGCGGGATGGGGAGAAAACGCTTGGATGAGCAGGTTGAGGAGAAACTTACGGCTCGCTTTTCGCTGCAGGTACTGGTGGCAAGAATTGCACACCACCTCCACTTCTTCTTCAGGCAAGAAGGCACGCTCGAGAAACGCCTCGAGATCTGGTGCGATACATCGATCATATTTGGTTTTGGCATCGCAGCGGTCTCTGTCATCGGTCTTTTCAATTTGGCTGATGTGACTCTCCAGGGCAGCAGCCCGGGCCTGCCAAGCAGAACGGTCGTACGTCAGCTAGTATCCCAGACAAAAGGAAAGCAGATCGGAAGGTTGGGAGGCCATCCAGTGGCTCAGTCATGTGGAGCTGTCTCTTGGGAACAGTGGTGCTCTCTGATATCGTACCTTCTTGTTCGCCTTCTTCAGATCTGCCGTACCATCAGTGCTGTGCTCGGATGCGGACATGTTCAAAGGACTGACCTTCGAGAAAGTTACTCTTCATCGCCGACAGACAGACTCGACACGCAACCTCAATATCCGCAAACCAGCCGATATCGTCGTCGTCCACCCGCTCTAACAATCCGGACTTCGTGATGCAACCGCCGAACTTGGTGCGCAACTCGCAGCGTTCGATGTCATCAGTGACGGCGGTTTGGTCGACATACGCCTTCAGAGCAGCAGCGTGCATGGGCTGGCCTTGGTCCTCCAACTCTGCGCGGGATTAGTACTGCACTTGTCGAGCAAGTAACGACATTTGACTCACCCTCGCCCAGCACACGGGACTGTTCCAAGCATCGCTTGCAGGCGACCTTGACGTGCTCGAAATAAGCGATGTCGGAGCTGTCTTCCATGATGGAAACCTCGCAAAGGCGGCAAGCAATCTGCGAGGTCAAGGTTGTGTAGACGCAAGAGTTCAGAAGAATGGGAAGCGAGTTCTTGAGCTCGTCGGCGAACTCATCGGCAGCGGCAGAAGCCGCGTATAACCTTAAATTCATGTGAATGCACAGACGTATCGAAACCGCCCAGCCTCGACTCCATCTCTACAGCTTTGACGCGACCATTTCCTTCTTCGGACCCGTAAAACCGAATAGGTACCCAGCAACCTTGCGCATCTGAATCTCTTCACTACCCTCTGTGATTCTGTACCGCCGGTGATGTCGCCAGATGTGTTCAAACGGATACTGTCTACTATAACCCCAACCGCCGAAGGTCTGGATCGCGCGATCCGCCGCCTGAGTGCATAGTCTATTCGCCCAGTAGTTGCACATGCTGACCTTGTCGCTGACCTTCTGCTCGACCTCCGCATGCGGCATCGTATCCATATCAACTGCAGTCTTGCGGATGAGGAGGCGGAGCATCTCGCACTGTGTAGCAAGTTCGACGAGTGGAAACTGGATGGCCTGGTTCGACGCCAGCGGTTTGCCGAAAGTTCGCCGCTTGCGAGCGTATTCTACAGCTTGGTTCACACAATACACCGCGGCTCCGAGAGAAGAGGCGGCTTGTCTGATCCGATTCTCGTGCACAAAAGCTTGGGCAATCGCGAGTCCACCGTCAAGAGGACCTATTATGGAAGCGGCGGGAACGCGGACATCCGTCAGAGACACTGTAGCGTGATCTGTCGGCATGTTGAGCGTCCATTCGTATGATTCCACCTTGAGGCCCGGTGCATTGGCTGGGACGTTGAAACAGGTGATCCCCCTGGCGTGCCCGTCTTTCCCGCTGGTTCTCGCAAAGATGAAGCAATTGGTTGCTACATGCATCCCGGTCTGCCACATCTTGCCGCCGTTGATGATGTAGCTGCCATCTGATTGCTTTTCTGCTTTCGTCGACATGAACGTTGCATCACTTCCATGCTGGGGCTCTGTTAACCCGAACGTTATCCTCACCTTCCCAGCCAGTCTTCCATGGATGAGTTCTTTCTTCTGCTGCTTATTACCAAAGTGCTGTACCATCACAATGTCCGGGAAGTTGCCAACGACGGAGTGTTCGTTCTGGAGATCGTTGAATAGACCGAGCCCTTTGCTGGCCAGATGTTCTCTTATTACGGCCATCCAAAGATTGCTCCCTCTTCCACTTGCCTCATTTTGTCCGCCATATTCTCTCGGAAGACTGAAGCGATAGAAACCAGCCTTGTCTGCCCTTCTTCTTGCTTCAGCTAACAGTTGCTCCCACTCTTCGCGTGGCAGGCCACCCTTGTCCCAGTCTGTCCGCGCATGTTCTCTACGATGATCGAAGAATCGTTGATTGTCGTCCTGTTCCTGCAAAGGGCGAATCTCACGTTCGACTATTGACTAGCATCAGCCAAGCAGGTCTCGTGGAATGAGGTGTCCTCGTCGAAGGACTTACTGAAGTCGTCGATGCGGGAGATGTACTCATTGAGAGCTGGAGGGATTTCAAAATTCATTGTGAGGCTCTTACAAGTGTACGAGACGGGCAAAGAGATCTGGAAATCGACTTACTGGTTCATACTTACTATGTTGACGCTTCACATGCACAGTTAGGTTGACCTCGGGCGGCACGCGCCTGGAGAAGGTTGTACCGTTGCGGGGAAAGTGAATGGAAATCGTAGGGCCCGTGCGTAAACCTCCTGACTCGAGCGAAACGACCTCACCTCATCCTGCTCCTGCGATATAACAATCTGCTCCATGATCGGGAACAAACATACAACTATGGAAGACCGCTTACCTTGCTGAAGTATCCTGTCCTTCTCGAATATTACAACTCTGAATTCCTTCCTCTGCATAGTGAATTGCAGCACACATTTCCGCCTTGGGCTCGTGAAGTCTCTCATTCAAAGAACTCAGAGTGAGATGCCTCCCAAAACTTCTCCCAGACCTCGAAAGCCGCCTCCCTTGTAGAATCATCGTATTCCTCCTCGCTATCGCTCTCATCATCATCATGGCTCTTTCTCTCCCGAGAACCACGATCTACAGGCTTGAGCACCTTGAAGCCAATCTGCACGTCCTCTCCTCGGCATCGCACAACAACTTTGACATCCAGTAGCCAGAACTTCTCCGCGTCTGCTGTAATGATCTCAAAGCCTTTGCCTTCCAACTGGTGTCGCGGGATAGGCAGATCCACGCTGGCCCATGGATGAACACCAACCCGGAACACATATTTCTCTTCGAGGTCATCCACAATCAGCTTCTTCGCGGCAGCGTTGTCTTCGAATTTCTTGGTCAGGTAGACGAAATCTGCGCTGATGTGGGGGTCCTGTACAGGGATTCGAAATTCCAAAGAGAACTCTGGTTCATGGACTTCGCCCGGACCAAGTCTCTTGCCCTTCTCTAGAATGTGCACGAGCCGATTATCTACCACATCTATCGTGGCGTCGTAAGGGCTCTCTTCCACCCACGGCTTCTTACTGATGAACTCCGGAGTATCGTAGTTGGGTATGGTGTAAGAGTCGGTATGAACATCCTCATGAAACTCCTGCCGCTGCAGCATCGCGAAGGCCACTGAGGGAAGTGGCTGCGGTCCGATGTTGTCGTATCGAAGGAGAGACCCGACGGCAACCGGGAAACATTGTCCAGTGTCACCGTCATTCGGTCGCACGACAATGACACCTTTGCCCTGGTAGCGCCTTTGCAGCTTTTGGAAAAGGTACCTGCTCTTGGCAAATCCTCCTGTGACTTCTAGAACATCAGGCCAATCTTTGGCTTTCTGGGCCACCTCGTCGATAGTTTTGACGATTCTGGAGATGACTTGGTCCATCGCACTCTCGAGTTCCTACTTGGTGAAGCTGATCGCTACATGACGACGGCCTACGCCCTGTACGGTCTCGACGTAGTATCCCCGATCGCATAACTTGCTCTTGGCCCTCTCAATTGCTCTCCGTGAGCGACGCTCGAAGTCTCGCGTCGAGATCTGAAGTCGTTCGGCACATTCATCTGCCCACTGATCACCACCTTCGCGCTTGACCAAAGTGTGCCACAGAAGTTCATCCACCTTTGAAGAGCCGCATAGATCTCCACTTGCGTGACCGACGGGTCGTAGATGGCTGTCGATGCTAAGAGTGTCTAACAGCGTGTATACAACGAAGTCTCCCGTGCCAGAGCCCAGATCGGCAACCATCCACAGACTTCCTTTGCCCAGCCGTCGATTGAGAGGGATCTTCTGCTGAGCGATCTTGTCGACCAGATAGGCAAGGGCACACTTTGGCTCCGAAGCCAGAGTCACAAGATTGAGACCCGCGTTCTTCGCTGCAATCTGCATCCTCCGGCGGGCATCGAGAGTCCACATCTGCGGAACAGTGACGCGGACACGAGCACGCTTAAGAAGCTGATGAAGCTCATCCTTGTTGAATTTCATAAGCTCTTCAGACTGGCAGATGGCTTCTTTCGCCTCTCCTACCACGGCTCGAAGGTGCTCCGCGATCAACATGTCGAGTGTCTTATCCCCAGGAAGGTCCGAGAGAATGTCCTGCACCGTGGCCGTGATGTCCGACGTCTCTTCGTCTCGGTAGAGTGGCAGTTTGAATAAGGTGATAATCTTGTCTCCGACGTCCGGAATCTTGTCGGCGAGTGCCTCGAGCGCAAAGCCGTGGACGAATTTGCCGTCGTGCCAGGTAGCCATCATTGGCACTTCGTGAGCCATGCCAGACATCAGGACGGGCGAGACTGAGCCCACGCGCTCTCCTCTGTGGCTCAAGGCGTAGGAGATGGCACATTTCCAGGTGCCCCAATCGACGCCGAGCTGGATTTCGTAGTCGTCCATGTCGCGAAAACGACCGCCGAAGATTTTGTGGTGTCTGTTACAATGGGTTTAGAGTGAGAGGGCGTAAGTGCTTGGTGGACACGTTGAAGTTGATGAACCTGTGGTGAGAATTGCTCTGGTGTTTTTGTCACTAGGTGGATGTCCAAAGCTCTGCAACTGGGCTTCAGATGAAGCTAAGCACATGAAGAGAAGTGAGGTTCCGTGCGCTCCTGCGCCGCCAAGCCATAAGTGAGATAATTAGTCATTCTTCTGATTTAGGCTTGTCTCCTGACAAACTTTCTGCAGGTCTTCCACCTTCCACCCAACAACCTCCCCACCATCAACACCGTATTGCCCGACACATCCAACGAGAATGGCAAGCAAGGGACAGCTCCCAACGGCTGATGAAGTGCTGCGCTACATTCAGCGCCACATTGACGAAAATGGTGGCATCGAGGACAAAGACGAACGCGACGCGCTTCTGCGCGGTGGTCTCTTGGTTCCGAAGTACACGCAAGGTCTCAGAGAGGACGAGATCAAGGAGATGGTGACAAAGCTGCGCCGTAAGCTCTCGTCCGTCTGCTCTAGTCATTGCATCTCCGAGGTCGTGGAGGTCAAGTGGCATAAGCAGGAGATCAAGAGCAAATTCGGGCTGGAAGATCTCTTCCTCCAGGGACCTAACAAGGTCTTCCCACGCGAATTTCTCAAGAAGAGGGGCATCGAACTAGGAAATGAGTCCGAGGAGGAGTCGGAAGAGGAGGAGCAAAACGCGAGCACACCCGACAAACAGCATTTGACCAGAGGCAACAAGCGCGGAGCAGAGGATCCGCCATCCGACATGCGCAAACGACAGAAGAGTTCGGATAGCGGCATCGCCACACCTTCGAAAGCCGCAGCCAGAGCCTTCCCAGCTGGCAAACTGCCAATTCGCGGCGCCACTCCGAGTTCTTCCCGGACTGCAAGCAACGGAGTCACCGCCGTTTCGCAGGCCGATCGACTTGCGATCCGTAAAGGCTGGGCCATAGAGGCGGATGTGCGCGAAGAGCCCGTAGTCCTTCCCACGAAGAAGCCAGTCAACCCGGCCGAGATCCTTCCCGCTAGCGATCAGGGCTGGGTTAAGCAGCAAATGGAGGACATCTATCAGGACATCTGGAACGCAACACTGGCGGTCTTCCAAGAATACAAGATCGACGAGAACGCTACGCCAGACTTCATGCCCGAGCCAGGCCCCGAGCTACTCGAGCTTTACGACACGCTCTTCAACACTCCAGAGTGGAAGAAGGTCTGGTTTGAGCTCCGCATGGAAGAAAAGGCCAAGAACATCTCGCAAGAGTACGCCATATTAGCTCTTCAGGGAGCTGCCATCTTCAAATGGGTCTTTCAGAAAGAGCTTGCGTGGGATATGAGCAAAGAGGTCACAGAAGCTCTGGGAGAGACTGCCACAGAACTGCTCGGAAGAGTCATTTCCGATCTCGGTCACGATTTCAAGACCGTCCTCAAGTACGCTACCGGCAAACAAATCGTCGACGAAAGCTTCCGGGAGCAAAAAGTGGCGGTTCGCGCTCAGGAGATGGCCGAATCTCTCGCTCTCATATTGCTGCCTCATCTGGAGCGCGCAGCCAAGGCCGAGCGAGCAGCAGATTCCGTCAGATACGACCCGTGGATCGAGTCTGTGAAAGAAGCATTTCAGAAGGCGATCATCATGAGGCAGACTCTCCACGTGTCGAAATTGGGTCCCTTCCATTACATCTGGGCAAGACCAGAGGAGAAGTTCGTCGAAGAGTTCCACCAGCCAGTGCACCCGGAGCACGGCGTCAGACATGTCATGACTCCCGTGTTGCCTGGAGTGGTGAGGCTGACGTCCGAGAGACCCATCGTCTACCACAAGATCAAGGTCGTGCCTATGGCCACCGCGGGCTAGTACAGAAGTAAGCCGCGCGCCAAGGCCAGAATGATACAGTGGCGTAACCCAGGTACAAAAGCCAGGAGCAGATCAACGAAGGGGAAGCCGTTGCATTATAGATTGGAATGGCCATTGGGAAAGGCCTAGGAAGGAGGGAGCGTTTTTCCTTCGTCTTCTATCGACACACTGTTTGTACAGGTGTGCAGGCCACAAGTTTTGTACAAGTAGCCACGTCAGGTGATCAGTACAGATTAAGCAGCATCACACTTCACACCCATTCAGCTGGCTTCTTCAGCACACTCAACAGTCTCTCCTCCCTGCTGCCCCTCTCCGGCTCATGCTGATACTGCCACCGTGCAGTCAAAGGCAAACTCATCAAAATACTCTCCACCCTCGCGCCTGGGGTATTCAACCCGAAGGCCGTACCCCGATCATGCACCAAATTGAATTCCACGTATCTCCCTCTCCTCAACTGCTGCCATTGCTTCTCCCTCTCCGTGTACGGCATGTCCTTCCGCTTCTGAATGATCGGAACGTAAGATGGCAAGAAAGCATCGAGACAGGTCTGAATATACGCGAACAGCGATTCCTGATCTTTCTCGCTCTCGTCCAAATCGTCGAAGAAGATGCCGCCAACGCCGCGGGTTTCATTGCGATGTTTGACGAAGAAGTATTCGTCGCACCATTTCTTGAAGCGAGGGTAGTAGTCTCTGTCGTGCTTGTCGCAGGCCTCTTTGATATTGCGGTGGAAATGTATCACATCCTCATCGAAGAGGTATGAAGGTGTGAGATCGGTTCCACCACCGAACCACCACGCATTCGTCGAGCCGTCCGAGTTCGCAGTTTCGAAGTATCGGTAGTTCAGGTGTACAGTAGGTGCCATGGGGTTATGAGGATGCAAGACTAGACTCAGACCAGCAGCAAAGAATTCCAAGCTTTCCACGTCCGGGTCTAGAGCTTTGTGGTTCACTCTCATCTTCGAGATCGCGGCTCTCGGTAGTGTGCCGTATACCACGCTGATGTTTACCCCTGCCTTTTCGAACACATTCCCATCCTGTAGCACGCAAGAGATACCTCCACCACCATTCGGCCGATCCCACTTGTCCACCTGAAACTTGTTTCCATCCACCGCTTCCAAAGCCCTCACAATCTCCTCCTGTTTCTGCTTGATGAATTGCTCCATTCGTAACCGCATCGGCGAGTTGACATTGACACCGCTCTCCCTCTTACTCAAAGTATCTCTTTCCGCAATTGATGGCGCTTCAAGCTGCTGTCCTGATTTCGGCGGCGGTACTTCCTGATCCCCATTGACCATGGAATATATTAAGGCTCCTATGAACACGATGCCCACCGCGATCCTGGTCTTGGGCATCCATACTGTGTTTTTCTGGTATCTTCCTGGCGGGTATGGAGGTCTCGAGCCATCGGATATGTTTCTTCGTTGATGTGCTCGGTGGAATCGTGTGGAAGGCGGAGCTTGAAGTCTCAATGCATTGCGGCAGACGGGAGTGCGTGTACATGACCTGAGGGCTGCATCGAGCAGAGGTGGTCGTATCGAATTCATTATTGGTCCCAATGGATACTCTTGAGAGATGAGTATTGCATATAAAGAATCCGGGAAGAGTAGGAAAAGTTGCACAGCATCACCAGATCGCATTGGCTGATTGGGTGATGTCGGGAGCCCAAGCTCCCGGTTGCGCCACTCCGAGGTCCATCTGCAAGGGTCTACATTTCAGTGAGGCAGGGGGTCTGAAGAATACGGTAGATATCGGCGATTACGAACTCCGTGAGATTCGATTTCATACATATGTAGTACATGTTCCTGTTTTTCGCTTCCCGGAAGACACCGCGCCATGCTGCCGTTGCTGCCAAAACCACTCCAATCAATTGCCTGTTCCCCGGTCGTGACGGCATTTCCTTTCCTCCTCTAATCCGCCATTCTCCAGGTGGAAAACCACTTCAGGTGCTTCCACTGCTGGTTCGAGCCCTCCATACCAAAGCAGAATGCTCTGAACAGCCAGAACATGCCAAAGACGAGGCCAGACAGTGGGATGAAGATGCCCCACTGCAGCGTTGAGCGGAGGTTTCGCGTGTACCAATCCAGGCAGAATCCGCAGCAAAGAATGGCAAAGTAAAGCGCAGGGTAGTAGTGGTGCACATACGTGACACGTGCCATGGCAACAAATGGCAGGTAGTGAAGGAACCAACCGATGACGGGGTAAAGGCCGGAGTACATGAAGTGATCGATTTGTCCCCAAGTGAGCTCGTCGTAGCCGCGTTGCCAGCGGATGGCGTACCAGGCGACCATGCCCATGAAGAGGGCGAGAGAGAAGGTAGAGCCCCAGTACACAACCGGGTTTCCGAGGAGGAAGTATTTCACGATGTGGTCGTCCCAACCGCACATGCGCAGACCGACGTGGAGAAAAGGCCACTGCCATGGCTTTGACGCAAGATCGTCTTGCTTGTCCGGATCGGGGACGAGCGCGTTGTTGGAGGTCATCATAGCCACGTTCAAATGAACAAAGTCACGGAGGAAAGGAGACTTGTATGAGCCTGGGTCGCCAGGTGGAACTGTCACGTGTTAGCTGAGTACAAGTCTGCGAAAGGGACCGAATACTTACGCTTCTCGTTCCAGTGCGATTCGACATTCCAGTGGGTGTATGGATCACGAGGCTTGTTCTCCTTAACGCAGGTGGTTTCGATCTGCTTGAAACCCCACTGAGGCAGGTTGACATTGCCGGCACGCAGGTAGCAGCCAAGATCGACATGCTTCAAACGGAACGCCGTGGTGAGGGTTCGAAGCTTGGAGTAGTCCCTCGATGCGGCATCGTCGACCACTTCGACTTGCCAGTGATCCTTGGTATCGCCGATGGTGGTATTGCCGTAGCAAGAGACTTCCCAGTCAGCCTTCGTGACTGGGGCTGCGACCTGATGAGAGTGCAAGTTGCGGCCGGTCTGTGCGTGAATCAATCGAATGACATCGCCGTTACCGACGTACTTTAGAGGAGCTTCTGGGTCAAAGTCAAGCTCATGTCTGTTCGGATAGAAAAACCAATCGTTGTTGGCATCCTTGTGGTGATAACATGTGATCTGCTGCTGGTTGGAGCCTTCCGGGTAGGTTTGAATATGCGAGTGAAGAAGACCTCCACCGTATCCCATATTCTTCAGCGTTGCGCGAGAGCCAAAAGCAACCTCAAGAGGGCTGTCTTTTCCGACTTCCGTCCCACGCAAGTTGGCCTGGAACAGAGAAGACATCTGCGCATCGCCTGGACCGCTGTTCTCTAGCACAAGGAAGTGGATCCAGAAAGAGAACATGTAGACCGCGAGTGGAATGAGGATGAGCCCAATAACACGGAAGCCAACATGAGCTGCCAGGACCGGCTTTGGCATCTTGAGATCGCCGAACTTGTTCCAGAGGTCCTGAACCGTGTACAGACCAACCAGCGCGGTTCCGAACATACCAACCCACTTGACGCTGCACACGCATCCAATCGAGATACCGGTCATGAAAAGCCAAAGTCCCCATTCAGGCCCAAAAGGATCGTGTCGCTGATTGTGGAACTTGGCCCAGCAGAAGACGGTCGTGAAAGTGAAAAACAGAAGCATACTGTCCAGCAGGATGAATCTGCTAATAGTTGTGTAGCTGTTCTCGAAAAGCACCATCATCGTCACCAACCAGACCGTCGGCCTCTTGAAGTGCAGCTCTTTCGCGGTGAAGTACGCGAGAGGAATGCAGAGAGCGCCGAATGCTGAGTTGAACAGCCGCATGAAGGTGTAATTGAGCTCTTCAGGATATGTCTCGCCGCTCTTGAATTCGAAGGAGCCATTGTATCCCGCCAGGTATCCAGAGAGACCAACGAGCATCTTTCCCAGAGGAGGATGGACATCGAAGTAGAACTCACGCTTGAGGTAGTGGGATCCGAACTTGCCAAAGTGAGCTTCATCCCAGGTGACGATGGGCGAGAGGCCAATCTTCCACATGCGCGTGAAGAAGGCTAAAGCGGTGAAGATTATGGGAGCGATTAGGAATTCGTAGTCGTCGAGGATCTGGATGAAAGAGTTGGCCTAGATCGAGTCTGTCAGCTCTACTCAGAAGCTCTACTCATACCGCGGTTTCTGCCCATGTGCGGCATGGTTGTGCAGTTCAGCCTCCACGCACCTTCTGCTTGGTCTTCTCGTCGAGCTTGTCGTCGACCTCTTGCGGAATGTAGCTGCCGTTAGGCTGGCCATTGCCCACGTTTCGTCGGCGCACGTCGCCCTGCGTGTTGGCGCCCGTGGTGGATGCGTCTTGGGCTACCATGGTGGGCAGCAGTCTGAGGTGATGTCGGCCTGGGAGGGGCTTGTCGGTGACGATGCGATTGGAGAACCTGGTCTATCAAGCTGTCGTGTGCGGGCGAGTCCTTGTCCCTGTGTGCCAGCCTTCCGAGTCAATCGCTCGAGGGCGATCTGGATCCTGGAGAAGGAGAGAGGGGCTGAGTAGTGGTGAATGCCGGTAGGAAAAAAAGTATTAGAAGAGCAAGCGGAAAACCGGGAAGGGAATGAGAACAATTGTCGTGATTGCGCAGGCCCCTGGATGAGCGCTGGGCGGGTGTTGGCTGCGGTGCAAGGTGGGAGAGAGGAGGCACCTCGAGTTGGAGAAAGAGAGGGTCGAACGCGACGGGACACTTTCGACGTGCTGCAAGGGTGGGCGGCGCTAACGAGAATCTGGCAATCCACAGGGGCCAAGCAAACGTGTCCTGTCTGCTCCTCGTGTTGTCCCTCTCCAACGGCCGTGTAGATGCACGCAAGATGCTGGTAGCACTTATTAGCATCGGTCAATACGAAGAAGAAATTGAGATACAATCCCGTGCCGACGCCGGGGCTTTACCATGTGCGTTCTTCTCCGAAGACATACGACCGCAGATTATTCGAGTAAGCATTCACCTACCTGCTTTTGCACATGAGATCAACGCAGAAATTCATTAAGAAAGAAGGCTTCGCATGTGATTGTGGTAGAGTATAATTCATAACGTCTGTCTGTCTCGTGCAATCTGTGTCTAGAGTCGGAAAAAGGAAGAGGCGCCTATCCATCCATGCCTCTCTCTGGGTATCATCATGCTACCAATCTGTTCCAACGTAATCCCACACATGCAGTCATCAGCGACAGTGTTCTGAGCCGAGATGAGCGATCCAATGCTGTCTTCCCAAAATTTCCAGAGCGCCAAAAGCGAGCGCCTTATCTCCGTCATGCATGTAGTCATCAAATTCGTTAGTAGTAGTAGTGCACACTGCCGGAGCGTGCGGGTCCTAAGTGCAATCCAATTCCCAAATCTTCCAAATTCAAACGCCTTGCTGTGTGAAATTCATGCACTCTTGTCCGCCAAGGAGCGTTGCCCCTTATCAAAGATTATCAGTCGTTCGTGATCGACTTGGTAGAAGTTTTCAGTATTCATCGGTCTAGAGCTGTGGGGTGAACCATTTCTCGTCGAACCAACCGACAGCATCGAATGCTGCCCACAGTCTGCTGGCCTTGTTGACGTCGATTTGAGTGGCGTTCTGTGCCGATGTCTTGTTGAATTCTTTGCCCTCTCGCATGTGGCTAAGGCGGGCAGCAAAGATGCGGCGCTTGTTCGCCAGATATGCATCGCACTTTAACCGCAAGACTTGGGCGACTTCGAGCTCCTGCGGATGTAGATGCATCCGGTTGGGGTCGTTGCTCAGATCCAACGCATTTGAATTCGACCATTGGACGGCCAACTTCTTGTTCATGCTGTCGAGGCTGCTCACGGGTGGGCAGTGGTCGGAAATGTTTGCCCAGTCTCCGTTGTTGCCTTCTACTTTCTTGGTCGGGGGAGCGCGCGTGCGTGGCTTGGGTTGCGCACCTTGCGAGACGGCTCCAGAGAATGCATCTAGCGGTGTCGTCGGTCGATTGCGCTTTGCTGGTGACTCGCGCTTTGCTGGTGACTCACGCTTTGGAGTGGCAGTCACCGCAGATGACACATCGCTCCTCGTTGCCACCCTGGGTGGGGCAGTTCTTGCCACCTTTCGGCTCTGAGGTGTAGCCCTCGGCTTCTCGACGCGCGAAGACTTCGTGAGCGACGACAGGATGTGCTGCGTGTATGGATCTCGATTGACTGCATTGGAAGTTGCCAGTGGAGGAAGGACTCTGCTTTGTCTTCGCTGCTCGGCCATCCGGTCGTTTTGGGCCAAGATATATCGGTAGTACTCCAGTCCGTATGTCTTGTACAAGTTGACGACACCAACGGCTGGTCTGTGGCTCGATGGGTGCTGACCGCCCGATGTTGCCTGGCTACGCTGCTGCGAAGTACGTTCCTCTGCTGCTGCTGGCTTGGCGGGCTCCTGTACCGTTTGCAGTGGACTATCGTGTTGCGATGCGGCAAATGTCGATACCGGTTCCGATGCCGTCGGTGCCGGAGTGGTTTGGCGCTCTGGAGTTGGAAGTCGGTTGTTTTCGAACAATGGTCGATCAATCGATCCAGCCCTAGTGTTGGAATGGTCCGAAAATAGTACGTCGTCGTTTGGCTGGTATGGTGCATCTGTTGGAAACGATCTGAACGCCGGCGAGGCAGGTGGCGATGGGACTGCAGCCAAGGCCTGAGTCGACTGTGTAGGCACCGAAAAGCTGTATACGAGAGGCTCCTCCGGCGTGAGCAGTTGTGACTGTGGCATGCGCATGCCCATCGTTCGTTTGTCCTGTTCCTTGTGCTGATCCTCTTCTCTTGTGAGCGACGATGCCATTGTGGGTTTGTCTGGCGTTGAAGTGCGTTGTGAACGTAGTAATGGAAGTGTTGTGGCGGAAAGACGGGATTACATTCGTCTCCTCAGGCGTGGCGAAGCGTGGAATCGTTTCGTAGGTGTATGCGTGGCTGTGGAGGTGAAGTCCGTCAAGTCCGGGTACGATATTGGATACGCGGATTCGGGAGAATTGCGAGCCGGCGCAAGAAGCGATGCGAAATCAATGCTGATATGGTGCGGCAGGTCGCATGCGGACAATGGGTGTAATTCGGATGCGTGTCGCGGTAGTGTTTAGTAGTAGGAGCAATTGAGCGCCGCAGCACTGGCAGTGGCAGTGGTCGTGAGGACTGCGAGGCCGCTGAAACAAGAGGGCGCAGGCTGCAGCGGCTGATGACTGCAGAGTGATAAATGACCTACACGGACGGGCAAACAGGATCAGGATCAGAATCAGGATCAGGCAGGAACTACCTAAGACATGCTGCCACCACCCATCTCGACGGGATTCCATTGGAGCCCGGGGCGCACATGAACAGGAGTCATGCGCAGCAGTCCAGCAGCAGGCCGTGGCTGACAATTGCGGACGGATGGTGGGAAGGAGGTGGAAGGCAGGCGAAGACAGCGCTGGAAGGTGCGCGCTCATTCGCCCATCGCCAAGTCCGCTGGTCAGCCGGCATGGCCATTCGCCCAATGTGTTGGATCATGATTTGGCGCAAGGAAGCTTGGGGGTGACAGCATCATCTGCTGGGCTGGTCTGAGAGAGGTGACGGTGACGGTGACGGTGACGGTGACGGGGACGGGGACGGGGACGGGAGGTGACTCAGACGCAGCGCAAAGCCCTTCGGTAGCGCACAGCCTACGCCACTCCCCTTTCCACGCCCGCCTCACCCACCCTGCGGCACAACGATGAACCTTCGCGGCCAGCCGGCGCGCGGCTGCTCTGTCGGCGGACTTACTGGCTCGTACATAACAACCGCCGCCATTGATCCCGCCTGCCACGGCCAGGACTATAATCGCGACCTTTTCCACTCTCTGCAGACCAGGCAAGGCAAGGTAAGGCCAGCCAGCGGCCGGCGAAAAGGCCTGCTGCGGCGTGTTCGCCACTCCGTGTACCGTTGCGAGGTACTTGCTTGCTACTGCGAGAAGCCATTCATTGCACACGAGTTTTGGCGAGGGCGCTGGGCAGATGTGTGAGAGGCGAATAATACCGCTGCCTGGCAGGCCGTCGATAATTGCCCGCCTGCCCGCGCCACTTCACGCTTGCTGTTGCACCTCCACGTAGACGTAGCGGGAAACGATACCCTCTGGAGGGTGTCGCCTACCGAGACGTACCCCGATAGGCCGCCTGCGTCGGTCATCTGTTTGTCTGTAGCATTGGCTCGGCTGGCCCCAAACGATGAGGCACACCTCTCACCGGAAGAAGGAAAGGCATTCGACCGCATTGAAGCACAGCTAGACCCGCGCGTAAGCGAAGAAGGCATCATCCAGCTCCCGTCACAGGCACAGACATAGGCGTGGGCGTGGGCGTGCTGTAGTGGGCTGGCCGATTCGCATGTGCCCTCGATCGCGGCGTCATCGGCATTGGCGAGCACCAAGGTCCTTCGCGCGTCTGCTGGCCCTCCAGTCTGTTCTCGTCTCGTCTCGTTTTCGCCTCGTCCGCGCTCGCCGCGTTGCTTCTTCGGTACGTACAGGAGCGCCGGGTCCGAATGATCACCCTCGTCAATGGCAACATGCGGCCTCCAGCATGGAAAGGTGTCCGCCTGCGCAGGTCATCCAGCGGGTAGATCGTCATGCAGGTATGCATGTGAAAGGCTGCAGGCAGGCGCCTGTGGCGGTGGGCGCGAACAAGTGGCATTGGGTCCCCATGACTGGGTGTGCCCTGCGCCCACCGGTTTCACTGTTGGGCGAGTAAGGTGTGCGCGAGTCGCCCAAGTCGCGCATGACTTCTCCAATGCATCCCACGTTCTCACATTCCTGCGTGGAGGAGATACGGTAATCGCGGAGCGTCGCATCAACTGATAACTGGTGCGCTATGCACCTCCCGCAGCGGGCGGAACCGTTATCAAAAATAGTCAGCAGCCGACAGTCCGACCACCGAGCGGGCCCGACCGGGCAGAGCAACGTCACCCAATGTCAGCTGCGTCAATGTCTCCAATGCCTTTGCGCAACACTACGCATTCGAACAACCGACATCCCTAGAGGCCGCGTACGAACGAGCAGGGCGTCGCGGACAGCCAAGCTGGTGGCAGATCCACCTAGCCGCTCCGACACCAGGTAAGGCACGAATGCGGCGTCAGGCAAACGGACGAGCATCATTATTGAACGCATGAGGGCGGAGGGATGCGTTGGCATTACCCAAGTCGCCAGATCTCATCGCGAAAAGCCAATAACACACGGTGGCGCAGTGTCTGTTTGCCATGGAAGCCTCTCAGGCCTCCGCAATTGGCGCTCAAACCTCAGGCTTCCATCTGCGTCAGTTCGTCTCCTCTCTGATATCGGCCATACCACCTACAACCGACCAAGTTTCGGCGAATCCGTTGAAGGACCTGCCGCCGAAAGGAAAAGGCATTTTCCTGACCTTGTACGCGCTCTTTGAGAAAGAATGGCTCCCCGCGCTTGACCTGCTGGACCGTGGCCTGATTGCTCGACTCAAGCCCAAGCCAACCTCGAACGAAACCTGTTCTTCGCAGGACCACAACGAATCCAGCTGTTCTTTCTTCCTGGTGCGCTCGGCTCAGCAGCATAATACGCGAAATGCATCATACGAGCATGTGAACTACTACGAAGTTCGCTTGGATGCTTGGAGCTGCTCATGCCCAGCCTTCACCTTTTCCGCATTTCCAGCTTCCATGCCGTCTTCAGACACAGAAGATCATCAAGATGAGGCTCCTATGCATGAGAGAGCGGGCGTGGTATTCGGAGGCCTTACTCTCGGCACCGATATGCCTGTGTGTAAGCACCTTCTCGCGTGCGTACTGATCGAGCATTGCCAGATGTTCGCCCACTTTGCGGACGAGCGTGAAGTGTCGTTGGAGGAGATGGCTGGATGGACTGCGGGCTGGGGCGATTAAAGTTATGGCCTTTAGAGTAGTGAAGCCTTGTCTGCTTCCATGCTTCAGAGACGCCAACATCACACGAAACGGCCACTGCAATATCTGCCGCAGTTGCCGTTGAGGTGCCCTTTCGAACCTGTGGGGAGCCCTTGACCCGTACTAGTGATCTGATCGTGTTCAGGCCCGCTGACAGATTTATCGGTCAAGACCGTAACCAGACTGTTAGCTCAGGTCTCATCGTTGGATGGCATGTGTGAGTGGAGCCGCGAGGATGCATCGCGATATTTTCATACATCGTCTAGCTGCCTACGCCGGAGCAAGTCCAAAGCGCAACTACTTTTGTCCAGCATTACGGGCACATCAGCGCCCACTGCTCGGATGAGGGCTCCTCTCGTAATGTACTGTACATACTCCACAGTGTTCGTGGTGCACGCTGACTGCGAATGCGCCGCACTTCCCTTGTGAGATGCTCCAGACGCCTCCCATGCCAATGCAATCCTTCGCAGATTCGTGGTGACGCATCATATTGTGGTCGCTTCATCCTCACTTCTTCTTCCCTTTGTCATCTTTCTTGGCATCTTCCTTGCCCTCCTTGTCCGACTTCTCTGATGTGCCGTTGACCATCAGCTTCTCCTCTTTCTTAATCTCTTCATCCTTCTTATCTTCCTCCTTCTTGGAATCTGCGTCCTCTTGTTGCCGCTTGTTTTGGATCTTGTTCTCAATCAGGTCGTGGAACGCGGTGATGGCTCTTATTAAGCTGGAGAGATAGATAGACATCAATTGGTCGTTGGTCTTGATACTCATGGCGCGTGCGAGCTCCGAGTTTTCTGTGCTGCCACCTGATATGCCAACTGCACCGTTCACCATGCCGTTGAGTGTAGGGAGGTCCTTGGATGAAGCCTTCGGTGTTGAGAGGTTGGGGAGGAGATTGAAGACGTCTTGGAGGTTGCCGAGAATGGCATGGTTCACGGGAAGTTCGCCATCGAGCACCTTTTGCAGGTACCTGCCGATGTCCTGTAGTCGAAGATGGAGGCCTTGAAGCGATTCGAGCTGGCTGGTAATGCGGGTGCTGAGTGTACCGACTGCAACATCGCGGATGTCTCGTAGCAGGTGCTCAACACCGATTTCCTCGGCCTCTTCCGCTTCGATGGTACTAGGTGTGTGTACGAAAGTCTTCGACGTGGTTGTTCCATCCTGCGATATGTCAGCCACTTCCCTCAGCTTCATGGAAATCAACAACCCACATCTTTGATCTCCTCCACGGCGAAGTATGCGTCTGTTGGCACGCCAACCTCCTTCGGCTGCACATCGATGATGACGAGGAGTGGATTCGGCGTGTATCTCTTGAATAGCTCATTGATCTCGAGATCGCTTGCTCGCAGCTTAGGTCCCGAGTGGTACCAGCCTATTAGCTTCTCCCGCGCGTTGACCTTCTTGAACATGTCGTTCATCGCTTCGACGTAGTTGTGATCCAGAAACCATACTGACGGGTCCTTGTCGTCTTCCTCGAAGGGCACTGTTTGCATCTGATCAGCTATATGTCCGGCCTCTTGTATCCAGCATCCTTCCCATACCCGCGAAGCTGTTGGATACCCGCACGCTTTTTCCATCGTTCTGTCCTAGGAGTACACCGACGACTCGTTTCCGCGTCCCTTTCGCCGAACGGCCGTAGTGATCTGCTGCAGAGAGGAGGACGAGAGGCGCCACGGAAACCGTGCGGTTGACGATGCTCAGCGTTTCCGCTGTCGTGGCTGGCATCGTGGAGGCTCGGCGATGGTAGCGTATTGGTTGTAGGCTGATGAAAGGGTCGGTGGTGTCTGAAGCGAGTTGTGGTATTGCCCTCGTGATGGTGTTTGTGAAGTTGAAGTCACCGTCAACTGGATCGGCGCGGCGGACTTGAAAGAGCGTGAAGCTTTGACCAACCAGCGCTTCCAACAGCGACTCCCGTCCCGCAAACACTCTCTTGCACTTTGCACTACCTGCCGCGTTATTTTTGGTGCGAGCGACGGGATCTAAAACGGAACACAGGCAGCGAGTAAGCATTTAATATGGCACATTTCCTCCAGATGAACCGCAAGTCCTTCCTCCCATTCCTCTGCGTTTTCCCATCGCAACGTTGAAAAACAACCCAACCTATTGGACCCTTCACAAGGATAGGGATGGGAGACGCAAACGAAAGACTTCCGGAGAGTACGGACGCAACACCAACATTCAAAAGGGAATTTGAAACGTCGGATCTCTACAAGAATGTCTACGGCTACGTCCAGAATTACATGGCCCGATATGACATTTCCCATGACTTCAGCCATGTACTGCGCGTCCTAGCGCTGTCGAAGCACATCCTAGCCGAAGAACTGAAGGACAATCCTTGGAAGAAATTCCACAAGCAGGCGGTCATTCTGGGAGCATTGCTGCACGACGTGGGCGACAAGAAATATGCTCAGCCGGGAGAGAAGGCCGACCAGCTGGTTGCTGATCTTCTAACAAAGCATGGCTGCCCACCACGTTTTGTAGCAAAGGTTTCGATTATCGTGGAGAACGTGTCCTACTCGAACGAGATCAAGCGCCCTCAGCTGGTCAAGGCTATTATCTCAGCACATCCAGAGCTCGCCATCGTCCAGGATGCTGATCGGCTAGATGCCATCGGCGCAGTAGGAATTGGGAGGACATTTGCTTTCTCTGCCGCTAAAATGCCAGACCGCGGTCTTGAGGGCAGTATCGAGCATTTTACGGAAAAGTTGGAGAAACTAGAAGGCGTGATGAAGACCGAGACAGGCAAGCGGATGGCGCGTGAGAGAACGAAAAGGTTGAAGGACTTCAGACAATGGTGGGAAGATGAAAACGAGCTGGTGTCAACTGTACCTGGCTGAACAGCTCCCAATGAATATCGATCGCGAAGAGAGGGTCGTTTGCACATGTGCTCGATATGCATGCCAGTCGCGATGAGCAACCGTCGAGTGGTAATGGAACGACTGATTGTGGGCGGTCGATCTCATTACTCTCATGACAGCCAGGAAACGACACACTCCCAACCACTCCGCTCGCTGCTTCGAGGGAAACAGCCAAATCCACTCGACGGCCCTAGGCAAGACCGACTACAACCACACCGAAAGCTAGACCAACTTGCGCCAAAGAAGTATCATGCATGGTCTTGCGCATCCCGTTGGCACCACGGCCCAGATCTGTCAAGCCAGATTCGCCAAAGACCTGCTGCGCGCTGCAAGTCGCATCATCTGCACTGCACATCATGGATCTCAGTACACGTACAGCGTACATCTTCTTGTTCACTAGCAAAGATGATCATACAAGTAAATGTCCGGCGCGTGAGTTAGGGCTCCGTCTTGCCAGTCTCTACAGCGCGCTGACCTCTAGCGCACATGCACGTTAGCTTGATGTAGCCTAGCCCCAGTCGCATCTGCCCTCACTCGACTTCTCTCTGGTCTCTTCCGCACCACGAGACTTCACGTACAACTCAAGCTAGCTGCGAATCTCAGTCCTCGCCATTATCCTCAACCTTAAATACCGCCGTCCAAGTGGTTCTGTCTTTCATTGCTCGAGAGGTCACGAAAATAGACATGCCTTGAAACATCAAAACGAGGAGCAAGCATGAGCAGGAGTTCTACGGGGCTGCTGTCAGACTTTGCCCAAGACTTGATTGCTTGGACATCAGAATCTGTCGCTGGGCATCGACGGGGAAGCCTTGTACCAATGACGGCAACGAGCTCGAGAACACGCGGAACTCTGACGGACGTCTCTCTCAGGAGAGACTTGGCCATCCGAAGGCGCATGCATCTCTACGTGTTGAAGAGTTAGCGCTTGTCGGCCAAAAACTTGAATTCGCACCTCGAATGTTCTTGAAAATGACAGACGTAGAGTCTTTGCGATTGCTCAAAGTTTCATATTAAACCAACACGGCTGGCTATTACAGCGCTTGCCAGAAACTCCAAGGAGCCCCAGCCACATCTTCGGACATTGAATAAGCGCATACACTTTTCACTGAGTTACACACCATGCAGACTATAGTAGGATCTGATATCATCTCTGCCATTCTTGGAGGTCTTGAACATCGTGAATTGGCCCAAAGCTAAATCTGGGGGCATTTTAGCGAACGGAGAGACCCTCAAGGACCTCTTGTTGATACAGGTCGATAAATTCGCCGAGCAGAGTCGTCCAGCGGATAGCCGCTCAACAAGATCGCAATGCCTGGAAGCTGAAGATTCTTGCAGTGGGCAAATGCAGCCCCAAGAATCCGCTGCAACGGATCGCTCAGAGAGGATCTGTGACCTTCGGCGGATCTTCTGCACTATTGATCGACACATCGATTGCTTCGGCGACCACCAGCTCCTTACAAGGCGCCTGGAGTCCCGCCTCGTGGGATACACTGAGCCTTTCGCCAATACGGTCTGCGGAACAAGCGGCACTGATTTGAGAGGAATGGGTACCAAAGGTATCGAGAAATATCATGGGCGGACAACGGCGCAGAGCGGAAGGTGGAAATGCTGAGCGTAGTTGCCGAGCAAGGGCGAAGGCCAGGTATCGGGAGCCATAGCGGCTGTCACAGCCTTGTCTACACCGAAGCTTTCGATCTCTTTTGCCTTTCACAAAGGTTTTCGAGTTGTCTCGCAGAGATGATGTGATGCTTCCTCCAATGCCGACTCTTGGGCAATCGCATTTGGTTTCATGTACCCCTCCCAGCGCCGGCCTTCTCCTTCTTCTCCTCCTTATTCCCCTCGAACAGCATCCCAGTTCTCCTCTTCAACGCCTCCATCGTCTGCTCCGTCGTCCTGCCCTTCTCCTTCTCTTCGCGATTGATGCGGACAGCAGCAGCCGTGATGCCGACGCTCACGGCGAAGATGGGATCGATCGCCCTATCAAACTCCATCAGAAGTGCCATCGAATCTGAACCTTCGCATATCTTACCGTGATATTAGGTATGGCGCCGACATTCTTGTTCACGCCTGTTGCGAAGAGAAGGTGCTGTCGTTGGCTGTCACATGAAGTCGCTCGGCTTCGGGATCGGACTAGGTTGTTGCTTGGTCAGTGCCCCGCATCAGCGGTCAGGATGAGGCACGAGGCTGGCCCTGGCTGGGTGGCATCACGAGCTGCGAACGAGAGTGGCATGAACGGGAGAGAGACAATGAGACCATATGACGAGTGGAGTGAGCCGCGTCTCTGCATGATCGCTACTGCGAGACAACATCATCACATTACGGCGACCAGATGCTATACACGTCATATCCGGCCGGCTGCTTGATCGGGCAGACCAGAGTAGGTTCAACACGGGACAGCAGGGAAAACTTGGACAGGAATATTCGGAAGAAGACGTTGGAGAAAGATATCGATTGCTAGATCATCGCCTGTTCGTCATCTCCTCGTGCTTGCGCTTCTCCTCCGTTACTCCAGGCTATCCTTGCGTGCAAATCGTATCGGTATTCCTCATCCTCTCTCATCGTGTTCCTGCTGTGTCCTTTGCATGATTCAAACCAAAGATACTGCAATCCTCCCAAACGCCCTCAAGTAACCCAAGGAGAATAGTCTTGTCATGGGCGTGTAGGACGTCGTTAATCTGCATCGTGCAGGGTAGTCGTTGTTGGCTGATGTTGGTCGCTTATGCAGCCTCGCCGAAGGTGTTCTCCCCCGAGTACCTTTAACAAACGTCAGCAAGATTCCATACACAATACTGTATATGTGGCGAGATTGCGACGTACGTGATGTAGAGGAAGCCGTCCTCGTCCTTGTGCTCTTCATAGATTGAGCTCATAAGCGCAGCGGTGGGAGGAAGGACCTCGTCGACGAAGATGAAGATGGCCTTCTCGGGGCTGAGCTTGATGCGCTTGCGGATCACGTAGACGAACTGGCCGACGGTGAGATCTGCTGGCACGAGGTACTTCTTCTTGTCGATGGTCGCAATATCTGACTTCTCGACCTTCTCGCAGATAACCTACGTTCGGGGCAGTCAGTAAAGCTCGCTCGACAATAGCAGCGTCGCGATAGTCGCTCTTGATAACATGCGACGATACTGCTTCTACTGAGAAGACGTGGAGACGTACCGGAATTCTATCAGCGTACTTCTGGCGGATGCGCTCAGCTTCGGCCTTGCGCTTCTCGAACGGGTGCTCGTCCTTAAACTTCGAACGCATGCTGGCGGTGGTTTGCTGGTCTTTGGGATGGATTTGTCGGGACGTAAATGTGGCGAGTGAAGGTTGTTGGTGTTATCGCAGGTTGATGTAGAAGTCAAGGCCAGGCGGCAACAGGACGTGTGGGGTCGGTGAAGCAAGCACAGCACAGACCGACAGCTGTGTCAGCGCGATCACATGCGGATTCAGCCAAGCGATCGTTCGCGCACGAGGTAATGAGTCAGGTGATAAGAACATCACGAGTCCGTCTGAGATAGATAATCTAAGGCAACAATGAGGATGACCTTCAATACTTCAGACAAAGAAACCCATTTCGACACTGCACCTGCCCATACATCCATCGATAGATTGACAAGGAACAGCCCCTCCTTCCCAAATCGCTTGCCTGGGAATCCGAACTCCGCTCGCTAATGACAAAATTATAGGTAACATCCGATTTCCACCATATAAAACTCATAGTGTCGCCGTAGGAAAGTAAAGTTGGTCCCAGAGATAGTCGTAGTCCTCCACAAAATTGCCAACCATGTCCAGCAGTGGCTTGTTCTTCAATTTCGAGGCAACACCAAGGATCACGCCTTTTGTTATATTCTCGTAAAAAGCACCGCGCATGGCCCACCAAGCCAGCGACCAGCCGCGTTTCTTCATCTCCTCGCGTTCCAGCTGAGTGAGGCCTCGTGCACCGCCCGGCCTTCGCGTCTCCATGTCATGCTTTGCCAATTGTCGAGCGCCATACTCTATGCTCAAGCCGAGCAGCCATGGCCTCCAGTCTGCCTTTCCTTTACCGTCCTCTCGCTGACTCCAATATGCCATCGCGGCAGCATATATGACAGGTCGGATGATATAAAGCACTTCTGCGATTTCGCCAAACCCTGATGTGCGGTGAAGAAGAGCCTTGGGTGGTTTGATATCGTCTGCCGTCAACACCTTGGACAGCAGATATGAGGATATATCGTCGGCGTTGGGCAGAGGAGGAAGGGTCAGAGAAGTACGTGGCATGGTCCACTGCTCGCTCCCGGCCTCTGATCGTTCCGAAGGCGGGCTTGCAATGTCCTCGTCCTGTGCCTCCTTCTCCTCCATGACCTCTCGCTCGGGAAGAGGCGGCGTGAGCAGCGGTCGAGAGTTCGTTAACCTCATGAGAATGAGCCGACATATCGCTTTGAAAGCCTCCAACCCCATGACCAGCCTCCACCTCGCTTTCTCTCCGCGCTTCTTCGCCATCATCTCCAACAGCAACTCCACATACTGAATGACTTGAAGCGTTGTCGCGGTTCGTCTGTATGTCGAGCTTTTCTGGCAGTAAAATCTCGTGTATCGATTGTGAGGACTTTGATGCTTCGTTGGCCGTGTTTGCTGCGCTAGCGCTCGTGATAGAAGGGAATCGTGATAAAGCGACAGCATCTGTACGCCGGAGTTCAGCGATTCGGTGGATATGTCAGACATCTTCAATCCTCCTGTGAAATTGTTAGAATTGAATCTTCAAGTGCAACTACTCCTGCATCACCCACCAGGCACGAGATACGTCAACGAGCGCAGAGCGCCCTCGACCTGGCCGACGGCGCCGGCGTTCTTGGTGATGAAGTCGCCGTACATGCTGATCCATTTTGTTGGTAACTTGACGACAACCTTGGTGTGCTCGGCCGCGCTTTTGAGTTGCTCCATGGCAGCTACGAGGCGCGGAGTGGCGATAGCGATGGCGGTGATGGCGATGGCAGCAGATGGTTCTGTCGAAATGCAACACTGATTGCGCTGGGCCGAGGCGATCTCGTGGTAATGAAACTAACCCTAGCCGACTAACCCTAGCTGCGGATCTACGTCCGCTGCCGACATGTGGGGTCGAGCAGATCACGCTACTGTACGCGAGACGCGACTTCCACTTTCACTCTGAATTGGCGAAGCATGTGAAAGTTTCCTTGCGGACAAGACTTTGCAAATATGCTCACAACCTCACCTCAACCACGACAACCCTACCTTGACGACCATCGCGTTTCCTCTCCATGCGGACAGGCGCAGTCTTGCCAATGAACGTTGTCCATGGCGCAGTTCGTGATCGACCTCACTGCCTCCGATGACGAGAATGATGCCCACGAAGGATCGCCTCGCAAGAACGTGCTAGCCTCGTTCAAGCCACGAAAAGAGAAGCGGAATGAGAAATCGAAATTCAATGATCGCAACTCTGTTGGAGAGGTCCCCATAACCTCGGAGAAAGAAAGGGATACAACTCAGAATCTCCGTCAAGAGCGAGCTCGTGGGGATGCAGTAGCTCGGAAAACTGATGACGAGCCCGCAAAGAAAAAGATGAAAATATGGCATTCATATTCGCCAGTTCCATCAAGATTCTCGACGCCACCACTGCCAGCCTCTCGCGGATTAGAGCGTTCCACTTCTGAAGAGCCAAAAGGAGTAATGCACACCAGGGAAGGGAACAAGCCCACGTCCGGCGTTCCTTCAGGTCGACCTACCGGCCCGAATATGCATGGACTTCCATACACCCTCGAAGAGGACCAACTACTTAAAAGGCTGAAAGACGTCGAATGTCTTTCCTGGGACCAGATAGGCCTGTACTTCAATGGAAGGACGCTTGGCTCGCTACAAGTGAGATACTCAAGCAAGCTTTCCCGTCTGCCGATGTCCGATGGGAGCAGGCAAGTATTACCAAGGCGCAAAAGTGAACGCCCTTCGCTACCCATCGCAGACAGCACTGATGGCCTCGATGAACCGGCTGGTCGCCCAAAAAGACAGCGAAATAGCACGGCAGCTGTGCCGGATGGCTTTGTTTCGTGGAGATCGCTCAAGAAGCCAAACGATGCCAACGAGAGGCCAGACATTGACACTCCACTCGCTTTCGAGACGCTCCCATCTCGTGATGAGGAGTTGTGTCCTCTCTCGAACAAAGACCTGGCATTCCCAAGCTCGATGCCTCGCATCTTGCGGCAGCGAGAGTTGGGTCTCACTTCCAGGCGAGCGTGGACCGGTTCGCATGCTACAACTGAAGAGCTGCAGAACCACGTCTTCACCGACTACACTGTCCGGAGGCAGTACGAGAAAATGTCAGGTGATGTCATTTCACTTAGCTGGTCTCCTGACGGGCACCGCTTTGCAGCGTCCGCAATAGCGATATCCGATGCACGCTCAATGCAGTACAACATGTCCCGGAACCTGCTGCTTGGAAATGAACGTGGAGAGCTTCGTGAGCTCCCGGAACATCACGTCCCAAGACCAGTTATCGACCAGCGCGACAAGGACAACGTCAATGGACTCCATGCAATGAGAGCGTCACAAGATCCCAGGCTCTTCTTAACTGTCGCCGCAACTGCATTTTCAGCCGACGGGGAAAAGCTATTCACGGCAGGCACGGACAAAAAGATGCGGCAATATCGCATCGAGGACGATGGAGGAGTGCAATGTCAGGAAAGTGTGGAACATGATACGCCTGTCGACCTGCTTGCTGTTCACGGTTCTGTAAGTGACCTTCTCGCTATTGGCTGTCACTCTGCGTCGCAAAACATCAAGATCTATCGATCGGGAAAGCGTGCAGATCTGCTGCAACTCCTCTCGCCATTTCGAAGCAATGTACAGTCGAGCGTGCCCATATTTCCCTCAGCCCTGAAATGGGGCGCTGCTCCAAGGCATCGAAACCTGCTGCTAGCAGGGTTTAGCGGCGACCAAGACAAAGCAAACGCGGGCGAAACATTGCTCTACGATGCAGCAAATGGGACCTCGTTGCCTATGTCCGGATCTACCAAGAATGTTTTCGACGTGGCTTGGAACCCACTCGCCAGTACTGCTTCTATCGCTTTCGTAGTCGCATGTGATCCAAGTGGGGAGAACGTCAGCAGAGGTATGCGTAGTGTCGTTCAGTGCTTCGCACCAGATCAAGGTCGAGCAAGACGAATCCTGACCTGGCAATGTCCTGCGGTCGATATTAATGATGTGGCAATTTGCCCGCATGACGATAATCTGATCGCCGCCGGGGCTACCAATGGTGCCGTCTACATCTGGGATCAACGCTCGGCTGATCGCTCTCAGCAACCGCTACACATTCTCAAACACGGAGTGTCTGAGAATGTATTGGCAGATGATAGGGACGCGGAACTGGCGGATACTGGTGTGCGCTTCTTGTCTTGGGGTGCGACGAAGAGTCGCCTATACACGGGATCTTCGGATGGCGTAGTGAAGGTTTGGAATCCATATCGATCAGGGAGCAATGCACATGTGGATGATCTCGTGATCCCGTCGCGGCAACGCTCTGCCGTGATGTCGGGCGCGTTTAGTCCAGACTATCGAGAACTGCTGGTAGGGACCGAAAATGGCCGGATTGATTTATTTAGCATCGGCGGAGAGGTCGGATACAGAACGAAACCTTTCAACCTGGTCGAGTCGACAGCGTCCGCGGAGAAGGCAGAGAGCGACCCTTTCAGCGCCGCACAATCACTCCTCGAAAGTGGCCAGATCGAAGTGAAGCCTTGTGGCGCGATGCCGTTCCGGCAAGCAGTACAAGGGCCGAGTTACGCAGGGCCCTACCTCAAACCATCTTCAGAAGAATACACAAAGGCGGAGAAGATTTACCAGCTGGCACTAGATGAAAAGGCCAATGCAGACAAGGAGACAGACGAAAAGCGCAAAAGCAAAGCCGGCAAGAAAGTCTATGAAGCTCAAATGGCTCTGAGCGAGCTCCAAGAACGACATGATCATCACGAATTTTCATCTGCCAAAGCGGAGAAGCTGCAGGAGCAGATGGCGAGGGCGGAACAGAGGCGAAGAGAGCTCGTTAAGCGCCTGCCTTATCCAGCGGAGCCATGTCAGCTCGACTGCGCTGTACTTCCGACTGACGAAGAACCGGAAGACTCGGCGCGCTCCGAAATGCGCATACCGGGCATGCTCCGCTCCGTCGCTCAGTTGGCCTTACAAGCGGAGGACGAAGAGTCTAGCAATACCTGCGCGTCCTGCTCGCCGCGGAATGCTCTGATTGCCAGAGCCAAAGGCAAGAAGACAACTGTATGCGCTAGCTGCTCTCTGAAGAAGGCACGTTTGACATCAGTCTGTGAACGCTGCTCTGGTCCCGCGCGTCTTCAAACAGATAATGTCAGAGGATCTACACTTTGTGAGGATTGCTCTTTCAAATGCTTCCGTTGCGCCCGGATCGTCGAAGTGGATCCGGGCTTGGCCCATCTGCGATGCTACTCGTGCGACTTGACGTGGGAAGCGGGCGTTCTTGGATATGAACTTCTGACCAGGGGTCGAGCACCATGGCGAAGAAGTACGATTGATGAGGAATTGGACGAAGAAGAGCTTGGGAATGCAGAACGCGAGCATTACGCATCCTTGTGGCAGGACAAGGAACCGGGAATGGCTTAGACCACTTCAGCATCAGGGAAAGTGGTTTCTTTCCGCACGCACTGGCAACGGCAATGCCCAGAACGAAAACAGCAGTAACGCTTTTGCGGAGACGTCTCTCCAGTGCGCAGAAATCCTGTGCGCAGAGATCCTGTACATTTGAATTGCAACAGAAATGGCATGAACTGTACAAACAATGTAGCGCTACAGCGCTTTGAGTGGCTCCTTGCCAATCTTCTCTATTCCGTCCCCTAATTCGCCATCTCCTCCATCTGCCGACGTATGCGACTTGCCCTCCAGCGTCGAGTGTGCATCTTGAACGACAGGCGGTCCCGTGAAGTCCTTCCTGCCGCGAATGAAATACCACGCGATACTAATCGCCGCGAAGCCCATGAAGACGACCGAAGCGTAATTCATCGACGAAGCTGTGACGGGTAGACTGACTGGCATGCAGAACAGCACGATTGCGAGACAGATCCAGGCGAGACAGATTACGTTGATGGTGAAGCCGAACTTGCCCAGGGAGAAAGTGGAATGACGGACCATTTTGCGGCCTCGGAGGATCGATACCAGGATCGGGAGACCGTAGCCGGTGGAGAGGCAGATTGTTGCTACGCCGGTGAAGCTGTTGAATGCTGCTGTTGAGCCAAAGTAGATGAGACCCAGGAGGGCGTCTACTACTGTCGAGAGGACGAGACCCCAGAGAGGGATGCCGAGTTTGCTGTTTGTTTGTCCAAGCCAGCGACTTCCGGGGATAGCTCCATCACGGGCGAAAGCGTAGGTGCAGCGACTGGCGGCTGTGAGAGCTCCCGTGCCTGCGAAGAACCAGATGCCTAGGATGAGGAAGAGGAGACCGAAACCGCCGCTTGTTGAGCCTGTGACGGTCTTGAAGAGTTGTCCGATCGGCTGTCCGCTGGCTACGTGGAGCAGCATCTGCACGTCCGGAAGGACGAAGAGGATGGGAATCAGATATATCACTCCTGTAACTCCAGCAGCTGCTACGGACAGCACCATCGCCTTGGGAACCTCCCTTGCCGGATTCTGCACTTCCTCACACATGGACGCAACGAGTCCATATCCCGTCAAGGTATAAGCAGCCTGCAGCAACCCAACAAAGAACGCCCACCCATCTGGCCACCCACTCTGGCTCGCATCGTAATGCGCAAAGACAAACTCTCCACTCCTGTAATTATCCGACATGGCCAAGAGTGTGACCAGGATGATCAACACACTCGCCGCCGTCCAGTAGATGCAAATCTTGTTGATCAGATCCAAGTACTTGGATCCAAAGACATTCACCAGGAAACAGACCAACATGACGGCCCAGAAACAGAGGACCGTCTGCCATGCATTGGCAGTCCAGTCTTCTCTCCAGAGCGATATGGCCGATAAGATAAGCTGTGCGCCGGAGAAATTAATGCTAAGCGTCACGGTCCAATTTCCGACGAGATTCAACCATCCGGTGATCCAGCTAGCTATAGGAGCCCATTCTTTCGTCGCCATCATGGCGCTCCAGTAGTACACTCCCCCAGCGGTAGGATAGACGGCGCAAATCTCAGCCAAAGAGGCGGCTATACTCAATGAGATGAGAGAAACGAGGACCCATCCCCAGAGGATCGTTACGCTTTGGCCGTCGGTGAGGGTGATGTAGAGTGTGGTGGAGAGACCGAAGGGGACGGCCATGATGGCGAAGGAGAGACCGAGGACGGAGAACATGCTGAGGGACCGTGGCAGGTCGGATTTGTAGCCCATTCGCGCGAGGTCTGCGTCGGCGGTTGCATCTCCAGAAGCTGCCCGGCGCGACGCCGCGGAGGTGGAAACGCGGCGTAGAGCGTCCATTATGAATTATGAATTGCCTCTCCTGTAGAGACACCGTATGTCCAGGTCCAGAAAAAGCAGAAGCCAGGAATTGAACGATGGCGATGGGTTGCGGTGCAGTTCACCTTCTATACCCAATGCATGATCCCGATAACAGGCACACAGATGAGGTAGTTCGTTCCCGGCAGGGCTGGCGGACGGACGATAAGTGCAGAATGTCGTAACCTCTCCTACGGCTTCAATCCGGGTCATGTATCTATCTCGGTCGATGTGTGTGTGTGTGTGGGAATTATGTACACGGAAAACCCGGAAGGACTGCGGAGCCTCCCAGGTCTTGTTGCCGCAAGTGGAGGGGGAAACGGCGAATCCGCCCTTTCACGTCTAGACTCCGCGCCACCATCTCAAATCCTTGGCGGATGATAAGGTACGTACAGCTGAGGCTGTTGTTCAAGACGTACACAACAACAGCAAATAGAACAAGATGATGCGAATGTGAAGTTGTCAAATATATGTACATTCTGCTCCAGTGTCGAGTAAGAACTAAGGTATGTACAATCCTCGTTGCCCGGAGCCATACACCTATATACAAACACGAACATATGATTTGCTTCTCACGCCCAAGGTAGACAAAGGTCAATTTCATTTCGGCCGTTCAGTCACAATTTCACATCATTATTCTGCTTCCCTCCTCCTCTTCCTCCTCCTCCTCCTCCTCCCCCTCCTCCTCCTCCTCATCATCATCATCATCATCATCATCAATCCTCTTGCGATTTCCTGTCCTCCTCTTACATGCCCTGTCTGTACTCCTGCCACATACTCTGAATCCTCGTGACCTGGTTCGGCGTAAAACTCTCATAACACGCATCGGAGGAATAGTCCATATAATTGTGAATGAGGTCGACACCAGCAACCGCGGGACAACTATCCTTGACCGGCGAAGTCGGACATCCATCCGTCGAGGTGCTCTGCTGCGGTGTATCCGCGATCGAATCCCCATCGCCGGTACACGAGTATCCCTCGAACGTGTGCAGCAGTCCGAGCCAGTGCCCCGTCTCGTGCACGGCAGTCATGCCCTGATTGTAGCCCGTCATCGAGCCGCCGGGCATCGTGGCGGCGTTGACGTTGCAGCCGTCGGAGACGTACTGCGACGGATCTTTCGGGTCCGTGACTTGCGAGGGGAGGGTGCAGGTGCCGAGGACACCGCCGGAGAGATCGGTGTGGAAGTACAGATTCAGGGCGGAGTAGGAACCATAGCGACGAGCGGCTTTGAGAGCATCCATATCGCTGCCCTCGGCAACGGCCCAGGCATCGTTGGCGTCGGTGGTGACGTTTTGCAGGTTGAACGTGATGCCATACTTGTTGTAAACCGTGTTGAGAGCCGCGACCTGCGCCGTAGCAGCCGTTTGAGTCAAAGTACCTTGCTTGGCCGTGGTAGTGATAAGGTGGATGTACACCGGAACAGTGATGGCAGGGCTGACGGTCTGCTTCTTCACAAGGGCCGCAGAGCGGGAACCAACCTGTCCAGGACGTCTCGTGTTGCGATGGAGGAATGCAACGGTCTTGTTGAAATGCTCCGACGCCTGGCCGCGGTTGACATCGCAGTCGAAATGTTGAATGGTGAAATTCGTCGTCGGATCCACAAAATGCGTAGAATTGCTGAGGTCCCGTGCTGACACATGGCCAACAAGGAGCAACAAAGCCGCCAAGGCGAAGGACAACGTGGTGAAGAAGCTCCTCATGGTGACCCTGGCACGTCCGTCTCAAAAGTGCACTTTCCGTCTTCGTCCAGCTTCTGCGGAGTGCTGTTCTGAGAACGGTGTGAGAGGGCTGTCGGTCGCTCCGAGGAATGTTATGTACACGTGGTTGCCCGGTAGCGTCCTCTGGAATGTGTATGCAAAGAAGAAGGGAAGATATCTATATGTACAAGGGGAGTAGTCAGTCTTCACAAGCTCTTCCCAGGAGTCTGCTGCATGATTTCTCTTGTTCACGGCGGGTCGATCTGCGCCATATTTATGACTTCTGTCTTCATCGCCTGGATGCCTCCATGTCGAGTCGTACTTCTTTCGAAGCGTTCGACGCTTGCGGCTCTGCTTACGCTGCAGACAAGAGGATTCCCGGGGCAACAAAGGCGGTCCGGCACCAACAAACTCCACACACCCTGAGATTAGCAACTCTAAGAGAAAGGTCTAGACTTCAATCAGCGGCGACGACAGAGCTATGCTCAAACCATCGATCTCGTGAATGCAGGACCCAGGCTCCTGGATGCCATTTGCGAACATGTTTCGCACCGGCGGATGGGCCGAACGGCTGCCAAAGGCAAGGAAATGCTCGGATGGCCTGAACTAGAACAAACCTGAAAGAACCCATTGATCGCATTCTAGCACAAGAGGCTCGCCCTCGTGGGGCACGCTTCCGATACATGGCGAGGGAGACTCAATGATGCATACATCGACTGCTCATTTTCTGTTATTGGAACAATCAACCGGCCCGAGACCCATCCCAAGGGTGCTGCGAACTCCAGATACGCCGAACTCCTGCTCTGACCGCGTTCATGTGGACAATGGATATCATGCTGCTTCGTTAGGTCGGGGTGCGCGACCGGTAGTTGTTGCTGTGCTTGGCTGGTCGGTGTTCCAACTGAGGTACTGCGCACGAAACCAGTCAGCTTATGCCTCATCCTATAATGACGTGCCATATCTCGCGATAGTCTTACGCTGTGATCGCCAAGTTTTCTGATCAACAATTAGCAATGCTCCCCCAACAATCTCTCCACAGTGCAATCTCGATGGACTTGCCTTGGCTTGATAAGCTGGGTCACCGTGAAAACTCCTCCCAATAGGATGCAAAGTCCACCAACCACAATGTATGTGATTCCCAGGAAAGGGTTCCTACCGCCCATGACGGTCCGTGTCGAGATCAAGATCGATTTGGTGCCGTCGTAGAGGGTCACTGGGAAGTCTGCGCGTGGAGGTGACGTTAGCAGTGGCCTGAAAGTCGAGTTTTGCCAAGACTTTACTCACAATCATATATGACCATCTCGTACGTTCCAATCTCCATAGTCTCATTGTCGTTTCGCAGCGCAAGTTTGCTGAAGGTTGGCAGACCGGCAGTACGCATCCAGACCTGAAACTCCTCGTCCGTCGTGAGGTCCGGGAATGGGAATGTCTCGTTGTATACCGGATACCGCTCGCGCCAGTTTGGAGGCGGGACAACCTCGTCGAAGCCGTAGGGCGACTTGCCGTAGAGGTCGGCATCCGAGCTCCAGGCAATGCTGTTGTTGGTCATGTGGTACGTGGTATTCTGCTCGCCATTCGTCGGGTTCAACAGCATTGGCGGGTGGAAAGTGTCATTGAAGATCGAGTTGGCGATCAAGCCGCAAGGGTAATACGGCTTCTTGATATCATTTCCATTCGCATCTTGACCCGTTACCTCCTGCCTGAGAGGATCGCAATCGCTGCCGGCAATGGAGCTGTTATCCCGAAAGGTGCCCTTCAGCTGGTCCTGGTCAAAGGACTGCACATATCGTCGGTGGTTCTGGTAGAAGTTGGTCAATTGGTAGTACATCAAGACGGGCGGTTCAAGCCTGTCGGGAATCTGGAACTGCAAGTGGCATGCTGTGGTATTCTTCTTTATCGCATTCGAGCCCACACCGTACGTGACGTTTGTGTAGTCCTTACACCATCTCGGCTGCTGTGATTCCAACGTCTTGTTCTTGAAGTAGGTCGTGACAGCGCTGCTGGGTATAGGGTCCGTTCGGCCGCAGATAGGGGCGGTCGCGTTGCACTCGGAATAGTCGATTACGATCTCTTGGACTGCCGAGCTGGCGTAGAGCAGCAGGCCGCCGATGGGCGCAAAGATGACCCCGATGGCAAAGAACAGCGGTAGGACGGTCTTGGGCGTGAGGATGGGCTGCCACGCCTTTAACCGCTGCTGGCGGAAGGCATTATCTGCGTGTCGCCTTCACATCAATATCGGCGTTCCTCTACCTCCTTCATCCGCCGCAGCCCGGATGGATGTGGTATCATTGTACGTGCGTGTTGGACTTACTCGGCGGGCGTCTGCTCTTCTGCTGCGTCTTGTCCTCCTCGCTTTCGCGGCTCGAATTGGCGTCGGTCTCCTGCATCGTCTGCGACATGACTGCTGCGAATGGATGGACGATGTTCACATCAGAGGACAGGAATAGAAAGAGGACTAATCGCGCCTCATTGGGATTCCTGGCGAGTCCCGTTTTGCCAGTATCCGCGATGCGCAGCACAGCTGACGTGCCACTAGCCATGCAAGGACAGTCACGTGCAATGTTGGATGGGCTCCGAGTAGGACACCACGCAAACTACTTCAACAACGATGTATCGTGAACTTTCCCACATGCACTATATAAGTATTCGATACACACTGTCTCTAATCCTTCCATGCCCATCAAACGGGCTATCTCTGTGTAGTCAAAACGCCCTCTTTCCCTTCAGAATGCCCCGCTCATACAACGCTCAATTGCTCGACATCACAAACTTTCGACGCCATGGCAAGAGAGCTGCATCTCATTGCTCGTCCTCTTGTCCGACTCTCTTATACCTTCCACTTCCACTACCGTTTGTATCTTCCCCTCTCGCTCGCTTCACCACGTTGCTGATCCAGCCTCCCACTCCCTCACCTTGACTCTCATCCTTGCTCAGTATGGGCTTGCCGTCTTGAATGGCGACGTCTGGAGGCTGGAGATCCATGTTTGGAATTTGCTCGCCATTGTCACCAAGGCTCAGTGACCCGATCGGCGACTGAGGACCATCATGTCCACTGAAGATGGAGTTGGCCTCGGCGATGGTCTCGGGGGTGGGTGCAATTGTCGTTGCATCGCCAAAAATCGAGTTCATGTCTTCCAATCGCACGTTGGCTGTTTCCGGGTAGATGAACCACACTAATCCCAAGTTAGCCAGTGCCACAACATCCATCTAACCAGAGGTAAGACTCACCAACAACAAAACTGACAGCACAGAAAAACGCGTGCAAAAGATACAGTCGCCATTTGATCGCCTCCTGCAATATCGGCGTCATCTCTCCCACAAGCCAGTTGAATGCCCAATTGGAAGCAGTCGACAAACTCGCTCCCTTCGCTCGAATGCTGAGCGGTAAAATCTCTGGCGGATACAACCACGGAATCGGACCCCACGAGTATCCAAAGGCAGCGTTGTAGATCATTACGAAGATCACGACCAGAGTCGGAGTAGCGCGAATGTCGATGTAGATGAAATATGAGATTGCAGACAGTGAAATGACCATGGCCACGGCTCCAGATAAGAGAATGAATCGGCGTCCGAGACGGTCGACGACGTACCATGGAGGTACAGTGGAAGCCAGGTATGTGATTCCGTTGATTCCCGTCATGAGAATGGCGTCTCGTCCGACCCAGCCGGCCTGTTCGAACACAAGCGGCGCATAATAGGAAATCACGTTGATGCCGTTGAGTTGTGCCAGCGCCTGCGCAGACATGGCAATGAAGACGCGCTTGTAGTACCGCTTGAACATATCCCTGTAAGACCTTTCACCTTCTTGTCTCTGCAGCAGAACGTTCATCTTGATCTCGCGGTATTCGTCTCTGGCCTTTGGGTTGTGGATGTCTCCCTTTCCGTAGAGGTTAGCAATCACGACAATGCCCTCCTCGTCGTGGTCGTTGTCCAGCAACCATCTTGGTGATTCAACGATCAAGAAACTTCCCACAGCAAGCAGACCTCCCATAACTACCTGCATGAGCAGAGGCACACGCCATGCCCAGTCGTTCTTGATGAAGCTGCAGAAGTAGTCCACCCAGACACTGCACAGGTATCCGAAAATGTTGCCGGAGAATTCTATGCACGCCAGCTTACCACGGTTGTGCGGCGGGCTGATCTCGCTCTGGTACACAGGCACGATGGTACTCAGGGCACCAACTCCCAGTCCAGCAATGATCCTGCCCAATAGCATCATGGGCATGCCGGAAGCAAATGCCTGGATGGCTCCTCCCACCACGAAGATCACGGCACCATACAAGATCGTTTTCCGCCTTCCCAGCATGTCACCAATGCGTCCGACCGATAGGGAAGCAATCAGAGCACCAATCTCCAGAATAGCAACCATGGTGCCCACCTCAGCGGCCGTAGGTTGGTTGAAGTAGTTCTTGAAGTATGGGCCAGTAATTATACCCGACATGACTCCCTGGTCGTACCCAAACAGGAACACGCCCAAGGACACGAAGATGGACAAGAAGTAGATGAGCTTCTTGCCATGCAAGCCGTGCATGCGTGAGGGTCCATCTTCACCGGGCGACATGACTCTGGCCAGCAATCGTGGTCCCCACCCAATTGGTTTGGGCGGCGGACTCGGTACTCTTATGTCTTCCTTTCTTGCAACGAAGCCAGCTTGCTGCTTCTCCTTCTCGCTGTTGTGGACGTCAGATGCGTATCTGACCTTTTTGGATTGTCGGTTTCGTCCCCTGCGCGCCTGCTTCTGCTGCTCGGACTCGTCGAGGGTTTCTCTCAGCCGTGCCGCAAGGGGATCCTCCTCGTCGGCAAGCTGGTCGACGAGATCGCCGGTATCGCTCCAGTCGGAAGCAGCGTCCTCGTCGTTGTCGGTGGTGTCGAAGGACCCGGAGCGCCGACGCAGGCGTTCGCGGTCACCCTTCTCGTCGTCGTAAGCGTAGTCGTCGCTCTGGCTGCGTCTCTTGGACGAGGAGAGGGAATGGAGCGGGATGTTGGCAGGCTTGCGGTTTGCGTTGCTGCTGCCGGAATCGAATTGGAACGGAATATTGCTGTCGAGAGCTGCTCGGAGCCAGCCCTTGCCCGTCTCCGCAGGAGAAAGTGGTGGGGAGGTGAGGTCTGGAAGTGACCAGCGCGACTCAGAGTTTTGGGGAAATCGATTGGACGACTTCGCAGTCGGTGGGATGCGAGTCCAATGCCGCTGGGACAGGAAGTGAGCACGAGCTCTGCACGACGACGTCGCCCTGTGCTCCCAGTAAGCCGGCTCGCAACTCTGCTAGCACTAGGCCAGCTCTGTGGATCCGAGAATGAACACGTGATGGTTGGCTGATCTGGGTGCTGAGCATCGATTGGGACCGTCAGCGAGCAGTAGATGGTGGAGGAGTGTGATTTCAATAGATTGTGCCGATGGACGAGAACGAGAACGAGAGGGCAGAATGGCCGGGTTGGAGCTTGCAGATGCAGGAGCGGATGCGCTGTTGGACAGGACTTAGTACTAGAGTGTGTGCTGTGCGTTGTGTGAGAGGGAAGACGTGGACGTGGGCTCTCGGGGAACTCGCTCCGGCACGTGATCTCGAGACGAGCAAGACGAGTCTTGATTTATTATAGAAAGAACAACTGATCTCCATCCCCTCATCATCCGCCAGCCCGACCCCGTGGCCCAACTCCAGCTTTTCTCCACGCCCCGACATTATTATTCTCCTCCTCCACCGCGCCATGACAGAACGTTTCCCACTCGGCTCGTCAACCTGCATCGGCACATCCCAGGCCTCCTCTGCTCACCCCTGCTGGCTGTTCGCGAGACCACATCATCTGAAGCGCCGTCTGACGCACGCCGTCGTGGGTGTGAGTATCATGTGCTGCCACAAGGACCGCAGGAATACATATGTGTCTTGTGGACGCCAGCCAACACGTAAGGTAATCATCACACGTGGCTCATCACGAGTCATTCGACTCTCGGGTACGCAGGTACCGTGCGTATACTATACATATGTCCTGCGCCATCTACATAGGTACGTACGATCGAGCTGCGACGCTGTGAAGCTCCACGTGTTCCGTCCCAAAACGCCGTCTCATTCATATTCTATCCATCTTGTCGTCCACCTCATCTTTCTCGTCTATGCTGCCGGTCCGGCTGGCGCTGCGCTGACCTTACTCGCTACCCAAACCATGCGTCTGAAGTAGTGCGCCGCAAAGCTCTCAGTGTAGTACGAATGCTGCTGGTCATGCTGAGAGACCAAGTTGTGCGCCAACTCATGGCAGAGCGTGATCCACCAGTACGCCATCGCCTCTACCTTGCCTTCACTAGTCGACATCTGCGCCGAGTGTAGTTGCATGAAATATCGCAAGTTGCAGAACAGACTGCCGTTGCTGTTAAATGCGATCGCAGGCCCAGAGTCATCATGAAAGACGTTGATCGTCTGAGGCGGCAGCTCAAACACATTCGCTACCTCGCCCAAGACGACGACGAACTCAGCCAACGCCTGTCTGTAAGTTTGGAGAAACCCGTTGGGATCTGGGTGGCTGCGAGTCAGATATAGCCTTATCCCGTTGCTGCCCAGCTCCGTGATGAATTGAAGGTCGTGGCCAGGTGCGCTGTCGCAGTACGACGACGACTCCTTGATCTGCTTCGTTTGGGGCCTTGAGAATAAGGACGACGAATTGTACTCGCGTGTGGCTTTGATGGCGGACTGCAAATTGGATTGCAGTTCTCGCGGTGAGGTCACTCTCTCGGTGCCCGGAGTCACGTTACGCACATTCGGGTCTTGAGCTGTGTAAGGTGGAGGTGCATCTTGCCCGTTGGTGAGCAGATTTTGCATCTGTTCGGCTGCTGGTTGATTTGCAGAATTGTTAATTCCAAGTTGTCGGCTAAGGTTGCTGAAAAAGTTCGCTGCTTTCTTCCCTCGGCCAGGCGAGTTTGGTCTGTCTGGGGTGTCGAATGAACCAGGCATTGTCAAGGCTCTCTCTGGGGAATCGGGACTTGCTTCTGCCGGTCCGGTACCATTGGTGAGAGCACGCGGTGTCTGAGGAGGCGCTCGTGCCGCAGCTTCGGCGTCAGCGAGACGTTTCTCCTCTTCCTCCCGCTTCTGCCTTTCGCTCTCCGCGATACGGCTCTCGGCAGCCTTCTGACGGAGGATGCGGTCAACATTGTATCCCTTCGTCTTCAGTCTACGAAGATCGCTCTCTAATATCGTCTCCAGCGCAAGGAAGTCCTGTTGTCTCGGCCGTTTCAACAGTACACCCATGATGGCGCGGCTGACCTCGTACAAATCGTATCGAATGGTGATGTATAGAGTGGCATCCCGTTTTGTCTCTCGATGAAGCGATGCCGTCTTTTTCTCAATGAACTGTAGTTTGTAGCCCTTGAGTCGATGGGTGGTCTGCAAGAACTCCGTCACCTTGACCGTCATGTTTTGCTCCAGCCATTTGGCGTCATGTCTAATGGCGTCCGTGCTATGATCATGGAGGAACAAACGGCAGCGTTCAACCAGAAGCTTGTGTAGCTTGGTCGCTGCGGATTGGTCGTGGAGCAGAGCGCCCATACGCTGGTCGTCATCTCTGAGTCGACTCAGCTGAGGCGTGTCGAGAGAGGTGTACAAGGACTCCAAGACCTCTTCCTGCGGTGCAGCCAACAAGCTGGACTGGAACATGCGATATGTCACGATATCGTCCACGACGACCATTTCGCTTGCGCGTGCCAACGACAACTCTTTGACTATCACCTCGTCGTCGTCAAAATCGCGCTTTTCGTCGTAGTCTGATCTTGGAACTGAATGCACTAGCTTCTCAGCGAGAAGACATGGCGAGCCTTTCAGAGCCTGCCATACTGTCTTGTCTCTCTTGAGATTGGCGGCATTCTCGGCGACCTTGCGCAAAAGCTGCACATATTTCTCCTCGCCCAACGTCTGGAGTAGTTTGGCAGGTTGTCGGACAATCATACCGGCAATTTCGCCGGCGTTCGGCTCATGCTTGGATCCCACTCGGAGCAGAAAGGTATTCGCTTCCTGGCCAAAGTTGACAAAGTCAAAGATATCGCCGTAAGTTTCGCCATCGCCCAAGAAGCAAGAGCGAGGCGCAACGAAGGCAGTCTTGGCATCTGGCCTTCTGTCCGAGACGATGGGGACGATTGGTGCAGTGCCCAGTCGCTCAGCGAGTTTTCCATTGGGCCCGATCTCAGCAAGCCGACCAGCGAAGTAGCCGTACAGCGCCTGCGCTGTCTTGAAATCTGCTGGCGGATTCCTGATCAATCGCTCGGCGCACGCCTCGATGGCCGGGTCGAAAGCAACACCAAAGAAGCTGTGGTGAGGCTGCAGTTCCGCTTGGAGAATTCTGAAATTCAAGATAGCGGCTTTGGGATTGCCGTAACACTGCTTCGGTTTCGCGACCATGTGTTGACCCTCTCCAGGATTTGGCTGCACGGGTAAGAACGCCTTATCAACATCGGCGATCGGGTATTTAGCGTATCCATGCTGATGGAAATTCACAATCCAGTATGATATCGCGCTTTTCTGAAGCTCGCTACCACCCGGAGCATGTGCCAATATGTTGACCAATTCCGGAATGCCAGGATGCGTCTGAAGGCCCAGCATGCGCAGAAATCGACCCTCCGCTGTGTTCGATCGGTACTGTCCGGGCCATTGCAGGACAGGAAGACCGAGCCTCCTTATGGCATCATCAGGTTCGTACAAATCACAAGGCCGGAATAGCTTCCCTGCATTGACTTGATCTCCGGACTGCTTTTCTGCGGGACATATAGGTGTCTGTCGGAGGCGTTTAACATCCTCAGGCGGTATGTCATCTTTTACGCTGACCAAGTACTTGATGAGATCCACATGGCTCCATTTGCCTTCCTCAACAGCGGGAGTTGCTGACTTGGCCATGAGCCTCTCAAACACTACGTTGAGCTCGACGGTCTTGCGAACACCGAGAGCAGACAGAAACTTTTCCTTCACGCCCTGCAATCCAGTAATTGTTGGCAGGTCATCGAATAGTTTCACGCTGCCAAAATATGACTGAGGCGGAGTCCGCATTCCGAGTTTCGTCGGTATGCAGGTACGCGGTGTGAGAAGCTCTTGAACCGTCTGTTTCGAAGACTGTGACAAAGCATCCCATGCCTTAGAGACGACGGGAAGCACTTGAGCGGCAACAGAGGGCGTGGTGGTGAGATCGTTTCCCGCTCCATATCCAAGTCCGTTGCTCTCTATGGTCCATCGCAACCAAGGAACTATCTGAAGCTCGTCCCAGCCAATAGAGGAAAGCTGCATGGGCGAAAGACCCTTCGTAAGCCGGAATGGAATAGTCTGCGGTGGTGTGGGCAAGTCGGCGGGAATTTTTGTGGTGTTGACGAACGTCGTGATTTGTCCAAGTTGAATGACTGGACTGGGGGATGTCTGAAAGAATTCTTCGCTGACACCTGCCACTGTGCCGTCGAATAGCAGCTGCACGGCTTGAGAGTCCATATCTTGCTGCGATACCTTCTTGCAAGCCCACTTGATAAGCTCGGTAACCTGCTTTTCGGAGAGAGCCTGGGCCTCGAGCTCTTTCTTGATGTCACCAGTCGTAATGTCTGAGAGCAGCCCATAGACCCTCAGCTTTGTGAGGAATTCGTTGGCCTTATCAAGCAGCTCATCTGGTACGACAGGAATGCCGTCCACGAAACTGAGGTCCTCAGTCGCGACGCGTACCTGATGACTTGGGAGAACGCCTCTGGTTGAAAGTATGTCGATGCTAGCTTTTTGGTTACAAGTCCAAAAGGCTTCTTCAATGTAGTTGCCGACCTTGGAAGAGGGTGTCGACTCTGCGTAGTTGTATTGGCGGTAGGTGTGTACTGCCGCTGGCATTACCGCCGACACATCCTCCTTCGAAATCTTCTTCCTGCCATCGGCAGCTGCTGTTCGGTCTAGACGGCCCTTAAGCTCTGCCATATCGCCTGTATACGCTATGCGACAGGCTATTCCGGCAACTCGGAGCATTTCTACATTCCAGTCTCTCACGTAGCGAGCATTCAGATCGATGCTCTCTCGCTCGACGGTAGGAATAACGGAAGGAGCAGATATATGGGCTAGCAGACCTGTGGTCTGCGCAGTTGGGAAACCAATGAATATCTTTCCGTTCTTTGTGGGCAATACCGAGGCGAAGATTTCGCTAGATTTCTTCGAAGAGACACCTGTCGATGTCGTCGCAGCTGTCTCGTCGTAAGAAGAAGTGAGAATAGAAATCCGAGTTTGCTTCGGGGGCGGCTTCTTGGTCGCTCTCTCCAGCTCGGCCGCCAGCTGCTTGCTAATGTTAGTCTGCACGCTCACTGTACTTATACGAATAAAGACAGCCGATTGGCTAAAGCCGGCCAAGTCTTCGAGGATCGCCAACTGGAGTGCGTCCTCTTCTCGCTGCGCCTTTCTGACGGTGGTGTTGCCATTGATTCCGTTCGTAAACTTGCCAAACCAGTTTCGAAGACTCAGACCGCCTGCTTCGCCAGCAGATGGAGCGTTTGGAATAGCTTGCACTGCCCTGGGATTCCATCCAACGACATTCATCCATCTGGCATCGATTTGGGCGTTCTGATACGCAACATCAACAATCTTCATAAGGCCATCCCGGGTCTTCGGATTAACGTCGTTAGGAATCTTCACACTGGCACCAGGCGCCATCTTCTTTGTGAGAGTCAGGATATTCCAGTCATCCAACCACAGCTCGATGTTCTGCAATCCCACAAACGTCAAACTCGTAGCGAGGAATTGGCACAGGCTCAAAAGCTGAGGTACTGGAGTGGATTGATTCCTGTAGTCGAGCATGAAGGTAGTACCGGGCGTAGCGTCTTGAAGCTTTCCACGCCGAGTGAACAAGGAATCCTTCTTCCAGTAGAAAGCCATGGTCTGGTTTCCAGAGCTCACGAAGGGCGACTCGCAGTCTGCGAAGACTGAGTAGAACCCTACACCAAAAGCACCGATCTTTGTTTCATCCGGATTTCCTTCTGCTATCCGTTTCAATCGCTGCCAGTCTGTCTCTTGGAAAAGCTCGCCATCGTTCGAGACTATCAGCGTTTTAAGAGTGTGGTGGAGCAAAGTGTGCTTGAGATGCTCTGAAGGCTCTTGCGTCTGCGGTAGTGGAACTGTGGGCGATGGAATCGTTTCGAAGCGTATCTTGACCGTCGTTGCCTGAGCATCCGCTGCGTTTTGAACGAGTTCTCGTAGTGTTGTCCATTCGCCGGAATATCGCGCAAGTACTTTGTCGATCAAGGCGCGGGTGTTGACGGTAACGGCTTCTTCGTCTTCGAGACTGCCCATGGTCTGCTCCCGCAGCCGGGCGAGATTGGACGAAGCCATCTTGCTTGTCGTGGACTTCTATTGTAGGATTGGTACGGTGCGGGGAGAGGAGATCTAGTTCATGTCGACATAGGGTTTACTGGCGGTCGATAGGCGGTTTCGAGTGGCGATGTAAGCGTTCTGAGCTGCTATTGAAGGCTTAGATCAGTTCAGTGAATAATGAGTGACTGCCTTGTGGTTCAGGCTTCGCGGATTGACAGTGGCGTAGCAGCGGGTGTAAACAATAAACTCCGGGCGAATATTCCAGTTGTTCGCAAAGGAGTGTATCTTCACCAGAGTCGCTCCAAGCCGAGAAGAATCCAAGAGGCAAGACCGAGACGCGGTTTTGTTTGGGCGAAGAAACAGAAGGTGGACTGGTGAAGGTGTAAGATGGTCATCACATGTTCTCGTCACCACGCGACTGCGGCGCATCCCTGCACGGTGGTCGGTCCCTGGCCGGCAGCGTCCGCCGCTAAGATCTGCCCTCGCGCTTCGGCACGAGATCCGAAGAACTCTCTTGACGCTGCCTGAGGTAGCTACCAGGCCAAAGCTCTCTCTCTTGTTTGGTTTCCCAGCGTCCTTGACAACCACCAAAACCTCAATCCTTTTCGCCAGATCTTCTTTCTTCTACAAAACCATCTCTCAACTGGCCGTCTGAAACGACAGTCGCCATGTCTGTCACCCTTCAGGCCGTCGCCGACCTCCTCTCCGCCAGTCTTGATCCCCGCCAAAATCGTCAAGGTGCGTTTGAACTGATCGAAAGAAACATCCTGGGTAGCTGACAACTGGCATAGCCGAACAATCGCTGAAGGCCGAAGAGACGAAGCCCGAGTTCTCGCTCGCTCTCCTCCAGATCGTTTCAACAGATTCTTTCCCTCTGCAGACACGATTAGCCAGCGCCCTCTTCTTCAAAAACTTCGTGCGGCGGAATTGGACAGACGAAGATGGCAACCACAAACTCGCTGACAACGAGGTCACGACAATCAAGAGCGAGCTCATCGGACTCATGGTGAAAGTTCCTCCGGCCCTGCAGGCGCAACTCGGTGATGCTATCAGCGTCATCGCAGACAGCGACTTCTGGGAACGATGGGACACACTGGTTGACGACTTGGTCTCGCGGCTTACGCCAGACAACGCTGAGGTCAATAACGGAGTGTTGCAAGTCGCGCACTCGATATTCAAGAGATGGGAGCCCCTGTATCGGTCAGACGAGCTCTACACAGAGATCAACCACGTTCTCTCAAAGTTTGCAGTACCTTTCCTGCAGTTGTGGGAGAATGCCGACCGGATGATTACCCAGAACGAGAGCAATCCACAGGTGCTCAAGGCTCACTACACAACGCTTGATCTGATCATCAAGCTGATGTACGATCTGTCGACGCACGACATGCCTCCACAATTCGAAGAGTCGCTTCCTGTAATAGCTTCGCTGCTGCACAAGTATCTGACATACCAGAATGCCGCGTTGAACACGGACGACGAGTCGGAAGCCGGACCCCTGGAGCATGTTCGAGCTGGTGTTTTTAGGGTTCTTGTGCTATATACCCGCAAGTACGATGAGGAATTCAAGCAACATCTTGCCCAGTTCATTGGCACATCATGGAACCTTCTCACGACCATTGGCCCGGAGGCCAAATACGACCTGGTAGTAAGCAGAGCTTTGGAATTCTTGACGACAATTGCGGGCATACGGGAACACGCCGAAAGCTTCAACAATGCAGACATCCTTGGACAGGTGACCGAGAAGGTGGTGATACCCAATCTCTCGCTACGAGAATCTGACATTGAGACCTTTGAAGACGAGCCCATTGAATTCATTCGGCGAGACTTAGAAGGCTCTGATGAGGACACGCGACGTCGCGCCGCCACCAACTTCCTCCGGAAGCTGATGGAACAGTTCGAGAAGCTCGTCACAGACGTCGTCATGCGCTATATAAACCACTTCCTCTCGGAATATGCCAAGGATCGAGGCGGGAACTGGAAGTCAAAGGATACCGCTGTCCACCTCTTCACTTCCATTGCTGCCAAGGGTACCGCAACCGCGGCGAAGGGTATTCTGTCGATCAACACGTACGTCGACGTGATCGATTTCTTCCAGAACCACGTGGCCGAGGATTTAACGAACGCAAGTGCTGAGCCATTGCTGAAAGTCGATGCGATCAAGTATCTCTATGTCTTCAGAAGCATACTTTCACCCGAGCAATGGCAGGCAGCGTTCCCGTTGCTCGTTCAACATCTCAACTCGTCCAATTACGTGGTCTATACATATGCAGCAGTCGCTGTCGATCGCGCGCTATACCTCACCAATGACCATCGACAGCCAGTAATTCCACGGGAGAGCATCGTGCCACTTGCAAAGGACCTATTGCAGCACCTCTTCAAGCTGATCACCAAGGATGCAAAGCCCGAAAAGGTGCAGGAAAACGAATTCCTCATGAAGTGTGTCATGCGTGTCTTGATCGTGATAAAGGAAGGTCTCCTTCCTATCGTTGACTTGGTGCTGACCAATCTCGTCAACATCACGAAAGTCATCCGACACAATCCATCGAATCCAGGCTTCTGCTACTATCACTTTGAATCCTTAGGTGCGCTTATTCGGTTTGCTGGTCCCTCACAACCGGACAAGATTGAGCAGCACCTGTTTCCCACCTTCATGGAAGTCCTGCAAGGCCAAGTCGACGAGTTTTCGCCCTACATCTTCCAGCTATACGCGTTGATGGTTGCCACGAACCCGGCGCCGACACTATCGCCTAATTTCCAACAGCTGGTCGCGCCGGTCTTGACACCAAGCACATGGGATAGCAAGGGCAACGTTCCTGCTCTCACGCGCTTGCTCAACACCTTGATACCTCGGGGAGCGGAGCAAATGGCTGCTGCGAATCAAACGGAGGCTATTCTTGTCATTTTTCAGAAACTTGTCAGCAGCAAAGCGTACGAGTCGCACGCCATGGACCTCATCGAGACGGTTGTCACAGGGTTCTCCGTCACCGCACTCGAGAACTTCTGGATCTCCATTCTGCAACTCATGTTCACACGACTGTCAAACTCGAAGACGGAGAACTTTACGCTGCGTTTCGTAAGATTCTATCACCTAGTCTCTGCACTCGTGGACAAGGGACTTGGTGCCGATTTCTTCATCGCCACCTCCGATAAAGTCCAAGGCAATGTCTTCACGCCCGTCTACACTACCATAATTCTCCCTGACACCCAGAAACTCAGCAGGCCGTCCGACCGAAAGACAGCTTGTATATCTCTCACCCGCACCCTCGCGGACAGCCAAGCTTTCGTCGAACGCTACGCCAAGCGAGGATGGACGATCACCTGCGAAGCGCTGCTCAAACTCCTCATCAACCCACCGCTACCACCAGCGGCGGACGACAATGTCATCGAAGACCGCGATGTGGACGAACTCGGCTTTGGAGCGGCCTTCACACAGCTCAACACCTGCAAGCGCCCTACTTCCGACCCGTGGCCAGAAGTTCAGGACGTCAAGGCTTGGGTGGGCAGGACACTTACGGAAGCTGACCAGAGACATTCTGGGCGGGTTGGCAAGTTTGTGAACGAGAAGCTGGATGATCAAGGGAGAGCTGCGCTGCAGAGCGTCATGCAAGGATAAGCAGGACAGACTTGGGGTAAAGTCCTGCTGCTTCAGAGGTATGGATGGTGGCGTTACGAGCATGGGCAAGGTAGGGAGCGCGTCTGGATTGATGATACCACTGAGTCGGGTTATGTTTTAGGTACGCGCCGAAAGGCCAGTAAAAAGTAACGCATGTTGTTTATAGGTACCCCCTTCTTTTGAGGGCCAAAATCTGTAACATAGCTGCGAGAAGAAAAGCGTGAAACTTAGGCCTTTCATTGCATCTAGCCTTGATGACGTCCGCGCAAGCTGCTCACCTGTCGTTTGGCATGTCGGTGGAGTGACTGACACATACGCGAGCACAGCACTTCAGGGGCCGTCAGGAGTATGCCACCAAGGCCAGCACCGATTGCTTCGTTGGAGGACGGCGTGGCCATCACATCTACGAATGCTCTTGCTGAGGGAAGACCGCATGGATGCGACCAGACGCCATGGTACTTTCGTTCTCGAGGCGACGTGACGTGCGACACCAAGTCAACACCAGCACAACCAGTACAAACAGAAGAAACCTGCCCTCCACCTCTCCACAGCATCTCGTCTCACCGTTTTCGTGGGCGTCGCACACAGGTGCTATGCACATGTGCTTGATCCTCGTCCTCCCCTGCATCGTTTGGGTCGCACAGGACACTGATCGTTGGCCGGGGATTGACAGGTACTCCGCATTTCCGCTTGCAGGGACAGAGAGAGGTGCAGGATGCGTTGGCGAGGAGGACGGTGGTGGAGGGCCTTGTTTGCCATGAGGGCTATGGACCCGTCAGAATGGCGAGAACCAGGGACCTAAGAATTGATGCTTGCTTGCCTGCGTGCGTCAGCACGTTCCAGGCGTTTGTGTGAGACTTGATGTGGATGTCCGATGTTGGACCTGATGATGCGGTGTCTCTTCTCGCTGACATGTTGAAGACTCGTTATAGCTTCGATACTTTTACTCGTCTTTCATGTTAGAGCGCAATGAGGGCACTTCTCACGATGCGTTGGAAATAGTTGAATGTCGTGTGGTCATCAGTACATATAGCTGAAGCGAAGGCCGAGGGAAGGGAAAAGCCTGTCAGATTAGGGAGGCAACCCTTCGCGAACTATCTCGGTCGAGATGAAACACGATTCCAACTGGAGATTTGTGGACTCTTGCGAGATGAAAGGCTTGTGCGATGTGCATTGAAAGGTAATTGCCAAAGTCCTTCCTTATTAGGGCAGTCGTCCTGACAGCCTTGGTTCATTAGGGGTCTGCGGTCGGCGGCTGAGTTCCCTAGCAAGATCACTCGCCCGGCGAGCCTCGAACACGCTGGCAATCTAACGTCCAGTGTGCACCGGGACAGCTGTCAAGCGAGCATTGCTATTATTATTGCTGGCTACATGGAGCAGGAGAAATGCTTGAAAGATGGACCACTGGAGCGCTCTGTTGTCACAGTACGCCAGCACTGGCAAGAGACATGGCGTGAAAGATACATGCTGGAAGGTCGTGTTCCAGACGGTGCATGCCTGGCCGGGTGTCGTGCCCGGATGCGCGAGACGTGCTGTCGCAGTCCAACGCAAGCGCCTGTATGGAGGCTTCACGTCGCCGTCGGCGTGGACCAACGGGCGGCTCCAGAGATTCGATTCACGTGGCACGGGTGCGGAAAGCTGCAGACGGGGGAGAGTCGCGGCGCTTCGTGGTCGGAGGAGTTTGTTCTCACATGGATGCAGTGGACCAGCCAGTCGGTGAGTCGTGGCGAAGCGGAGGACGACGGTGCCCCAGCAGTGGTAGTAGAGTCAGGGCGATGCACAGTCTGGACTGTCTGATTTGGCTGAGGAGGAGGGCGTGAAACGAGGTGTGCGCGTGTGGAGATGGAATTACAGAATGGTGAGGCAGCATCCCCGTCCCGATCACAAGAGCCAGACCCGATCGGCCAATTTGGGGAAGCGGCATGATGGCAGTCGTCGGCTCTCAACTCATCGACGCGGCGTGAGGAGCCGATGGCTGACGAGCAGAGATTTGCTTTTACGGAGATATGAACGTAATAGCAGACGTAGGGGAGTGCGTGTTGGAAGCACGCACAAAGCACGAAAGGCCGGAGGAAGGGTCGGCGGCAAGGCTCTCAGCCTTAATGGAGTCTCCTTGCGGCAGCACATGGGCGGAGACGACTTAGCGAGACCAATCATGGAGCCCAGAGCCCTGCCAAGACTCAGGTAGCGGATATTTGAGTGTCGATCTGGTGTTTCACGAAAACACCCGCCGCCGGCATACGAAGCGGCAATGTGGGTAAACTGCGTAGCCAGACTTGAAATTCTTGCTGGACAAGGAGTGACGAGTTCCAGGCCACGATGGGCGCGCCGTGCCATGCCATGCTCACGAGTGCACGCACACAGCATGTGTGTGAAAGGAAAGAGGCAACGCAGACAGAGCAGAGAGGTTGGATCGACGTCAACTGGCCCTGTTTGCGGTGCATTCCAGGTTGTCCCGGCTCCGTTCAGTGGTGCATGTCGCTGCGCACCTCTTCTTCTCCTGCACACTATAACAACAAGCAAGAATGATACCCTCGGCACAGCTCACCTCATCTCCGTCTTCCCTTTCCTTCGCCAGCCAAGCCTCTTACCACTATCATCACTACTACACTACTACTACTGACAGCATCACGGCGATGAAATAAGGAACCATCCTGACGACCAATCAAGAGCCGCATACGGGTCCCCAGGGGCGTGGAGAGCTAGCCGGGATAAGGTTACGGAAGGTGCGCTAGTAGCACCGGCGCGAGCCCTTCTCAGATTACCGTTTCGTGCTGTGCTGCAGGGAGGTGCCTTCCTCCCGCGGACCGCCGCTGGCTTATCCTTCCCTCCGACTCCCGTCTTCTTCAAATCCACTCCGCTACATCAACACCCGCCGACCTCGACGACACCATCTCCCCTTCGCTCACCCACAGTCACTCATTCGCAGCTAGCTCTGCACCACAGTCACTACGACATATCCACACGCGCCTCGGCCGCACAAGCTGTCCCATCCTCTGCGAGGATTCCGTTGACGTGAGTATTCGGCACTCCTCCCCAGCTGCCAGTGTCATGGATCCGCTGCCTTGGTTGTTCGTGTTGCATGTGGCGCCCATATCAATCTACATGTATATCACAACCAGCGCTCGTGCACTCCTCCAACCACGCACCAATTGCAACAAGATCATCAAGTTCAATTGCACATACTTCAGGCAAGACATGTGCTGACACTCGTTCTCCAGCATTCAAGCATATCTCATCGACGGATCTGTGATCCTCAGCACATCGAACAGCAGCAATCACCCCGGCAGAATTCAATCGTACACCACCGACAACAGCACTCCAAAATGCGCACTGCTCTTACCGTCGCGGCCTTCGCCGTCGGCGCTCTTGCCGTTCCGTACAACAAGCGTGACGTTGTCACCAACGTGAACGTCGTCTACAAGACCCAAGTTGTCACCGTCACTGCTGGTCAGGAGTACTCCCCGGTCCCCAAGGTTCCTCAGCACTATGGCCACCACAACTGGGCCACCAGCTCCGTCGAGTCTGTCACCACCACCACCGAGGCCCCGGCCACCTACGTCGCTCCATCGTCAACGTCAACCTCAACCTCAACCACCGCTCCTGTCACCTCCTCTGCGCCAGCATACACCGCGCCAGCATATACCGCGCCAGCGAGCTCTTCGTCATCTTCGTCTTCTTCGTCTTCTTCATCTTCTTCGTCGAGCTCCGCTGCGGCTGCTCCAACCTCGTACCAGGAGATCACCATCTACCACCACAACCTCCACCGCGCCAACCACTCTGCTCCTGATATCGAGTGGGACGATGATCTTGCCTCATCTGCCCAGACCATTGCCGAGAGCTGCGTCTACGCGCACAATACGTAAGTGAACTTTACAGGAATTCAGAAATGAGAGAGTTTGGGAACGAACTGACTTGGAGTAGCGACGTGAACGGTGGCGGCTACGGCCAGAACATCGCGGCTGGTGTCGAGGGCAATAACATCTCCGCCATCATTACCGACCTCTTCTACAACGGCGAGGAGCCGTTGTACTCGGGCAACTATGGTCAAGCCAACCCGGACATGTCTCTCTTCGAAAAGTGGGGTCACTTTTCTCAGATCGTGTGGAAGAACACCACCCACGTCGGATGCTACACTCAGCACTGCCCCAACGGTCTCGGAAATGTTGGCAGCGACGTCTCTCCATACTTCACCGTCTGCAACTACAAGTCTCCTGGTAAGCAAGATCCATGCGATGCGGAAAATGTCCAGTTGCTAACTCTAATTCGCAGGCAACTTTGGTGGAGAGTACGGCGACAACGTGCTTGAGCCCCTCGGCCATGCAAGCTGCGACTGGAGCACGGGCCTCAGTGCGAGCTCTTACTAGAGTCGCTCGTAACGAGATTTTTCCATGGCCGGGAGGCCTTCAGATCTGCTGCTGATAACAGAACTTGACGACGGAGCATCGAATACGGTCTCTAGGAAAGGACATGCATGGTGGCGTTCTTACATGAGTCTATACTGAGTGCATCGAGCCTGTCTTATGTTCTGCATTTCACTACCAGGCCACTTGTTGCATCCCAAGGTCACATTCGACATGGATCATTCTGCTGGACAGAGCATTCGACGGCCCCATGGCTCAGCATGTGGCTCTTTGATTTTCAGTTTTGCTTCTTTGTGCATACTCTTCATCAAGGGGTCTACTTCTTACACACGGGGACGACGGCTTGCGGCAGTACACAAACTTCGATTCTGCACGAATGAACGTAGATACGATGACACACGCTTCCAAAATTACTCCTGCTTTTCCGCTTTTGCAAGTCATCATTTACTGGTTGCTGTAAGGCTGAAAGATCGACCTCGTGTTTGAAGATCGTTATTTGGCGAGCACTGACGGAGGACGACGGTTCGCAAGTCGTACTAGGGCGTTGTAATTGATTTTCATTTTCGACTGTAATGATCGCTCGGATATTAGACACAGTGCACACCTTCTCGTCTGTAATTTGTTGGCGAGTATATTTCAGTTCTGTCGCAAAACACGACGGATGTTTCTGTCGCCTCTTTGGAAGCAGGTGAAGTCTGTTGTAAGTGATGTCGATCCAGGTAGTACCCAGTGCGGCAAGCGGAAGAGAGTTTCCAGCCCACTGGTTCTCCTCCCACCATCTGTGCTATCCCTTCGCTGATGACGCGATTCGCTGAGATCTCCCTGAACGAATTTTTTTCTTATCGTACGCCCGACGCATATGGCAGGCAAGCGGAACGAGAAGTAGGTTCCGGAGACACAGCAGCACAAATTCTTCACGATCCAAGTGAATTTTCTCGCCCTTATCTCCTCTGTCTCTGGATGCATGTGGGATTGCTGCGGTTGTCCTCGGCCCAACGAGTTGTTGCACGCGCGAGACGGGTTTGCTTTTCAAGCTCCACTTTGAGCTTCATTGCGAACCAGAACGGGAATCGTACAGCTGTCTCTTCTTCTTCTTGTTCTTATGGACGATATTCGGATCGCACATATACTACTGGACTGATCAAACGGACATTCGCGACTATGGAGTCTTCTGGAGAGAGCAGGGCTGTCTCGCTTACGAATCGATGTGGTGAAGCGAAAAGTCCATACGTGCGATCGCATATAAACAACCCGACTGCCTGGCAGCTTTGGACGCCAGACACTCTAGAGCTGGCAAGGAAGACGAATAGGCTGTTATTCGTGAGCATAGGCTACTCCGCGTGCCACTGGTGCCACGTCATGGAGAAGGAATCTTTCGACGATCCACGGATAGCCCAGCTGCTAAACGAACGTTTCATTCCAATCAAGATTGATCGCGAAGAGCGGCCGGACATCGATCGCCAGTACATGGACTTTCTCCAAGCGACCAGTGGAGGCGGCGGCTGGCCTCTCAACGTGTTCCTGACGCCCGACTTGGAGCCGATCTTTGGGGGAACCTATTGGCCGGGGCCGAAGAGTGAGAGAGCCCAGGTGGGTGGAACGACCTTTGAGGATATTCTGCTGAAGCTTTCTTCGGCTTGGAAAGAGCAAGAAGCCAGGTGTAGGGAGAGCGCGAAGGAGATCACGAGGCAGTTGAGAGAATTCGCGCAGGAGGGACATATCGGAGGGAGAGATGGGAAGGGAGACGAGGAAGATGGCTTGGAGCTCGATCTGTTGGATGATGCTTTCCAGCACTACAAGCAGCGGTATGACCCCAAGTTTGGCGGGTTTGGGGCTGCTCCGAAATTCCCAACACCAGTGCACATACGGCCTCTGCTGCAAGTGGCCTCCTATCCGAAGGAAATGCGAGAGATTTTGGGTGAAGACGAGTGCATAGCCGCTAGGGCAATGGCTGTCAAGACTCTTGAAGCCATGGCTAAAGGCGGGATCAAAGACCAAATTGGCCATGGATTCGCGAGATATTCGGTCACGCGCGACTGGAGTCTGCCGCACTTCGAGAAGATGCTCTACGACAACGCTCAATTACTACCGGTATACTTGGATGCGTACATCCTCACCAAATCGCCATTGTTCCTCGATACTGCTCATGACATCGCGACGTACCTCACGAGCCCGCCAATGGCTTCTTCTTTGGGAGGCATCTGCTCTGCAGAAGATGCAGATTCACTGGAGACGGCCGTCGATCATCATAAACGAGAGGGCGCCTACTATGTGTGGACTTACGACGAATTCAAGACTATACTAAATGAAGAGGAACTCAAGGTCTGTGCCATCTACTGGAACGTGCACCCCGAAGGCAATGTAGATCGCCGCTTTGATCACCAAGGCGAACTGGTTGGAAAGAACACGCTGTGCGTGCGATACGAGGCCGAAGAATTAGCGAAGGAGCTCGGTATGACGGAACAGGATGCTCTTCGTATTCTACGAGACGGTCGACAAAAGCTCTTGGCTTACAGGGAGAAGAATAGACCTAGACCCGCTTTGGACGACAAGATAGTCACTTCTTGGAATGGCCTTGCGATTGGCGCTCTGGCTCGTACCGCTGCGGCTCTGAAGACGACGTCTCCTGAACGGGCCTCCGCGTATCTTGCAGCGGCAGAGAAAGCCGTGACCTGCATCCAACAAAACCTCTTCGACACGTCCAGCGGTACACTGAAGCGCGTCTATCGTGAAGGTCCGGGCGAGACTCAAGGTTTCGCAGACGACTATGCCTTCTTCATCTCCGGCCTGCTGGATCTCTACGAGTCAACATTTGACAGCAAGTGGTTAGAGTTTGCGGATACGCTCCAACAAAGCCAGAACAAGCTATTCTGGGACGAGGAGAAGTTTGGCTTCTTCTCGACACCTGCACATCAACCTGATATCCTGATGCGGACTAAGGATGCGATGGATAATGCAGAGCCAAGCGTCAACGGAGTCAGCGCTGCAAACCTTTTCCGACTGGGCTCATTCTTAAATGATCAAGGCTATGAGAAGATGGCCAAGAGGACAGTGGCATGCTTCGATGTTGAGATCCAGCAACATCCGGGCCTGTTCAGTGGCACCCTGTCAAGCGTTGTGGCTTCAAAGATGGGCATGAAGGGAATCATGATCGTCGGCGAGGGCGAGGCAGTCGAAGCAGCTCTCAAGAAAGCGCGCGAGCGAGTCAGGCCTAACACTACGATCGTGCGTGTGGGAGGAGGAGCGAACAGCACTTGGCTTCAGAGCCGGAATGAGCTGCTCAAGGACTTGGACGGGCACAAGAGTATGGTGCAGGTGTGTGAGGGTGGAATCTGCAGGCTTCTCGAGGAGGCGGATGTCCAGGAGTTGTTTGAGGGATGAAATGATGAACGAATGTATGATAGAGATCTCACTCGGCTCACACAGGACGCGGGCTTGATGTCGTATCGACGACGGTACCTACTGATTTTGAGAGAAGACGCTTCAGATCTGTTCTAAATGCTCGCCCCAAACGTTCTTGCCCGATGACTGATGACTGCAGCCTGGCCCAGATGCGCTGATGACGCGAGTCATGAGAAAAGTCTGTTCACTTCAACCTCATCAACCTTTTGTTAATAACCCTCATCACCTTCTCAACTTCATTAATCGCCCGGCCGCACCAAGCTTCGTCGCTTGAAGCGGTAGAATGTCTCGCTTCAAGCCCACGAAATTCATGAGGTATCCCTCCATCCCACCACATTCGCTTTCAGTGAATGGCGATACTAATCTCGGCATGAAGATGCGCGGCGACGACGCTTCTGCCTATTCCAACACGCCTCCCGAAGTGAATGTCACCCAGCAGCAACCTCGCTTCCACATGCGTCCGCCGCATGGCTTCGAACATGAGCTCGGCGGAGCAGGCGGCCAGCGCGCTGGCGCAGGACATCAGCAAACTTTCCATCGTGGGACGAGGACGCAAGAAGAAGAATGGCAAGGCCAACAAAGCTACTGGCAATACGACGACGGAGGTCGCGCACAAGCCCGGTATGCCGAACACCAGTACTGGCCGCACCAAGACCAAGGACAAGGACAAGGACAAGAGTGGCACGGCGGACAGCGACACTGGCAATACCCAGGACCTGTCTGGAACTCAATCGACAACGGCAGCTCCTACCAGGCCTCACTACGTCCCCCCGCAGCGGCGCCTGCGCGGCAGCAAGCAAGAAGGCAATCATTCCGCGATCAAAGGTACGCACCGTACCATCCACAGGAGCACAGCTCCTGGGAATGGGCCCGGTCTGATCAGCATCAACCTGAGCTAATGGAAGACTACTCTGCAGCCCGTAGTCTTGACGACGTTGATGAGAGTAACTTCATCCAGGGATCAAATACTGACGAGAATGGCGCTCGGAGGAGCACACGGTTGAGAGACTCGTGGCAGCGGCCGGCACACCACCAGCCTCCGCTGCGGCAGTCTGCGCAACAGCTCGGACAGACTCAGCTTCCACCCAATTTCTTCTCAAGCTATCCGCCGGCTTTGCCTGCGCAACAGCTCGGACAGACTCAGCTTCCACCGAACTTCTTCTCAAGCTATCCGCCGGCTTTGCCTCAGCCTTTGCCTCAGCCTTTGCCTCAGCCTTTGCCTCAGCAGCCGGTAGTGCCGCGGCCGAGCACGTTCCCATCGACGTCTTCGCCTCCACATCATCTTCCAGCGCAGCAACAGATTTCAGGACGTCGACCGCGTCCAAAGAGCAAGACTCCCCCGCGCTCGGAGGATCCGCTTGTGAACCTGCTCCCTAGGCCTATTCCAACACCATCATATCTACAGAATAGTCTCCAGCAACCTCAGCTGATGGATTCTCCGCGGCCGCTGCTGGTGGTACTTGATCTCAATGGCACATTGCTCTGTCGAATGGACAGGCGCAGCAGCTACACCGGCCGTCCTCGTGTCAAGGAATTCCTGCGTTACTTGTTCAGTCACCATCGCGTCATGGTCTGGTCTTCGGCGCGGCCGCAGAATGTGGACAAGATGTGCAGCACTCTCTTTGACAAGGAACAACGGGAGAAGCTGCAGGCGGTGTGGGCGCGCGACAAGCTTAGGCTTACTGACGCGCAGTACGGGACGCGTGTCCAGGTGTACAAGCAGCTCTCGTGGATCTGGGAGGATGCCACCATCAACGGCAAGAAGCCGTGGAGCCAAGCGGATACGGTCCTCATTGACGACAGCATGGAAAAGGCCGCGAGCGAGCCGCACAGCATCATCGAGATTGAGGAGTTTGAGGCAAAGAAGGAGCAGATGGAGACGAATGTTCTGGGCCAAGTCATTTCGTACTTGGAGATTTTGAGCTACGTGCATGATGTGAGCGCGTACATCAGAGCCCACCCCTTCAAGTACGCTCCTGAAGCCAAAGCGGATACCCCTATGCAGTAGTAGGCAGTCGTCCTATACAAATTCGCTTTTCGTGAGCAGTTCGCTTCCTCTCCTCTCCTCTCCTCTCCTCTCCAAGCCAACCATCCTTCTCGTCATCTTCCCATCCAAAGCCTGTCCCCTCCACGCTAAGAAGAGTCAGAATCCATCTCCAGCGCGGCGGCCGTGGCAGCAGCGGCGGCAGCAGCGGCAGCGGCCATTCGTTCAAAAAGTGTCTCCTGTAATCGCACGTTGTCTCTTAGCTTCTGCCTGGCCCCAATCGTGGTGGACGACACGTCTCTCCGCTTCGTGGATCGATCTCACCACCGCATCTCTCAGCTCTCGACGATGCCGGCCACAGACCCGATTGCTGGGGTCGTCGTCGATGGCACGGCTCTGCGCACAGCCGCCGCCGCCGGCGGCGGCGGGATTCTTGGCGCAGCGCAGATGGTTGTTTTCGCGGCGGCAGCCGCAGCCCGTGTAGCGCTCGGGGAGGTGGTTGCACATTGTTGTTGGTGGTTGGTGGTGGTGAATGAGGGTGGTTGTTTCTTTCGATGCCAGAAGATCTCGAAGAGATGGGTATAGTCTATGCTGCTTAGGGGGGCCTTTTGGTTGAGTCGTAAAGACCGTTGATTTTCGAAGCGGAGATATCGAAAAAACAAAAACGTCGTTCTTGCCTTTTTCGTCGTTGCTGATTTGGAGGGAAGGCGCGACCCTTCAGTAGTAGTAGTAGTAGTAGTAGCAGGTGCGATGGAGTGAGTCCAAAAGGGAAGGAAGGAAGTGAAGAGATATCCCCCAAAATTTCGATATTTCCTCTCCTTAACAACAACACTCTGGGGATAATCGCCTAGGTGGATGGCATGGTATGGTATCTTGCGCTTTTTCTTTAGGCTTCAGGGGTTTTTCTCTCTGCCTCGTTCGTGGCCACAACAACAACAACGACGACCCTGCGGCTGGATAGCTTTTTTGTACCTTCCGGTTGTTGTGAGCTGGAGATAATCCGAACGACCGGTCGAAATTGCCCCGGACGACTTTCTCTGGATAGATTTCTGGATACAGAGAGAGAGAAGCTCTCGCTCGCGTGGCGTCAGTCAATGCTGTGGCTTTGTTATGGCATGTTTGGGTAAGGGTAAAGGGTAAGAGGCAGCATGGACCGACAACAGCAAGCCAAAGCCACGCAAGGGACGACTTACCTGCCAAGTAAACATGGAGCGAGCCGGGAGGAATTTCCCATTGTTCAGCGAAAGCTGTCCACATTAGAAAAAGAGGCTTTTTCTTCTTTGTCTCTGGCAGCAAACGTCCTGTCGCGAACACCCTCCAAACAAGTATAGGCGAAGGGGGGTGGAACAGACAGCTGAGAGAGTGAAGGGAAAGAAAAAAGGAGAAGGGGATGTAAAAGTGGCAAGAGCTTCAGATTCTAGTCCAGAGTTAACTAACTATCATACAGCCATGCCGAAAGAAGTGTGTCTCTCGTGGACTCAAAGCCCGGAGCTTCCTGAGTCTGATATCCAGACCGCACTGATTGTCTCCGAGAGCACCCACCCAGTGCCGCATTCATATTCATATCCCTTTTTCTCTAGTATCCTGAGGAAACACATAAAAAAACCAAACTCTTTTTTTGTTATACAAGCTCAATTCGTTCTCGTTCTCGTATCGTGCCATGTAAGGTTTTCTTCGTGACTGGTGTCGTAATCGCCGGGGAAAAAGCATGAAAGATCGCAATTGAAATGGGAAAGTGAAGGTCTCCGCCGCAGAGATCCATGACTGCGCCGAGTCTTGATGAAATGCATATCGCAAGGTCGTCGTGGTGGTGGTACAGGATCATCGCAAGAGCGGATGATGTCCCAAGTACGCCAGGGTTGCCATGCATTCGGGTAAATGCTGAAGTCTGCAAAGATGATGCTGAGTTGCCGCGCCGGGCTAGCCAGAGCTGCTGTCGAAGTAGAGAACTGCCGCACCTCTATCGTGTCAAATGTCGGCCGTTACTGAAAGTCGTAGCTCATACTGGAAGTGAAGTCGTGATCTGATGTAGCAGGTGTTTGGCCAAAGAACGACTCAAAGAACCAGTCTGCGCTGCAATACTGATACAGTGGCGATGTTGACACACCGCTGCGATGGTGAAGGCGGCAGCTTTTAGAAGTGGCCATATGGCTGACGGCCGGGTCCGGAGAAGCCGCCGCCGAAGCCATTCTGCTGAAAGCTTGGAGGGCCGCCGTTGCCGTTGAACATGCCGAAGCCCTGGTTGCCACGCTGTGGAGTTGGCGAGATGATGTTCTCGCCACCGAAGCCTGGGCCTCCGAAATTGCCGCCCTCAAAGCCAGCAGAGCTGAAACCGCCGCCGTTGGCACCCCACTGTGGTGGAGCACCGATCATGCCGTGACGGTTAGCACGTGGAGGAGCCGGAGTGGGCTGAGTTCCAGCGAAGGCGTTGGTGGATGGAGACTGGGCAGACTCAAGCGGAGAAAGGATGGGGTTGACGCCGTTGGTATTGTTCTGGCGGTTATCGAAGTCGGTGATCTTGCTCTGAATGCGACGGCCGTGTGGGGTGTTGCGGATGCCTGGCAAGATCAAGCGGACGTTCTCGTTAAGCACAGGCTTGAGCTCATCATCGGCAAAGTCCATGGCCGTCTGGACGACGTAGTTGGCAAAGCCGTCACGAAGCAGCTTCTCGAGGACCGGCACAACCATGATCTCGCTGATGAGCTCGCGCCGAGTCTCGTTGGTGGAGCAGCGGATGCACTTCTCGATGACGTTGGAGCTGAACTTCTGACGAGAGAGGTTCGGGACCTCGCCGTAGAAAGCGCGGCAGAGAGGCTCAGTGAAGCAAGGTTCCGAGAGGTCAAGGATGTACTGGACGACGTAGTTGCCGAAGGGATCTTGAACCAAGGCGAAGGCGTTGCGGATCACGTGGTCGACCATCTTGCCCTTCTGAAGACCATCGGCGTGGTCGATGCAGCGCTGAAGGACGCAGCAGCCGTGGCGGTGGGTACCGACGGTGATGCAGTTGGCCCCAACGGCGTCGAAGATGAAGGTAGCGTCAATAGAAGACAGATGATTGAGGCACTTCTGGATGACGTGGTTGCCGTTCAGGTCCTGAATGAGCAAGACGACGTCGTTGCGCAGAGCATCAATGATGAGGTCGGTCTGCTCAGGTGTAGAGATGTACTCAATCATCTTCTGAAGGGCACGAGTGCCATGCTGATTGAGGGCGATCTTGGTCATGGCGGGAGTAGCGTTCTTGATGAGGACAGTGCGCTGAGCGTCGTTGGTACTCTCAAGCAACTTCTGGCAGAGGTAGTTGCCGAATGGGTCGACCATCAAGTCAATCATGTGGCCCTTGACCTCGTCGAAAATGAGCTGCACCGTGGCTTCGTTGCGCTCCTCGAGCTTTCTCTGCAAGAAGCGGCAGCCGTGCTGGTCCTTGCAGAGAGTGTAGATCTCACCCTGAAGCTGCTCAACCTTGATGGAGTTGAAGCGGGACTGAGCATCCTCAGCAGCCTGACGACGCTGCTGAGTATTCACGCGCGAGTTCTCGAAGCGGCCTGCTCCTGGAGCAGCCTGGCCAGCGCCCGCCTGGTGGGGCTGGAAGCCGCCATAGTTGTTCTGCTGTGCGTATGGGCTGCCGAAGTTGTTTGGCTGCCACTGGGACTGTGCAGCGTAGCCATTCGCACCGCCGCCGATGTTCATGTTGCCGAAGCCGTTGGTCATCATCTGCATGCCATAGCCGCCGTAATATGCGGCTGGCTGACTGAAAGGAGTCATGTTTGGACTGCCGAGACCTTGACCTTGACCGTTCTCTTGAGCGCCCGGCCCGAACGGAGCAGCGTTGGCTTGCAGGGAGGAAAGAGATGGACTGAAGGCGTCTTGGATGTCGCTGTGCTTGGTCGGAGAGAACTCTTGGCTCTGGCGGTTGGAAGAGGGATTGAAACGAAGAGCGCCTGCGGCCTGCTCTGGAGAAGTGGCGTTGGAGATGAGATGAGATGGCGAAGTGAGCGAGACACCACCCTCAGAAGTCTCGTTGTTGATCTTCTTGAGAGTTGGGATGTCGTTGGTGGAGTAAGAAGAAGGACCGTTTGCCAGGCCACGAGGCGGTGAGGCAAGGAGCGTCGGACGCTTGGTCTCTGCACTGAAGTGGACCTCCATTGAGCGACGATTGTTCGCAGATGACTTGTCGTTGGCGTTGGCGAGAATGCTGTTCAGCGGAGCAATGCTCACGTTGCCGCCCAGAGCGCTTGGTGGAAGCGAGATGCGGTGACGGCTAGCCGTAGCGCGGTCGGTTACCTGCTGCGGCTCGTGCTCGGCAGAAGATGCGAGGTCAAGAGCTGCAGAGGCTGCGGTAACTGACAGATCACCGTTCTCTTCGCGGCGGATTAGCTTTGGAAAGCCGTCGGCGGTGTGCTGAACCTGGAGATACGTTTTGGTATCTGGTGGAGAGGTCTTGTTGGACTTCGGGGGGAGGCTGGAAAGCTCGTCGTCGTTGAAGAGGAAGCCGGTGGTGTTCACTGGACCAAGAACCAGCTCGGTGGTGTTTCTCTTGCGGTCGTATGAGGTGATTGGCATGGAATTGCGGTTTGGACTGAAGCAGAAAAGACCGTCAGTACGGGGGCTCGCCTGGGTTTATATGGTAGAGCCTTCGAGGAGAGAGCTATTGTCGTCCAAACAACAATAGAAAAAGTTTTCCAGTATTGTTGATGGTTGTCGGGTTTTGTGTAGGGGCCAGTTATTGTTGTGAAGCAAAGCTATTGTCGTGTCTGTGACATTTGCGAAGTGGTCAAGGCGGCGAATGAGCAAATGCCAAGCCGGTTTTGCCGAAGGCACGTGCTTGCATGTGAGGCCGGCGAGACATGAACCAGCGACACAATAGCGGAGACAATAGGAAATTGGGGAGGACTCACTTCGCCGAAGCACGTCGAATGCTGTTGTCGTAACCGTAGATAAAGTCGTCGTCCTCCTCTTCGTTGTCGGATTGGCGTCGAGAGCCGGGGACAGACTGTGATGGTAGGTTTGAATTGCTGTTCCCGTTGTTGTACGTCCGCGCGTATCCAGCAGAGGGCGAAGTGAGCTGTGTGCTGGACCGGTTCGGCCGAGTAACAATGCCAGGTGGCGATGTCAGGCTCGCTGTCGAATACCGATCCGGCCGCGAGAAGTTGGCGAAGCTGTTAAACTCTGGCGGAGTCGTTGGCTCGCTCTGGGCGAAGAGCTGAGTTACTGCTTGTTCGTGTCTGATGTTCTCGTCAACCTCGCGGCGGGTTTCGGCGTCGACTTTTTCAAGTTCTTGTTGGATTTGGCGTTGTGCTTGGAGAAGGTTTTCGTAATGGCGAGCAGCACGCTCCGACTGCGAAGGAAGATCAGCCTCTGCTCCACAGGATTTGCACGTGCTTCATGTGAAGACGCAGAGTCTTGTGACCCAGCCTTGGGGCGCCACAAAAGCGGTGAGTGGTTTTGGGAGGGAGAGTGAGTCTGCTGGAGCCCGGAGAGCCAATCTGCTCCTTCGTAGTGTAATTGGGAAATCAAGCTTCAACAGTATTGAAGTCGTTGTGCGATATGGCCAAGGATACCAAGGAGATGGATTCGAGATCTAATAGCCACAGGTCTGCAGTAGAACCAGGTCAAAAGCTCCGGGAGGCGGAAACCTGTCGTCTGATCCGAATTGGGGCACGTGCGGTGCTTTTCAGGCAACCAGCGACTCTCGATTGCAGAAGTCGTTCCTGCTGGAAATTGGCTGTGGAGGGAGTACTTACGGGAGGAATTCTGCTGTTGGCATTTTGCTGCTGTCCCGAGATTAGCGTTGTTCCAGCGTGGATATGTGAGCCACAAGCCAATCTACATGAGGCAGAAGAGCAATGTCTCAACATCCCAATACGTGCAGCATCTCAGGCTATTCGGGCAGCAAACGTATGCAGTATTTGCGGTGCAGGAAGCCTTTGAGGTCAAGGCGACAGTGTACAGCCTCTCGCCCGCGCCAAATGCACATCGTCAAATGGGAGGGCAAGAGCGAGCCAGTATGCACTGTCCTTGCCTGTTTTCGCGAGACCGTCCAACTCTTGCCGTTTTCTCTTGCTCTACATCACTCCCACCATCTTGGTTTGTACGAAAATCGCAGACTTACGCTTTGCTGCACATCTCCTGCTGCCTGTCGTCGCTGCTGCCCAATGGGCGACAGCGTTGGCACGGTGTTGGTTGTGAATCTCCTCTGCATCGCACCGCGGACGTCGGCGTTCCCCAGCATGCTCGCACTCCACCGGTTCGGATTTCGCTGGGGCGGCGAGAGGGGGTTGGAGTTGAATTGGTCCTCCCGAGGCGAGACCGGTCCGCGATAGTACGCCATCTTCTGGGAGGCACATCAGCACATTTATCCCACCTCGCAGACCTCCTCGCAGCCTGTATGCTGGGTCACAATCGCATCGTACCGGGTGGGAAGACGAGACGAATCGCAAGACCGGCGGAGAAGAGGCTGAGAGCCAATGCAGTGGGGTGCGGTGCGGTGCGGTGCGGTGCGGCGGATACTGATACAGCCGGGCTCTGGGGATAAATCGGGAGCGAAATAGTACAAGTACAGGGAGGGGCAAGGGGGTGGAGAGGGCGAGGGATTTCCCACAAAGGACAGACAAGAGGATGCGGACAGGCGAGGAGGGTGCGGAGGAGGAGGAGGAGGAGTAGAGAAGAAGGGTGGAGGGTGGAAGGTGGAAGGTGGAAGGTGGAAGGTCGAGTCACGGTCGAGGCGAGACGAGACGAGACGAGACGAGACGAATAGTAAGGTGCAGTGTGGAGAGGCGGCTTCGGGCGAAACAGCACACACACACGCACGCACACACACGCACATTATACACATACACATACACACACCCCCCACACATACATACACACGCACACACGCACACACGCACACACGCACACACGCACACACACACGCGGTGGGAACGGATGACAGGCACAGACTCATGTCCCCTCCAGGCTCCGGCCAGGCGCTTCTCCTCCCCTCTGATTCGCACGCGCACGTCTGTAGATAGATACCACAATCCAGTGCAGTATCATGTATGCACATATGTACGCTCTCGCCTCGTCTCGTCTGCTCCTTCGCTATCATCATCATCATCATCATCATCACAGATACCGCAACGATCATCTCCAGCCCCCATCTATGCCACGCACGGAGGTGATGCCTCTTCCTACCGCTACTACCCAATTAATCATGGCCGTCGCTGCAGAGACCCTGGCGGGCAGGACATGCACGCCATATCCCAGCTTAATTCGTTCCCGGAGCCCAACTACTGCCAATCGCGGCACAAGCGCCATGGCTCCCATGGCCGACGGCTCTGCTCTCGCGCCCGCGTCTCCATGGTGCATCCATGTCCTGACGCCGCGACAGCTGTTTCACCCTCGTCCACCGACCGAACAGAACCGTACCAGACACAAGAGTACTTCGACTCCAGGCATCGGATCAAATAATTCCATGCCCGAGGTGCCCACACGGTTATTACATCGCCCGCTCCGCTTGGCTTGGCTTCTAGCCTCGCCCGACCCTGAACTACCTGATTACCGTCAAATGTCAGTGAATTAATGCCCAAGCGGATAGTAAGTAGGTAGGCGGGCGGCAGACCTCCCTTTATACTTGTACAGCTTGGGCTGGGTCGGGTAGGTGGACGCTAGTACTCGTAGCAGTGCCTCTACAGCCGTAGGCGGTAGCAGCCGGCTCAACGTAAATCACGTACTTAACGTAAATTCATTTACTTACTCTACCTATAAGCCTTAATATCTATACTAATCTATATCTAATTAACTACTACCTACTTAAAGGCCTTCTTAATACCTTTATACTCGTATCTAGGCTACTAAATCCTTCGCAAAGTAGCTAACCTCTTACGATAATCTAGAGTAGATACCTACTTAGCTTTACGCTATAATACCTCTACTCTATCTTCTTCTCTTACTATAGTAGTATACCGTACTTCTATAGCCTTTATTATACTACTAAGTTATAGCCTATACCTCTTACTAGCCTTTCGTACTATTCTTTACTAGTAGACAGCTATAAAAGCTACTAATTTACTCTAGGTTTAAGTATAGCTAGTATACTATAGCTCTATACTACGAAGTAAAGGAGTAAGTTACTAGTAGAGTTCTAGGTCTAGTTATTCTAGAAAAGTACTACTTTTACGCTTAAATATACGGATAGTTAAGGGTATAGCCTACTATACCTATAGTAGTAGTAGTAGTATTACTCTTACTCTTACTACTTTACGCTCTACTATCTCTACCTCTACTTTTAGATATAGTTATAAGATTACTATTTCTAGATAGTAGAGGGAGATACCTATCTTCCTAAAAGTAGAGAGGATAGTACTAGGTTTAAGAGCTTTTACGCTAAAGATCTTAAAGTTAGCGAGGATTTCGAGCCTATTATAGTTAGTATAACTATACCTAGCTACTCTATCTACTACCTCGCTATACTAGTACTTATATAGCTAAAAGACTACTATATTAAGCGGCTAAAGGATATATATAGTATATAAAGGTAAACTAAAGGCTATAATACTATAAAGATCGTAGTAGTCGATAAATTCCTTCGTATAGTACGAGCTATAGTTATCTATTAGAAGAAGCCGCCTTCTACTAACCTATAACGGCTTTAAGTACGTATTAAAGTACTAGATCTACTCTAGAGCTAGTTATATAACAGTAGATAGAACAATATATAAGGCACTCTAAGTAATTACTCGATTTATAGTAAGACTAATCTCTAAGGAAGTAAGTCTAATTCCGCTATAGGCGGCTTATATACGCTCCGCTAGCGCTAAGTTAGCTAGCCTCTTAGCGTTTAACTTTAGTATTTACTCTAGCTTCTCTTCCTTATACTAGCTACCCTTATAACTACCTCCCCTTCTAGGTAGGCTACCTATAGCCTTTACGACCTTTATAGTAAATACTCGCGTTAACTCTTACTACTATAAGCTAGTTACTAGAGAAGCTACGTTACTACCTAGCGTTATAGAGTAACCGCTATCGTTACGCTAGTAACCCGCTACCTAAGGTATTCGTAGGTTTATATAAAAGAACTTTTCCTACTCCTTAGTTTTCCTCTCTTTCTTTAAGAAAAACAAACTTTATTTCTTCTACGCTTATACTATACCTCTACTCTATCTTCGGCTCGCTATTTATACTTTTTTGCCTTACCCCTTTTTTTTCCTTTTACCTTCTTTAGTATTACTATTATTATTATTACTTACTTACGCTCTACCCTTATATCGCTATAGCTCCGCTTACGCTTCGCTTTCTCTATTAATATATTTAGCTCCGCCTAAGCCTACCTAGATCCGCGCCTAGCCTTTAGTATAGATATACTCGGCTTACCGAGTACGTCTATCCTAAAGGTCTACGTATATATACGCTACGTACGCTATCTCTACGATAGTACGTATTTACGCTACTTACGCTTCTCTAGCGACTCGCTTCTCGATTTAATACTAATTTTTCTCCTAGAGCGCTAGCTAAAGTACTCGGCTGTCTTCCTAGGTAGTACCTAGTATAAGAACTACGCCTATTACGTTTGTAGGTATATTATCTCCTCCGGTCCCCTATCGTTACGCTTACGGTCCGTATACTAACTATTAATAGTAAGAAGACTTACTACTAGCCTACCGACTCGTATATCTACTACGCTATTAAGACGCTTCTCGATAAGCGCTTTACCTATAACTACGTACTCGGCCGCGCCCGCTACGCTACTAACGAGGACAATACGGCCGCCCTACGCGCCGAGAGCGCGTAGCTTAATACCCGCTATAGCGTACTTACTTATAAGCTAAGAGCTACTCTTAAGATATACGATACTAACGCTTATAAGACTATTAGTAATAAGGCGTTCCGCCTAGGCGCTATAGGCGTAGACCCTATAGTCGCTAAGGTATAGCTTGTTAAGTCGCGTTAGTAGATATACTACCTTACTATCTTAGTAGAGTTAGGCCGAGTAGTAAGTTTTCTTTTTTCCTCTCCCTACCTTTAGTATATATACTAACTACCTTCGTATAGATAGCTACCTATATAGAGGCCGACCTAGCTAACTTCGATAGCTTCTAGTCTCTTAGTCTCGCCTACGTCGCCTCTTCGAAGGAAGAGGAAGAAGAAGAAGAAGAAGAAGAAGAAGAAGAAGAAGAAGAAGAAGAAGAAGAAGAGAAAGAGAAGGAAGAAGAGAAGAAGGAGAGGGAAGAGAAAGAGAGTAAGAATAAGAATAAGGAAATACTCTCTACCTTATCCTTATCTAAGGAGTTTTTATAATAGGTAGCGCCTAATAGCCGTATACTCTCCGCTAGCGCTACGCCTTTATACTAGCGTACCTATACTCCCCTTACTAGGTAGGTACCTTCGAGCCCTTTAAGTTTTCTTCTACTTATCTCTTCTATTTCCTCTTCTTACCTCTCTTCTATCTCTCTACTTCTCTACTTAGGCTCTCTTTTACTAACTCTTCCTAGTTGTTTTCTAATTCTTCCTTCGTTACTTAAAGTTAGATACTATATAAGGCGTATTCGCTACGTCTACTTCGCTCTACTATATATTATATTCGTCTAGCTAGTCTTTCTAGTAGACTAGGTATTAATTTTTCCCTACGTACGTTCGAGAGTCTAGGATCGCTTCTACTACCTACTTGCCTTCTTTATTAGCGAGTAGTAAGCTTCCTTCCTATTCTTTACCTTCGTATAGTTCTAGTAAGGATACGTAGAATAT